GATACACCATGCCAAAGAGAGTAAAGAGATGATGAGGATCATCAGGAAACATATACTTCAGAGCTGTCGAACTGATCTGGGTGAGGATAGGTGGATAGTTAACGATAGGCTCAGGAACGTAGTCATTGAATTGAGTCATATTGAGCAACTCCAGGCTAATATACTGGTTGGGCCAGGGCAGTCATTTTCGATGGTCATAGACAGGTTGATTCAAACGAGCATGCAGGATAGTCACGAGTGCTGCATTCAGTATAGTACAAGAAAGACAACCAAAGAGAAGCCAGAGAGTGAGACCTGAAAGCCCTGAACTGGATCATTTCACTTAAGAACCTGAAATAGACTCATTATGCATGCAACACCCTCACACAAATGAACATACCAGAAGACTGGCTGACACTGTCGACAGAATCCTGTTGAGATGAGGCTTCAGGCTTGAGCAGAGGGAAACATTCGAAGGAGCTCATCCTGTGCTTCACCGCGAAGCGAAATCTGTTAGAGGCACTTAGATAGCAAGATACAAACCTTAGCACTCAGCTATCAGCTAGTAAGGCTACTGCACATTGCACTTAGGAAGTTCAGATGCTTGATCGCATCCAGGGTTTAGAAATATACATGTGGTCCATGCCTGTGAAATTCCCAATATTGAAAATGGAAATGCATGAGTAGTAATCGGGAGAATCAATGAGCTGCATCTCTCCGATCAGCTTAAAAAGATGGCTGGCTCGGCACAGAATATAGACCCCAGAAAAGAGTATAGGGGAGGGACACATATAGTTTTGTCAAGATCAAAGGTGGCAATCTGCGAAATCAAATTGCTGCAGTGGTAGGGAGGACATCCGGAAAAATGTGCGACAACACAAAGCCATTGTGGGACACTGCATAAGATGACAGATTTGAGTGAAAGGCTACTTGTGCTGGGTCAACTATGCAACTCACGGAAATCCCTGTTGTCTTTCAATTGGCAGCTGCACTCATTACGATCATCAATTTGGCTACTCTATATGTACTGCTCTCAAGCCAGATCTCGGAGAAGCTGAGTAAGTCGTGGGATCGAGCCAGTCATACAACACTGTTGAAGTTATTCTACGTGTCCCATACTTGCACCCATAATAAGTAACTGGCATTTAGACATCCAGCGCATTGCGTCGCATACGGATGTAGTTTTGTTTAGTCTGTACTCCAGCATTCATCTATAACACATGTGCTTGTTATGCTCATTACTAAATCTTCTCACTCTCAATATGATTCTTCTAAGAAGAACCAACTAGTTGGAGCCATCCAAGCTGGCATGAGCATCACTGAAGCAGCACGGCTTACAGGCATCTCACGCCAGACAGCATCAGACATCTGGCACAAGTACATCAAAACTGGCACTACACACAATTGCCCCCATTCTGATCATCCACACAAAGTCACGGATCGCATGAAGGCTCTGGTGGTGAGGAGGGCAGTGAAAGAGTGGAGGGTGACATTTGCAGAGATTGGAAACCAGGTAGACCCGAAGATCAGTGAGGGCACTGTTCGGAGCATTCTCAAGGAATGAGGATATAGTCATCAGATTGCTCGTCAAGTGCCATTCCTTACTAAGAAGCAGAATAAGGCTCACATGCATTGGGCACAGAAATACAAGAGCTTTACAAGCCAGAATTGGCAAGAAGTTGCATTCTCCAATGAGTGCTATATTTACTTGGGAGATGATCGAGGCTGAATCTACATTACATGCCATCCTGATGAAGTCTTGCAAGAGGAATGCCTAGTACCAACCTTCAAGCAGTCCTCCATCTGTGTTATAGTCTGAGCTTGCATTATTCAGGGGTGCAAGGGGCCATTAATTGTGTTGAAATACCCAGGAGGAAGAGGTGGGGGTATGAACACTGCTAGATATCGGGAACAGATGTTGAATGGGGTTTTTTTGGATTGGTATAAAGAGATGAAGCTACAGAGGGGTCTCATTACCTTCCAACAGGACAATGCTCCATGCCACACCAGCAAATCAGCCCAACAATGGTTTACTAATCATGAGATACCACTTCTCTTCCATCTCCCCAATTCCCCAGATCTCAATCCCATTGAACATATTTGGCATGAGCTCAAATCTGCTCTGCATAATCTCAGGCATCCTCCAAATACCCAAGAACAGCTTCAAGCTGCTGTCCATCATGTGTGAGATGAATTACCTATAGAAGATGTGAACAAGCACATCAATTGGATGCCAGACAGAGTTGAGGCTGTCTTGGCTGCTCATGGTGGACATACGAGTTTTTAAATATATAGATAGCTAGAATAGATATCTAATACATTGTATATACAGTTGTAGTGCCGTCTGTTCCATAGACAGTCAGTTGTCTCCTCCTCAAATTGATGCGAGTCACGTGATGCAATGCACTGCGCATCTGGTGCCAGTTACTTATTGTGGGCATGAGTATAAAGAAATGCATAGATCTGTGGCTTTACTTGAGAGAGATTCAAGATCCATCAAGCTTTACATAGAGAACTCTATACACTACCAGTCACATACCTCTTTGGGTGAAGCCCAGTTCTCGCGACTACTTCCATCCGGCAGACACACAGTGCATCTCAGCTTGACGGGAATGTCACTTTTTTACACAGTTGCAATGTTTCACCAACTCCGATGCCTCAATATCATTCGAGAAGACTATGCCTTGGGTATCCCTGCGCCACTTTGTAGTCATTGTCTGAACTACTTGAGGCAATCCATACTTTGTTTGGCTGATGTCCAGCTCGAGTCAGTGCGATCTCCTCTTGCTCCCAGATATGACACTTCTGCATTATCTATGCAACTGAGGCTGACAAACCTTGTCTATAGCCTAGTCAGTCTCTCATCAGACTATGTCTGCAATGACTGGACGCCAGTCTACCAGGCTGCTGAAGATGCATATGATGCATATACTCAACCTTCTCAATATGAACCCCATGACAACCATGGTGTAGCATTGGTTCATCCAGGAGAGTTCTTCCCTAGAGGTGGATAAGTAGGATGTAAACCGATGTAATGGACATCCCTACGACTCAGAGCATGAACTGCAAACTTACAGGAAGAAGGATCATATTGAATAGCAATTGACATTATGATGTAGTCAGTGGAGGCACAATTGCAGCATGCCTCAACCTACGTAGCACGGTCCATCGTTCCTGGGCAGATCGATACAGTACGAACAGTATTCCAAAGAACAAATTCGCGACCATCAGGGACTTTGAGGAATAAATGAAAGCCTGTCGATCTGCAGTGAGTCAGTGACAAGCACAGTAAATACTGTCGCGCATCTTGTACAAGTCTCAGATCTCAGTACTATAAGGAAGTGGCAGATCAATCACCTGTAGATGTCATGCCTCAATCTCATCGCACGGCAAATTCCGAAGTAAATGATGACTTGTTAGGCTCGCTCAACTTTGATCGCAAGTACTACAGTATGTAGGGGAGCGCATTCGCGGTCAGCATCTTCAAAACATCCAAAACTTTGGGCCTCAAGGCCGCCTCAGCGTAAATCGTAACTGCTGGCTCCAACTCTCAAGGATGAGAGCTCTGCAAATAGTTTCGAATACACTCTACTGACATTAGGCTTTGGTAGACTTCATGCCTATACTGCCAGAAGCCGCAGTGAATTTCAGATGCAGTAATCATCACTTGAGGAGCTTAATCTATGAGTTCACACCACTGTCATACAATGGGTACCACACATATCTATATTTAACGGTCTCTCCCACTCCGTTGTCTCTGCACTTCATAGATGAGTCTGCTGCATACTTCGTACACTCTTCTTTAACTTCGGTTCTATATTTCAGAGACAAACACCTCAATCGTGTATATTTCGGCTATCCACCACTTCATGCCCATCCCAATATCGCTCATCACAGGATGTCATGCAATCAACAACATTCGAAGCGTTCCTCCCCAATGCCCCTGCAGACTACATAATCAACAATTGACCCCCACCGTCGTCTTCGTTAACTCACTAGGCTAGAAGCAATCAAGGCTGCGGTCGGTTATCTTCCCGGTGTTGGACTCGTGGTCAATCATAACGTCGCCTACAGTATGTGAAACAGTCAATCCAACGATATACCGGTTGAAATGTGTCACTGACTGTTAGGTGTGCATGCTTGTGGAACTGGCGCTGCGTTCACGATGAAGAGCGTTGCGCACAAGGTGGCAATAATAGTGAGGCAGCGAGTGATGAACAGCATGTTTTCGAAAGCAGACTATGTGAGTCAACAACTATTCCCGTTCTCACCTTTAGTATCGGTCAGGCCAAATTTCCAACCTCGTTGCAATCCGACATATCCGTCAGACTCGGGACGATGTGAGCAATGTGGATGCACTGATTTGTCATTCTGTACAAAACTCAATCAGCTGTCATTTTCCTGAACTTGCAATCCCGGGTCCTATCAGACCCTATCTAGCTTTCACGGCGACGTCAGTATACCGACTCACATTTTCAGGGTACTCCGGAACCAAAATGAATGATTGACAGATTGCTTTTGCTTAGTCTCCATTGCTGCCTATATTAGGGATTGGATGACAGTCGATCCACATCCGGTATATGCTTTTGCTGAACATTTGCAGTGTACTGGGCCATCTGCTTCTGTGATTCCGTTGATCATGTGAAATGCAGCCTCTACACTCTGCAAAGTAGGCAAGGTACTCTAACAGTATGCGTTTGATTACAGTGAGTGCCCACTGTTTCTTCTCAATGGCGAATAACGTTGTTGAATGCAGGAGTAACGCCGGTCTGTTGACGTTTTGGCCCGGATGTATAGCATGCCCCATCTTCTCCGTGACTTACTATTTGTTTCCTTCCTTGTCTCCCACATGGTTCACTTTCACATAATGCCAAGAAACCCTGGGCGTGTGCTATTGTCCGCACGTTTCAGGAAACTAGGACGACTATTTCGCAACATTCGCGGCTAAAAATAGAGCCTATCTAAATGCGAAGATGGAATCCTTTTCTACAACTCTGCACTGGTCGGTCTTCTGTTCGCTCAGGGTCGTGTTCTCTGATCGTTCATAGCGCCGTAGGGTGCCAGCGTTACCTACCACCGCGCTAATGCAGGAAGCACTTCGATTAATTCCCGGGGGCTGTCACTAAGTAACGATTAATCTAGTCACCGGGGTGGAACGCTGTGTTTGTCCTCGCCCGATACATCATAGTGTGAAGCTGATATATATGTGCAGCCTACTTTTCTGGCTTCAGCACCGTAGTTCTTCAATTTGAGGCTCATCCCCGTCGTATCTGCATACTATTCATCCACTCTTCTTTTTCTATGTCTGATCCTTCCTGGGCGCCGACCAATGAAACAGCTGAGCAGATATGGATTGAGGAGGCGAATATTGACGGCATCTGCATTGAAGCTGTTGGATATGGTACAATTTTGAAAAGACGGTTCTCATTCTTCATATTCTAATTATGGAATCCTTTGTAGGTGTCCATCTCACGCTCTTTTTCCTATGCTTCAACCTTCTCTGGGACATGAGAAAACGTCAGCCAAAATACGCTTATACGTTTCTGGTCTACATATCAGCGTTGGTTGTGCTTGGCTCGATCGGCGCGGGAACATCTCTAAAGATTAACCAAGAAGCTTTCGTCAACAATTGTAATTTTCCTGGTGGTCCCAGCGCATACAATATACTAGAGTATGGTGTCGCGTACAACGTTGTCGGTACTGGTGCCTATATCATGAACACATGGCTTCAGGACGGCCTCCTGGTTGGTGTGTTTTATTTCACGCGGAGCGAGAGCTGAATTGTATACAGCTTTACCGGTTTTACATTATCTGGGGTGCCTTCTGGTGGTTGATGATAGTTCCCATCCTCTTAATGTTGGTGTCAATCAGTGAGTTCGTCTATCATGTCAATTTATGCCGCGTAACTGAGATCTATACAAGTCATGTCCTGTTTCCTGTTGGCTCAACTGGCCAGACCAGGTGCTACCTTGTGGGAGACATCGAGTGTCAACTTTGCACTGACCTACTGGTCGACGTCCATTGCTACGACGATTTTACTCACCCTGCTCATCGTTGCACGGCTCATGTATGCCCGTTATCGCATGCGTAAAGCCATGGGCCCCGGGCATCAAGCATCCTACTTATCAGTAGCTGCCATGCTTGTTGAATCCGCCTCTCTTTATGCTGTGTTCGCCCTTGTTTTTATCATCACATACGCTCGCGGTAGTTCGGTCAATTACCTTCTGTTCGGACCGCTAGGACAGGTGCAGGTGTGTCAATAACCACATGCTCACTCCTTTTTTCATTGACGCAGTAGTGTAGTCAATCGCACCCCTCCTTATCACCCTTCGCGTCTCTCAGGGACGGGCCGCCACGAAGGAGACTATGCAGGAGACTATGCTCGGTACCACCAAACCAGCCGTAACCCCCGTGCTCCATACATCTCGCCCTTCAGATACTGCGATTGAGTTATATTCCGTTGGAGGAAAGTCCCTTGATCCTGACTCTCGCGTGGAGGTGAATGCAGAAAGTAGTCGATCAACCGAATTCAAAATTCGGATTGAAGATGGTTCTGATGCTTAGGATAGTTTTGCAGTGATCTCTTTCAGGGTTTACTATTTACGTCTTGTTATCAGTATATGTTACGTGTTCCTCGAATGTGCTTCATGATATTTATATATAAAGACAGGATTCTTTTGTATCCCGCTCATGTGTACTAATGACAATGTATGTTAGTGAAATACTGCCCGCTCACTACGCGCTCGCTAATTCTAGCAGAGGTAGCTCAGTATCAGCTTTTGGTCAGTGTCTCCACTGTATGGCCAGAGTGCTGTATTGCAGGGCCTTGTTCCCGCCAGCCTGCCAGCCTAAACGTTTGACTTTTTCTGAGTGTAACAGCCTCGCGTTTCCACTCATTTTCGCACATTGTATTCTTCTGCGACTGACTATACGTTCTGAAGGACCGTCTACTACACCCTTTAGATCTCGTATAGCGGAATTACTCCATCTATGTGTTATCGAGTTATCGATTTCGTTATTCAAGGCAAATTTTACGGGGAGGCATCGACCCCAAAAACCTGCATCAGGATGCAAGTCATGAACGCCGTTGTTGTCCTGTGGTAGCGTATCCACCCAGGAGGGCACCAGTGCCGGCCACCTACAAATGAATGAACCACCTTTAAGCACTACACTGGTGAAATGCCTTCTTAAGTTCGCCACGCTCAACGAGCTTAGGGTTCCCAGTCAACTCGCCTGCCATCTTCTCCGCTTCGCCTATAAGTGTGACTGACAATGAAGCATGAAGTTGGGCAGTTGAGCATTAATGACTAACCAATTACTCGAGAGCCCATTGATGGCTTTGCGTTCATGGTTCCAACAGGAGCAACGGTCCCAACACTCGCACCAGTGTTGGCATAGTTGTTATCGACTTGACGAGTACCGGTTCCAATACCTACAGCAGCACCTGTGCCAGGAGCCGGAGCGGGACCTGCTACGTTACCGGTCATCGTGCCAATTGATTGTTGGAAGTTTTGGTCTGCATGATAAAGGTTCGCCGCTGGTGCGGGGTTCATGCCCGTAGGACCTTGATCGTAGTAAGTCGGGTTATGTCCCGCCGTGTTGGGATATCCGCCTTGCGGACCGGCTGGGTTGCCCTGGGCACCTGTGAAGTTGTCAAAATGCGGGCCCCTCGCTCCATTGAAATGTTGAAGTGGCTGGTTTCCTGCGACTGACGAGGCTTGGTCCCAATTGGCGTCTGTATCATGAGATCAGGGAGAATCAAGACAGCGAGGATTCACCTATCTGCGTATCACCACATCCACCGGTGTATTGGCCAGGCTTTGCCCATCGCGTACTGGTCTCGTTACTGGGTGGGTAGGTGTTTTGGGCAGGTGTGTTGTAGGACATGGGTTGAGGTTACAGTGGACGTTAGTATCAATTGATGTTTGGTACAACTGACGCGAAATTCAAAGGTTGACTGGGGGTGAGATGACATTAAGAGCGAAAGAGGTAGCGCATCTTCGAGGTTATACAGCTGATGGGTTGGATAGATTAACGTTGTATCTGGTGTATGGTGCAAACGATGGAGCAATGAGGATAACTTGGAGTAGAACGCTCCCTAAGCGAATCAGGACCGGCTCCAGAATGACACCGTTAGGAAACCTACAGATAGGCCTGGAGGAAATGTTTCGGTACAGCAGGAATACGTTAAACGCCAGGCTGCAAACCGTGCATTGAGTTAAGAAAAAAGAGCCAGATCTTCAGATTATAACCTGACCATGTCAGATTTTTGAAGTGCAATCCAATGAAAGACATGAGCCTGAAACAAGGGTTGATAACAACTGGAGAACCATACGATTGTACGGATGTGGCATAACGAGATGACCTATTAAGGGAGAGGGAGGCTAAGAAGAAGCATCCTGAGGGGGGTCGAGAAGATGAGGACTGGTAAATGTGTCTTCAAGTGACAGACGAAGAGAATCAAGTACGGTCGGTAACCGCCGACCGTATTCATACCGTGCACTGGGAACGCTTCATGTTGAGATGTATAGAGCAAAATCAAAGTTCACGACTACCGGTCGTTATGCCTACTGTGGGGCAACCAGAACTCAAATTCTGCCGTTAAGAGCAACCTGCGAAAGTGAATGGAGTCAGAATAGTCCTCGAGAATGAGTCGTGTAACATATGAGGGTGCTTGGGCTGCCGCGAAAAATATGAACGGTAAACAAGCCTTTTCCAAGCATTCACTGGTTCCAATAGTGAAGGAATGAGAGACGTACCGCTTCAGTATTAAAGATCTGCCGCCGTCACGATATGCAGATTACCCGGAGAACGCATTGGCCATTCGAGAAGTTCCGACAACGATCGAAAAATAGTGTAAACGATAATGATACATCCACTCACGAATACTGAGACATTAGGATATCATGACCACCCACAAAGTTAACCGATGGCCTTATGCCTTCAACGCTTCTTCCCGTTCTAGTACCGACTTCTCTAGTTTGATAAGAATTGTCGTTCTGTTTGGAAAGTTCTCTAGTGGTGTATTGTGCGCTGTCACTCTTGCTGGCTAGAGTGTCCACAAACGCATGAGCATCACTTTGGCGATGAATGAGTTGAGTGAGACGTACAAAGCCCAGCCCATCTAGAACAGCTTCGACTATCCCAGCAGTAAACGACGAGCAACTCAGTTGGCTCATATCTTTAGGTACCGACACATGCCGTGTTAGTGGAGGGTCGTTGTCGATGATCATATCTGAGCAACGAAAGGAAGTCTCTGTAAACATTTCTATAGGATTAAGAGGACCGTAAAGCATACACTCATCGGCGTTCTCCACGCTCTTCTCTATTGCATCCGCAGGCTTGCCAAAGGTTGCCCTCCAAACTTGTGTATGGATGAACATAAGTGCAGGTAGGAACCGAATCTCCCGCTTAGGATTCTTCGACGATGATTCTGCTCGCCATGTTATAAGCTCGAGAGACCTCGTTCCAACTCGATAGCCCAGTGTGTTCAATCTACACGTAGGAACCGAACAGAATCATATCAATGTCTGCAGTACTCTGGCACGAAGCAGTACGACGTACCTTCGTTCGAGATCACTTATCCCCGTCACCCTCTTCTGCGTATATTGTACTACCTCCGAGAACAAGAATGTGAATGCGGACGCTGAGACTTCAGCTGTTCGCGTCTTATTGAGGTTCCGATCATAGATGTTTGGTCTCAGTCCAGGTTTGGGGGTGTTAAGAGTGGTGTTGATCGAAGGTGCTGAAGGTAGAGAGAATCGTGCACTGGAAGCTGCGGGTGAGAGGTGTTCGGCTGATGAAAGGGAAGAGGCTGAAAGGACGGAGAAACGAGGATGTGGTTGCGCGAAGGACATGATGGTGAGCGGTAAGAGCAAGAACTCGTGATTGGGGTTCTTTGCTATTCCTCAGGCCTCAGGTCTCATTTCATTGACCGTCAGTAAGGCTCTCTCAATATGTACTACTACAGAGTACAGTGAATGGAAGTCATACTCGTCGAAACGCAGGCCGTTGCCATATTAAACCTGATCCTGAAGTCGCACAAAGTTTACAACGGAAACTCCATTGTGATTTCGCTCTGCTACTAGGAAATCGTAAGTAATACACTAGGTACTACAATAAGGGCGTCGCCACGACAAGCGTGCTGCAAAGAATCTAGAAACGTTGGAGAAAAGAAAAAAAGGAAACCGACGTAGTGAGGAGAAGCTCGAAAACAGAGATAGACAATGCGAGAGGGCAGTGGGAGTGTCCGCCTAAGCTATAATGATACAGATGCAAGTTTTTAAGCAAGAGTCAATAATGATAGCGTGGAACAAGTGTCTAGGAGGAAGCGACGTCTAGAAGAACCACCGCTTGCCACCCTTGCCACCTTTCTGGTTGTTTCCAGCTTGAGCGGCGCCGGCCTGAGCGTTGCCGTTACCACCCTTGTTATTGTTGTTACCGCCGTTGTTGTTGCCCTTGCCTGCAGCAGCAGTAGCTGAAGCAGAGGCGGCAGCGGCAGCACCAGTATCAGTTGCGTTACCTGCTGCTGCATTGCCCCCTGCAGCATTGCCTGCACCAGCCGCGGCCTTACCGTCGTTGGTAACAGTGAACTATTAGAACAGCGTCCGTAAGAATCTTATTCGATGAAGAAATAATAAAGGCAAGCTTACGTAGACCATATCGTCGAGAGATCCGTGCTGAGCAACCGCAACGAGAACAGGTTGATGGTTGGCAGCGGAGTTGATGGATGCAAGACGGTAGCTACCGGCGGGAAGACCGTTTGTGACGTCAGCAGTGAGAACACCACCCTGAGCAGCATCGTTGAGACCCTTGAAGAACGCAAACTTCGTGGGGTCGGTCACAGCAGTCGAGTCAATAGCGTCGATTTGCTCAATGACGACGTGCGAGTGACCCTGGATAGTACCACCGGCGTTGATTTGTTGAGGGGCAGCGAAGTAGTTCTCCTGGGCGTTGGTGAAGTGACCGGTCTCGAGGTTCTTGATGGCCATGGAAATCGTGAAAGCGGTGTTTGCTTTAATGGTATCGAAGTTCTTGGGGTTCGAGAACTTTGATGAAGGCATGTTAGTCGTCGCGGCAATGATACCCATAGGTGCGGGGTTGCATGAACCGGTCTTGACCTGTTGACCGTTGGTAATTGGAAGGTTGGCGACGGTAGCGCAGAAGTTGATGAAATTGTTCGATGAAGTCAACGAAGCAACTTGACCAGCAGCGGGTCTAGAGAAATACGTGAGTACATGAATCAAAGAACGATTAGTGAGAGTACGTACTGATCTTGACCGTCATTCTCGAAGCCCTTGGCAAGGACGGAGGGATCCAAGGCTAGACGAAAAGGTCAGCTCGTGTGGAGGGAACGGACGCATACGGTGTTCAACATACTGAGAGACGTCTGAGCGTCGCCGCCAGCGTTACCATTTCCGTTGTTGTTACCGTTGTTGTTGTTGCCGTTATTATTACCATTGTTGGTGCCGTTATTAGCGTTGCCACCATTGTTACCACCTGCTGCTGCAGCACTGCTGGTGGCCTGATATACCGTTTGTTAGCCATCAGGATATTATAGTCATGGGAAATTACTTACAGCTGCCGCTGCAGAGGTGGTAGTAGCAGCCCCCTGGCCGTTATTGGCGTTACCGCCTGCGTTCGCATTGCCACCCTTGTTATTGTTATTGCCATTAGCGGCGTTATTGCCGTTGTTAGCAGCGTTGCCACCATTGTTAGCGTTATTTCCGCCCTTGGTATTGCCGTTGTTGCCACCTTTGTTGTTGTTATTACCTAAATTTATGTATAGTCGGAATGCGTTTTCGTATATCATACGGTTAACAGGACTTACCCGCGGCACCGTTTTGGGCAGCGTTGTTAGCACCGTTACCGTTCTGATTACCAACCGCAAGGGTGTTTCCTGTGTTCACAGCAGCAGGAGCAGTCACCGTGACGGTGGAAACGACAGCAGACTAAAATAAAATAAAATGACAGAAACCGTCAGAAAACTGACAATTTCAAATGTGGACTTGTTATTATCAACGTACGCATGCATCCTTGTTGAACGCCGGAGCAGCGTTTGCGGCGAGCGCAAGAGAAAGGAAAGCGACGAGGATAGCCTTGGAGAACATCTCTGATGTGAAAAAAAAAATCGAGCTTGGCCGGTGTAGAGAAAGTCGAAGGTTAAAGAATGAAGGGAGGTAAGGACAGCTTCAAGAAGTCTGCGGTGGAAGAAAGAGTGTAAACGACACCGGGTCGAACTAAGCAGCACAAGGCAACAGCCTGGGCAAGAGCGAGTCGAGCAAGGAGGAAGGGGGTAAGGAGAAGGATAGAGAAAGCGCTTTGGTTGTTGATGTGTTACGCTTTTATAAGGGACCCGGATCGGATGCTGCAATGTTTCCATAATTACCTTTCGCTTATTCGTTTTGCTCCCTCCAACAACGCGAACAATCCCCACAAACGGCCAATCACACACCAGACATCGCCGTGCATCCAATCGCAGATGATGGCGAACTCGGCCGTCGCTAAGGTGATGTACCTCTTTCCAAAAAATTCGCTGTTACCACGGCGATTCTCCGTCTCACATATCCTCCTATCCGCAAATGTGTCCTTTCTCTCGAGCATGTTCCGCAAGGTAGACCACCCAGACGATCCTATTTCAACTTGATGATAGTACATTGTGCCCTGAGCAACCAAGTGCAACGCCCACCGGAATCAAGATGCTGATGTTTTCTACAACCACTTGGTGACCGGCATCCCCGGCAAAAATAGCTCATCGAGTTACTGCCCCCGCCTTTGCTGTGAAATTCCGTCTCCTCATGGACATTCGAGGTCACTCGCCATCTACATAAGCAATAGACATGGATGATCCTCCTTCCCCCGTCCAGGTTGTTCAGCAAGCAACCTCGTGCACGAGTCCTTCCCCCCTCAATGACGAGTAGAAAAACTGTAAGTTTCGCCAGTGCAGAAAAAGTCATTTATGTTCTGATCATCAACCCGACAGCAGCGTCCGCTTGACCTATTTTTAAGTACTCAACATTGTTGACAGAGTCTGTCCCTTGTGTTTCCGATCCCTCTAGCTTGTTCAACGATCTCGACAGCAACGGTTGCAAATATTCCACTTTGGCGACACTCTGCTGCTCAGACAGAAACTGCCAATGTTGACGAGTTCTCTCATATTTCAAACTGTCTTTTTGTCTGGTTCCTCTACAAAGCCATCCTCCTTATCCAGCCCCCACACTATCGTTGTCTACACTTGTACATCACGACTGGCTCTTCCATCTCCCGGTTTTCCGATTCCACGATGCTCTTCGTTCGGCCTTGCGCGATCATCATTCTGACATCTTTGAAGGCTATTCCGAACGCACATGGCTATGTACTTTGTGCCTTTTCCGTGTTTTAGGTCCATGATATCAGTACGGACTACGTGACAGGTTGATATGCGGCACTCTCTGGCCACCCCGTGCCCGGTGCTATCTGTCGATCTGTTCTTTGGAGGTCATACGAATGAAGGATCATCTTCCGAGAGCATACTAGAGGATGGAAGCGAGGGCAAGACTGATGAGGAAGAACGCGGTTTCCCGTGTACTTCTGCTGCTTCGAGTGCGGCGTTGTGTAGACCGAAGTCATTAAATTAACGTAGTCAGAGTTCGGGCTTGACGGGTCGCTCACAGCTCTTATATATTTAGACCCGTTTGGAATTCAAAGATCGAGTGCTTTACTCGATTAATGGCCCATAGGCGGCAAGACGCTAGACTGGTAAGTACATCATGGGCGATCAGGTAGGTACAGGTTAATGTTCGATACTGTATCTGATGTTCGGGAGAGGCGTGGCAGGGATGCTGTTCGATGAGCGATATATATCTTAGTCTCTGTGCGATGTCCTGCATCATGCCATCCCGCCTGTTCGCAGCTCATTAGATGAAAAAGCTCAACAGAACACCGATATTCGAGTCCTTCAAGAATGGGGACATTCTCAATCCGATAAAACCGCCCAAGTGCCTATCACTCATTCAGCGCTGCAGGACTCGCATTTTATATATATACACGAAGGAACGATTGTCTTCCGAGAGTATCTCCAGGCTGGAAACGAGCCTAGGCTGGTATTAATAGTGCTTGTACCCACGAAGCTCGTCTTGCTGATATTTATGTATAGCCAATAAGAAGAGAACGATGATGATATTTCGCTAATCCAGCTTTTGCCATGACCACAGATCTGGAGGTACGTGGTCTATGTAGAAAACCTGATGGTGAGATCAATGAATGAAGTGTCGAACGACAATGACGTGGGTTGAGGCCAGGAAGTACCAATACGAACTTCGAAGAGGTTGTAGAGGCCCGAATGTCGGGTGCCTCATGCGAAAGGTGTGCTAGACGAATTTGGAATCCTTTGTGAAGTCAGGCCGGATTGAATCGAGAGGGAGGTGAAAGGTGATGTGAAGAGCCTGAGCTGGTATACAGGATGTGAGGTGTATATGCATGCACGTTGCACATGAAGAGATGTGGCATAGCGGTACGCGATTGGAAAAAAGGAAAGTCAGTCGACGAGGATCACCCGGATTATGTACATACCAACGAAAAAAAGGAATCGCATATTGGAAAGCCGAAGAAAAGGGGGAAAGCAAAAGGGAAAGAATCCACCGTCCATCCTCCAAACTCGAAAGATGTGCATGACAAGCGTCGAGCTCGTGCGCGCACGAAATTAATAACTATCAAACATAAGAGAGAATCGACCAAAGGAGACCGAATTGGGGATTAATGGATGGGAGAAGGGAAAAGGTCTTTACTCGACATCTATCTTGAAACTCGTAACCTGAGGAAGGTACGCAGCACCGGCGAGATCCAACATCTGAACGTCATCAAAAACTTCCGTCCCGTTGAACCCGCCAAAGATAAATAGCCTGCTATCTGCCAATACGGCTGCGTGATACCCTCGTGGTATAGGTTTCTTGCCTGCTATAGGCCTAGTCTCGAAGTTCAACGAGACTATTATAACATGAGGATGCTTGTTGGGATGAAGATGAAAGCCACAGGACGCACCCAAGTTAAAAAGAAGTATTTCCGAGGTATAGCTGGTCCCGTCATGTCCACCCCATATGAATAGATATGAACCCACTTGGGTAGCGGTATGCGATAACCGGCGGTGGACGACATCTAAACGGACCATGCTCCAGATCAGAGTATCTATTAAACAAGACAGTCTTCAGCGTAAAGGATCTTCTGGTAAGAGAAGTAGACATACCTAGGTTCAAGCACCAGATATCCGAAAAACACTCCTTCCCGTCACTTCCCCCCATGATAATCATGACGTTGCCTACCAGATTCGCTGTATGGTACCCTCGAGCGACAGGTGCCTTGCCTCTCGTCCTCTGTTCCTCCCACTTCATCCTCTCTACCGGTACGTTCACATCCAACGTCCACAAGTCATTCAACGCCTGTGATCCATTACCTCCTCCAAACACCCACACTTTTCCTTTGTATAGAACTGCAGTATGTGCACGTCGAGGTGGAGGTTGAGGTGCATCTACAGGGAAGACGGGTTGCTGCCAGCGACGCGTGAGCGTATCGAGGACGTAGACGTCATTGCGATATACGGGACCTTCGCCTCCGCCGAATACGACCAGTCGACGATCAACGAGTGTGGCTGTGTGAGCTCGACAAGGTGGTGGAATATCGCCTTGAGCTTCAGGGTGCATCCATTGCATGGTCTCTACGTTTGACAAGGCGTATCAGAATGGAAGAATCGAAGCAATAAGAGACGGAAATGTGTACCAGTGTTGAACCACCAAATGTCCTTCCAGCAAAGTTTCTCGTCACACCCACCAAATAACCATGCAATGTTGTCGATCAGTGTCACGGTGTGTGCACGTAAATGTGGAGGAAGTGTCCCATACACAGGTGCTTTGCTCCAATACATGAGTGTAGCTGGCGCAGGGTCAATCGTGGAGTGGGGTAGAGTCGGCGTCGTTCGTGGCCGTGTTCGATCTTCCTTGACAGCAACCGCACCCTTAGGGCTCTTCCCACTCTTCTTCCCATCCTTTCCTTCGTTCTCCTTCTCACCTTTCTCGCTTCGCTCGCCCTTCTCACCCCGCTCACTCGTCCTTTCTCCCTTGTCTCGAACAGAACCAGTAGACCGTTTCTTCCTTGCTGTTGCCGTTGTCGGTGACGGCGTGTCTGAATGTGTAGTAGGTGTAGGAGGAGACGCGATGCCAGGATCTAGCGTGTGCAATGACGCGGTCGACGATGCACGAAGGCTGACGGGGTTCCGCGGACCCATGGGTGCTCGTGACACTGACGAGACCAAGCTGCTCGTGCTTGCACTCGCTGCAAGCTTGAACGTGGAGGACGAGCTTGACAGCGATGGGTGGATGTATGGAGAATTGGTTCGGGAAGTTCCTCGGCCGGATGTCAGCACGCTGTCTTCAGGAACATCACTGAGGTTGCCTATTCTTGGCGAATCGACAGATCCTAGCGCTGAGCTTGGCATAAGATATAGATATGCAACGAATGTAGGGTTTCGTGAGTCAAAGAGCAATAGCTTTCCACCTGGAATGATGAGCCCAAATTAAACGAGTCTGCGTAAGGAGTGGCAGTTGTGAATGGAGTTTTCAAACGTATGGGGTACTACGAAGGAGATAAAAACTCTTAGCGATGCTCAGGAACGATACTTCGTGCAGCCGAATACTCACTAGAGCTGACACGAATATTGGCAAGCTGCACCAACTGGGACTGTACGAGAGTGTGAACCACCAACTCTCAGAGACCCTTCAAGGATAGGTGTACTATGTAAGGAAAAATACTTCTCACTAGATCTTGGGGCAAAGAAAGAAAGGGGGATGGTAGAAAGTAAAAGTCAAGTACGACTACTAGTAAGAGCCTTGCACTGGCAGTTGCTTCAATTGCGGAACGAGATCGATCGGGTATGTCACACTGTGTAACATGATATGACATAGGTGTGACATCCGTGACAATGCTTCGAATTGGCCACTTGGATAGTGGCATATGAGTATTGATAGGACTCAAATCAGTTTAGAAATGAGCAGGTAAAACCATTCGAAACTTGGAGTTAATCCGAAGTTCATCTGGTGTATATATACAACTATTATCTAAATACATGCGGTATCAATGTGTTCGTATATCCTTATGGTATCGGTCAGGTTCGAGCATGGATCAATGAGTGTGTTTGGGTAGGTTTTAATAAGTGGTTGCAAATGAATAACGAGAGGAAAAGGTGTGTCCATAGATCTGGAATGAATGTGATCGTAACATTACCCCCTCCTCTAGAATCGTGTCCTCACGATTAATTATGATAAAGTGTGAAATTGTTCAATCATACCATGATGATCCATTCTTCTGAATTTTCTTCTTCTCGAAGTCGCATTCGGTAGACGCAAAGACAGATGGTGATTATCACCAAGTAGGTGCTTCCTACAGAGATGAATATGATGACAGCGTCGTCGAGCATTTCTACCAAAGAGCTTTCATTGGTTGAGTGAATGATTGTTCTAGAATGGGAGAATCCATACTTGGAATTGATATTGGTTTGATGAGTTGGTAGAAGGAGAGAATGGGGTATTGCCATTCGAGTTTGACTTTCGTAGGCGCGGATGTGATTGCCACGTGTGTCAGTTTGAGCGTCTGCTCATTGATGATCCATAACTCGCCGGCATTCGGGTAATACTGATTAGATATGATTTGTGCTTTTCTTCGATTTTCGAATAATTTAATCGAATCTGAGTCCACAGATATCATTGCTTTTTCTTTTTTACGACGTTCTGCCCATCTCTGTACTTTCTGATCCCAATAATCCCATTCTTCTTATGACGCTTCTCTAGGAAATGATTGTTCCATAATTTGTGCCTTCAGCAATATTCTTGTAGGTGCTTTTGGCGCATCGGGATGATCTTTATGGAATTTGTCGATTATTTTTTTATCTATGTTTTTGATAATTTTATGACGTGGTTCCCATGTATTTTCAGAACGTGGTTTTCCAGCCCACTTGATTAGATATTGAAGGCCTCCACGTGCCATCTTGGAGTCTAGTACAGATTCAACTTTGTCTTCTAAGATATCAATAATTATCGGAATGTTTTTGTGTGTTTTCTGATTTGGGAATTCTGGTGCGTGATATGGCAATAATAAAGTTTCATTGAATACAGGATGTACGCCTTTCCATGATTTTGGTAATTTGAGCTTATATGCGCTAGCTCCAATTTTCTTGATAATTGGGAATGGTCCATATCTTTTATCATCTAATTTTCGATTCGATCTGTCCGTGCATATATGCGTAGCTTCAAGCCACACTAAATCTCCATCTTTATAATTTATGGCTTCGCCTTTATGTTTGTCGTATTGTCTTTTCATAACATCTTGTGCAAGTGTCAATGATGCCGATGCTTCCTCTTGGATTTTCTTCATTCGTGCTACAAACTGCTCTGCAGTTTCATTACGAATTTCCTTTTTGGTTTCTACACCAGTGTAGGCTTCTCGTCCGTGATTCATGTAGAATGGTGAAAATCCAGTCGCAGAGTGGACTCTATTTCGATATGCAAATGTTGCCAGTGGCAACCATTCTGGCCAGTCAGTTTGTCGATGATTGATGAATATTCATAGATAGTTTTCAATTTCTTGATTGATTCGCTCTGTTTGTCTGTCTGTCTGTGGATGATATGCCGTACTAGGATTTCCCTGAATTCCTAGTTTCTTATATAAATCTTTTATGAAGCTGGATACGAATTGTGGTCCTCGATCTGATGTCATCTTTTTTGGTAATCCGTGCAGCGGATATACATTTTTGATATAAAGGTTAGCCCATCCTTCTGACGTCAATTGCTCTGTGGTTGGTATTTCAATGTAGTCTTTTGATTTCATATCCACAACTACTATGATCGCGTCATGCCCTTGCGATTCTGGTAAATGTGTAATCATGTCTACAGATTGATATTCCCAGTTGTGTTCCGGAATTGCATTTGGGTGCAATGGAGCATTCTTCGGTTGATGGTTAATCTTAGTTTTTTGACAATTCTCGCAGCCTTTTACATATGTTTTTACATCTTTTTTGATCGAAGGCCACCAGTACGATCGATAGATTAGTTCTTGTGTTTTTGCTTGTCCAGGGTGACCAGCACTAATCGAATCATGATGTGAATGAATGATTTCTCCTCTGAGTTCCTTATCAAAAGGGATGACAATCTTCCCCCTTCTCCAGATAAGACCGTCCTCGGTCTTATTGAAGTCGGCATCTTTTGTCAATAGTTTTAATCGTACATTGTTTTCATATTTATCAGTGTTTTTTATGATTTTCTCCCGTAAAGCTGATGATCCGAGGATTTCATTGGCTCGGAACCATTCTGGTTTTAACAACGTAATGTTTTCATTATGACTATCTCCAATATCGTGATGGGTCTGTCGCGATAAAGGATCTCCCTTCGTCATTGTGTTTCCGGGTTTGTGGGTCAAATTGAAATCATATTGTTGTAATTCTTGGATCCATCGCGCCTGGCGATGATTCAACTTCTGGGGTTTTTTGAAATAGCCAAGGTTCTTGTGATCGGAATGAATTTCAAATTTCTGTGCAGCTCCCATCAAGAAGTGACGCCATTCTTCTAATGAGATCATGATGGCTAGCATCTCTCGATCATAGATCTCATAGTTTCTTTCAGCCGGTAAAAGGCTTTTCGATAAAAAGGCGATAGTGTGCCATTGTCCATCTTGCTTCTGTGCAAGTTCAGCTCCAATAGCATATTTCGATGCGTCGCATTCGACTTTGAACTGATCTTCATTGTTCAGAATACCCAATACTGGTGCCGTGGTAATGGTTTTCTTTAGAAGTTCAAAAGCTTCTTGCTGTTCTGGACCCCAGGTCCATTCTACTTGTCCGGTTAATTTATTCAAGGGAGTGGCGATTTTGGAAAAGTCTTTGATGAATCGTCGATAGAAATTAGCGAATCCAAGGAATGACTGTAATTCCTTTTTAGCTTTTGGTGCTGGCCATTGCGTAACTCCATCGACTTTGGCAGGATCCATCTTTACAGTTCCTTGCGAAATAATATGTCCGAGATATTCTGTTTCTTGAGTTTCAAACTCGCATTTTTCTGGTTTGCAGGTTAACTTATTTTCTCGTAATATTTTAAGGACTTCTTTCACAATACGGCGATGTTCCTCCAGGGATTCGGAAAATATGAGTATATCGTCAAGATATATGATTACTTTTCCTTTGAGAATGAGATTACGGAAAATGTCATTCATCATCATCTGGAACGTAGCAGGACTATTTGTCAATCCGAAGAACATGACGGTTGGTTCATATAATCCTCTATTTGTGATGAATGCGGCTTTCTCTTCATCTCCTTCTTTCATGCGAATATTATTGTATCCCCAGCGAATATCCAGTTTCGTGAAATATTTAGCACCTTTGAGCTTATCAATAAGCTCCGAGATTAATGGTAAAGGATATTTGTTTTTCTTGGTCATATCATTGAGTTTTCGGTAGTCCTGTACTGGTCGCAATTTGCCATCTTTCTTTTTGACAAAGAAGAAGGGTGCTCCCCAGGGAGACTTTGATGGTCGGATTCTTCCCGTCTTTAGGTTTTCTTCAAGAAAGCCATCTAGGATTTTTTGTTCTTCGACAGTCATAGAATACACCTTGCCTGCATATGGCGATGAGTCTGGTAACAATTCTATTGCATGGTCCCATGGTTTCCTTTCTGGAAGGACATCGAAAGTATCTTCAGTGAATACGTCTGTGAATTCACGATACTGTTCGGGAACCATTTCTTCGAAGGTCTTTTTCTTTTTTTGTTTACTTTGTTCAATTGCTATGTCCATGGCTGTTACGCGCATTCGCTGAATATATTCTCCTCTTTCTTTATATCAAGCATTGGTATTGAGTAAATATACGGTATCTCCTTCTTCGATCTCTTGTTGTCTGATAGTGACGCACGTGTGTGGGCATCGGTTAAAGTCAACAAGTTGCAATTTGAAGTCTATTGATGGATTATGATATTCAATCCATTCATATCCGAGGAATATGTCTGACTTCCCCAGATCGGTAACTAGAAGCATGATGTTCTCTTGGTGATCGCCGATTCGAAGTGTGAGTCGGACATATTCTGTGATCGGTCCCTGAGAATTCTCGCTGTTATCGGTATTATAGACTTGGATCGGTTGATCAAATCTAGAGGTTTCAATTCCATGCCTTTTGACAAAATTATAATTTATGCATGATCCAGTACTGCCGGTGTCGACTAATGCTACTGTATCATGGATTCTTTCTATTTCCGGGATGATCACAGTGACCGGTAGATCCATTTGTTTTCCTCTTCCAAGTCCTTTGACAACTCGGAGTAGTGGTGGTCCAATGTCTGTGATGCTTTTATCCGACGCACTCGGTTTATTTTCAAATTTTTTTGTATTTTGTTTAGAGGAATCAAGCACAGGTTCCGCCCTGCCGCGCTTCTTGGTAGAAGACGCCTCTGCGTTAGATGAAATATTTACAAAAGGGGACTGTCCGATCGATGTACTATAGGCATGTATTGAAGATGTTTTCATAGAACCCTCCAGGGGTTTTTCCGAGTCATTGTTCTTATCCGGCAAGTTGCTTTGTGCGTTTAAGCCTTGCCCGAGCCAAAATTCAGCTTCTTCGCCTTCTCCGGGTTCTTCTCCATCCATCGCCGAACCATGGCGATCATCTTGTCATCGTCATCATCTGAGTCGAAGATCTCCTCAATCTTGGACTCTTTCTTGGTTTCATTCTTTCGAACACGTTGAGTGTTCGTGGAAGGTCCCAATTGATTGGGAACATGCCATGCACTTCCGCAAGTACCCTTCTCTGATTGCTTGGCCTTACACTTAAGGCAATTCCTGTCCAAGTCCATGGGCTGTCCACGCCCTGTGAACGTTGTGCCAGTTCCATCTTTCTTTTCTCCATAGTCCTTCTTTGGACTCTGATTCTGAGTTTGACCCGATCCTTGGGTCTGTTGTTGATTACTAGGGTACTTCTGCCCATAGTTCTGGTTCGATCGGTATGGTCTATATCCGATCTTCTTCAAACGCTTCTCTTCTTCCTGCTGCCTTCGCGAGGAATCAATGTCAATGATGGCTTGCTTCCATGCTGCATAGTCGGTTGGTCGTGTGTCTTTGTCGAGGACTCTATCTACAATGGACTCATTGCAGTTGAGTCTGATGAGGTCAATAGTGTGTTTATCGTCCTTTTGTCTGCCTGCCTGCGTGATGTACATTTCCAACTTCTGGAAATATTCCTGCGCCGTTCCATTGCCTTGGGTCAGATTATCCATTTGGATAACTGCTTGTTCGACTCGATTTGCATCGAGGAATGTTTCATGTAGGTCGAGTATTAGCTGACGAAAAGTAATTTTCCAGCTGTTTGCGTCGATGTTGAAATTATTGTCGAAGTAATTGTTGACCCAATCGTCAACTTGTGGACCCTTCATGTATGAAAGAGTCATATCGACCTTCTGCTCATCAGTGAGGCCAATATTCTTGGGTGTACGGTACCATAGTATCAATTGCCTTTTGAAAGCAAGGAATTTGTCTTTGCTTCCATCAAAATCTGAAGGTTTCGCTCCAGATGCCTTTGTGTTTGGCTGTGGCGGTACTGGTGGTGGTTGTCGGGGTGGGTTTGGGTTTTGTTCAAGATCACCAGTGTCAGCTTGTGTAGAACCCATTGGTGATATCGGTGATGGTGGCGTGGAGTGTGTGAAAGATGAGTGTGATGGCGGTAGGAGAGGAGATGGATTTCGGTGGCTGTAGTATTGGTAGAGCGGTGCAGAGAATTCAAATGAAGACGTGGTGTGTGAACAATAGTGTCTTGTACCGGGCGCACAACCCTGTTCTGGTACTTAGACGAGTATAGATCCGAGGTAAAGGTACTCCTTCAAAGTGTTCCGGTCAATTGCCAATCCGGACACACGAGGTAGGTAGATGTAGTAACTACGTAAAATGGTTTGGCCTTTGAAGGCGCAAAAAGAGAAATTGATCTCTGCGGTAGTTGTCTTTCGACATGCAAGAGAGTCAAGGGATACCAGCGAGGTTCGAAACCTCCTGCCGTACACTCAGTCGTTTAGGTCTGAGCAGGGTAAATTCTGGTAGGTTTTTTTCAACGGCCCCTCTGTCAAGAAGGTTGCAGCACCGCCTACTTCCTGGTTGCTTCAAGAGCGGACTACCAGGTGAGAGTAATGGTTTATGTACGAAGGGAATACAAGGGTCGCAATCTACAGTTGTAGTCGCGTGATTACCCAGGTGGAGGAATGGAGTGCGATATGAAAAGTAACTAGGAGTGTGGAATTCGGATCCCTCCGAATGAGGTCTTGAGCGAGTAGGAATAAAGCAGAGTAGAGTGAGGAATGAGGTGGTTGCCGTCGAGTACAACGGACTTTGAGTGAGGTGAAGAGTGGGTGGAGGACGAGGCAATGCCTGTCGAGAGAGTGCGAAGGGACAAGTTTCGAATTATGATAGGACTCAAATCAGTTTAGAAATGAGCAGGTAAAACCATTCGAAACTTGGAGTTAATCCGAAGTTCATCTGGTGTATATATACAACTATTATCTAAATACATGCGGTATCAATGTGTTCGTATATCCTTATGGTATCGGTCAGGTTCGAGCATGGATCAATGAGTGTGTTTGGGTAGGTTTTAATAAGTGGTTGCAAATGAATAACGAGAGGAAAAGGTGTGTCCGTAGATCCGGAATGAATGTGATCGTAACAAGTATTAAACCGAAGAAACCATGGCTTCGTTGATCTCCATCCATTGTACTTGTCGCGTTTTAGATTCCTCATACCATTCACCATTTTAGCACTGAAACCTATCTGTCTCTAACCATGTGCTTCTCAACGCCTATGCTTCCATATGTGCCTCCAACCAGGAGTACATATTCGGTCGCGTCGACAATGTCCGAGTCTGTGGCTCCAGTGGGCTTGGATGCACCTCCAACATCTTGTAGTCCTGCTCCAAAGAAGCCCACGTCCGAGCCCCCGAGTACTTCATCCAGAAGGCCATCTGTAGCCGTGAAGTCGCGTTCCAATAAACTCGCGAAACAAACGTCCAAATTGCTGTCTCCCGCAGAGGCAGCGAAAGAACTGGTACTAGACATTGATTTGAGTATGATTGGCAAAGGTTTGTCACTCCATTCTGAGACGTTACATGCATATATCTACCCTGCATCCCTCACACCAGATCAAGCTCGTAAGATCATGTCTGAGCAACATAAGATCCTAGGCTTCCGTCCTCCACCTGGTTCCCTTGCTGCAGAAGCACAGGCTGCTGCAGCCAGACATCCTGTTGTCAAGGGTGCCCAGTTGTTAACCGTGCAGAAATTGAAGGAGGCGGCGAAAACCGATGCCGAAGACATCCTGTATGTCCATTCTTTAACTAAAGATCCTGCTGGGGTCTGGAGTCCCTGAAATTTGGTTTGTATAGCTTACGAAGAGACGTACAGCGGTTGCAAGGGACGAGGCGTAACAACTCGTCTGCCACTCGGTCATCCGAGAACCGCATACAGTTGAATACCATGAGCGAAGGTGAGTCACCTAAAAATTGAGGCAGCACCACGTAGCTGACGCCTTAATTTGACACCCATAAGTAGCTGAAGCTCTCCACGCTTCATTTGCGTCTCAGGTTCAGGCGGCAACTACGCCTCTTGCGCAGGATACACACGGGAAGAACCCGTATGGACACGCTGACTATGACAGCGATGTGGAGAAGACAAGGTACACAGTGTTTTTCAAAATTGTCATGCATCATATTTTACAGGGACATTTGTTGTGTAGGACGCCGCAGGCAACGGGACAGAGGCAAGGACCTCGTTCTGGACACAGCAGGAGTAGACCGAGGTCGAGGCCGAATTCGAGGAAGTCGAAGTCGAAGTCGCTGAAGCTCACGCCTCCACCCCTGGAACGACTCGAAACTGGTGACTCCATCGAGATCGTCTGCAACATTCTTGGATGAGCCTCGCGTGTCAAGTCATTCTATTCGTCAATGCTTATAGCGTTGCATAGGCAATCCTGACTGTAATTCATGTGGTCTCGCTCTGGTTATTTCATACCCTTCTGGTTTGTATCTCTCTCGTATACTGTTTCCTTCATGTACTACCCTAACTGATACCTTAGAGCGCTGTGTAATACCAACAAGTCATCGCCGGTTCAGATTTGTTACCCAGAATTTGCCAGAGTCGCCTGCAGAAGTGGGAAAAGCTTCTAGAGTAGTGTGAGGATTGCAGAATCCTTCAAATTGTATTCCATTCATCGTTCAACTTGAGCATGTCTAGTGTAGATGTCGTATACCCCTGTGTGTCGCATACCGTACTTCTGCAATGCAGATCAATACTCCAGATTCCATATCGGGGTGGAGACAACGATCGATCGCTGTAGGGTATGCAGTTGTGCAGTTTTGTTGAGGCTCACCAAGTCAGAGTGGTACAGTACACTGTCGGAGGTAAGTACTCCACAAACTCTCCTTGAATTCACTACCTAGTAGGATGAACTGATATCTTTTCTCCGAACCATCTGTCTTTGATTCGTCATTGTTAGTCATTCCTTCCGTTTGATTGCGCTCGTGTTCACGAGAATTCAAGGCTGCCTACGACGCCTTGTACGTATGCTATAATCCTATTATTGGCGACTGCATGACCGGTGGCTCTAGCCTTCGCCTCTACAATCGACTCAAAATCATGTCAGCCATTTCTTCGGCTTACGAGAACTGGTCCAAAGAAGACCTCATCGCCCGTCTTCGACAACTCGACCAACTACAGACCCACCGCAGGCCTCCACATGAACACCCTATCAAACGCCATACTGAACCCTTCGACTTTGCTGCACATCCAAAACGCAAGATCGCACTCAAGTTCTGTTACCATGGACAACATTTTAGTGGAATGGAGTTCCAAATGACTCCAACACAACTTCCGACGGTGGAAGGAGTACTGTTTAGTGCTTTGGCGTATGCGCGGTTGGTGGATCCGCATGGTGGTTTGGAGGGTTGTGGATGGGAGAGGTGTGGGAGGACGGATAGAGGTGTGAGTGCTGCTCAGCAGGTGGTTAGTTTATGGGTGCGCAGTGCGATCGGGGACAAGGAGCTTCCCTCCGAAGACAAGGCTCAACTTGAAGAAGTCTCCTCCTCGAGCTCCCTTGAACCATCAAAAAATGAGGATGGACTAGGCCTGGTAGGTGACTTGGACTTCGTGGGTGATTGGGATGAGCCCCCGACGAATAGTGGTCGAAGGACTCCACCAAAAGAACCTTCGGAACTCAGATATGTCGCGTTGCTAAACAACATCCTTCCACCTACGATTCGAATCATTGCCTGGTCACCTGTATCTCCGAATTTCTCTGCTCGTTTCAACTGTCAACATCGACACTACAAGTATTTCTTCACTTCTGACGGATTGGACATCGAAGCGATGCAAGATGCTGCTTCGAGGCTCGTCGGCGAACATGATTTCCGGAATATGTGCAAGATGGACCCGAGGAAACAATTGACGCATTTCGTGAGGAAGGTCAAAAGGGCTACTATATCGCCTATCTCGAATGGCCTTGCTCCTACTACGAATATGTATGTGTTCGACTTGATCGGGTCGGCGTTCTTGTACAATCAAGTCCGACATATCATGGCCTTGCTGTTTCTCGTCGGTGCTCACCTCGAACAGCCATCTATCATCAACGCTCTCATGAATACCGACCCAAACAGCCCTCTCTCGCCTTTCCGACCAGACGAATCTGCGCCTTCCCTAGTTCTCACAAAGCCGGACTACCAAATGGCTGATCCACTTCCGCTGGTACTATGGGACAGTGCGTACGAGGATAGTCTGCTCAACTGGCAAGTCGAACCAGACGAACAACTTTCCGAATCCTCCACAAGCGAATCTAAACCAGGTCTCTCCTCACGAGACCTCTCAGCTAAACTCTACGACATCATGCACTCTCTCTACACCCGTTCACTCATCCAAACCACACTTGACGCTCACTTTCTCAGTGTAGTATCGCAGTACCACACCCCGTCTCCGAGGTACCTTCCACTGGGTGCCCCAGGGACTCAACCTATACCTTCGGGCGGGACGTTTGGGTATCCTTTGGGAGGGGCGTCGTATAAGAGGGGATCGAAGTATGTTCCCGTGCTTGAGAGGCCGAGGATGGCTAGTGCGGAGGAAGTTAACGAGAGATGGAGGCTTGGAAGAGGTAGGAAGCAATGGGAAAGGAGGTTGGAGAAGAGAGCGGCTTATGAAGCTCGTTCTGGTACGAGTACCCCGGGAGATGAAGCTACTCCAAGTCCCAGTGCGGATGTTGACGAATAGATGATCACTCCCAAGGATATCACTTGTGATAGGTGCAATACTGATGTTTACACGATGTTCTGCACAGGCGACTACAAGTTATCGTACACACTTCGGGCGTTATAATACTTGCGTACTCTAGAACTCCTGAAATATCTTACAATGGCTCAAGGGTCAGTGACTCTTGATCCCTATTATCAAGGATATCATAATGGCCCGGGCTGCAATATTGCGTAAACTGAATGTCAGTATGATTGGCACGGTAGATGGAGGAAACCGAACCATACCGGTATAATAGAGTGATAGGATCTTCAGGTTCCGGTGCATTCTCGAATTGTACAAAGTCAACGTCGATCTCACCATCCTTGTGAGCATGCCCGTCTAGATATGCAACATTGACGTTGACTCTGAGAGCACGAGTAAGTGCGGTCATTTGGACGTGGTCTATGAAAGATGAAAGGAGACATTAGAGATACAGTGGGAAAGATGAAGGACAATGATGAGCGCACCTGCTTCCTTGCCAACGGCTTCAACAAAGTTCTCGCAGAAAGTGACAGTCTCCATGGGTTCTCCGATCTCGGGATGAAACAGAAACGGTGCATATTCCTCAGGATCCAGACGAATCTGCGCGGAGGTGAGAAGACGAAGGTACATGACGATCGAATTGCTCTCTGTGATAAGGCCCTTTTACTACTTCTCTTCAGTACTCGGACAAGACTGGTCGACATACCTTCAGGATTGTTGAATGTGTCAAACAATGCCCTTGCGGTCAATCTTGACTTCCCTGGTTCGGGTTGCACAATTCGCATGATGAGGTTCTTGAAGATGTCAAAAAAGTCTTCAAATACGAGTTCTTGGAACCCGACGCTGGAGAGCATGGCTGGTGTTGTCTCGAGAGTGGAGATCGCACGCATAACATTGAGTTCAGGATCATCCGAGTGCATGATCCTCTCCACATATGCAAAAGCAAGGGCTGAAAGTGAAGACCACTCGTGAGTGTGTATGTAGTAAATATGTGGTAAACGAGCATACATCGGTAGAAACAGTCACCTGCATATGCAGAACTTGATGTGAATCTAGTGGAGTGATAACACGAGGCTACGTACCATCTCCTCTCGTTCTCCGAACTCCTTTATAGCCCTTGTCTACGAGCCAATCGATCTGCTTCACAAAGATGGTGTTCCCGTTCTCATATTCTGCGCGAAGGACTGCCATAGGTGCCAAGGGAGCAATTAAAGGTCGATCCTTGGGAATCGTATCCTCAATAGTGGCCTACTGACAGGATTGCACTATCAGTAAAGCGATTTGGGCGAAGCCCTCTGAGACGCACCTCATTCATGTTGAAGAGGGTGGATGGTCCTAGTGTAGATAACTCTACGCATTGTAAGACGCGTGAGTATAAGGTCAAAGAGACGCAGAAGCAGGGCGGTGTGGCGAAACACGCACCGGTGGGTTCGGTTATAGTCCATCCTGGAGGGGGCTCGAAGGCTCCACCCTGAGCTATTTCTATCCTGAATCGACGATCCTGAAAGAAAGGTAATCCGACTCACCAGCTGCTGCTGCTGCTTGGTCTGTAGTGGCCCAAGCAGGTGGCTCAGTATCGTCTTCTGGCAAATCTTTGAGCGTCTTTGCCAACTTCGCTGCATATATTGTTAACGAGGTTCGTGACCGCCAGAGAAATGTGTGATAACACGTACGAGGTTCGCCTGACAGATCGCCTGGCACAGGTTCAGATGGTGGATTATTTGGATCGCTCATGTCGAAGGAGGAAGAGAAAGACGAGTGGCAAGGTCCAACTCAATCGATACACGAGTTTGTTGAATAGACTGCCACTCCAGTGAGGGCGGTCAAGATCTGACTTGCATCTTGCACCGAAACGACCGTCATCTTCGTCAGGCACTGCTATCTAGTGAGCTCTAAGATACTCCAAAGAGACATAATGCGGAGAATGGCTAGCGGGATGGACGCGACCTGCTAGTGATGATAGCAGTTCTGTAGAGCCCGGGAGTCTAAACTGACATCTATCCGCGCCCCTCCGCTCACACTATATTAACTACACCTATGGACTTGCTTCCGCCAAGTCGCTTCGTTCTCACTCATCCGATAGAGCTAACGAGATGTTCATGAGGCCAGTCATCACTGTTGGGTCACATTGACGAACGTTCTACAAGTACTCGGGACCGGCTTCGTCTTCCAATATTCACATTCCCCACCACCTGTCAGTGCTCGCATGTCCTTATACCTTTCAAGCGACTGATTTCTCTGGGTTATTCAGTGAACAGACCTAAAACACGCACGTTGGACGAAGCTCTCGCCTTACACTTCTGATACAGACAACGACCCATATGGCCACCATGAATATATTGCCGAGAACACTACCTATCGCCCCTCCAGACCCCTATATGCCCATTTGCTCCACAGAAAACGTGTGCGCAGTTACCAGGTCGCAGTATTTGGAGTTCAAGAACGAAGCACTTCCGATTTGATTGCTGCTGCTTGTGGGGATATATAAAGCGCATCAATTACGTTGCATTTCCCCGCTGGGTTCTGCTGGCGCCGTAACTCTCCTGGTTGGCTGGCTAGAAGAGACTGTACGCAACAATGCATCTCGTTCTTCCTGCTGTTGTGCTTTCTTTCGTGTCTTCGATCATCGCTCAGAAGATCGTCCTCACGAATGACGATGGCTGGGCGGTCGCTCAAATACGTGCTCAGTTTGATGCATTAACTGAGGCCAATTATGATGTATGATCACCCGTTATCCAACATTTGATTCTTCCTGATGTTTGCATATAGGTCATCCTGTCTGCTCCAGCTGAGAATAAGTCTGGCACAGGATCGAGCACAACAACTCCTGAGCCTCGTACCGAGCCTTGTCAGTTTAACAGTTGCCCTGCTGGCTCACCTGCAGAAGGCGCCAATGCTACCAATCGTACGTCTTCGCTTTCTGTTTGCCGTTTTTTGAGCTGAGGTCGAACGTCTTCTCTGCAGCTCGCTTCAATTATGTGAACGGTTTCCCGTAAGTTGCTCTAGAAATTGACTTGCAAGCCATTGTCCGTGACTTCCTTCTGCAGTGTGGATTCAGCGAAGTTCGGAATCCAGACGCTTGCACCTCACTTCTTCAACTCCGCACCAGATTTCGTCGTCAGTGGTCCTAATGTCGGCTGTAAGTGATCTAGGCATGAACTCGGCTAGTTGTCTCTAATCTTATCCCTGCTATAGTAAACACCGAATTGTCGGTATTTGGCTCCGGGACCGTGTAAGTTTCCTTCATCAGCGTTATGAAATCTGCTGATTTTCTACCAACCGTTCTAGTGGCGCGGCTTGTGAAGGTGCAAAGGAAGGCATTCCCTCAATTGCTTTCTCGGGACAAGGGTCATCCGCAGTTTCGTATACCACCCTCGATTCGGATCCTACGTCTTCTTCGACCCTCTCTGCTCTCTTCAACGCCAATCTGACGACCATATTCATGAAGGCGCTCTCTGCGTCTACAGCATCACCTGTTTTACCTTCGGGCGTCGCGCTGAACGTCAATTTCCCCCATTTAGACGCCTCGACCTGCGCTCAGCCATCTGACGTCCAATGGGTTTTCGCCAGAGCTTTACCCTCTCTCCTACCTACCGACGTCAATATATGCGACAATGGGGGGAGGTTGCCGGTGGACGAGACGGTGGTGCATGCTGGTTGTTTCGCGAGCGTAGTCGTTATTGACGCGAGCTGGAAGATCGATGTACTTGGAAGTACCCAGCGGAAAGTGCTGGATAGCCTGAGTCACCTTGACTTCGCTTGTCTCCCGAATTAATGATACCATTGTCGTAGGAAGTAGAAGGAGATAGGCTTGTAACCACTTAACGTTACAAGGTATATTGTCCAGTAACAATACAACGAAGACGGGCTGTGCTTTACATACTACGCATACAAGTCCAACAAACTAAGTGGTATCTTATCCGATAAGATGTTAAATGTTTATCGACAGAAATAAGGCATCGAAGGATCACTTCGACCTCGTTTCTGGAGAAGTGGGCGATAAATCAATCTGTGCCCTCGCCTCTCTCGAGTCCTTTGCGTGCTGTTCATCTATCCTTCTTCGTTTCTGTTCCCCTTGAATAAAGAAAACAAAGGCTGCGATACCGCACACGAAAGCGCCTTGGAAGATGAGTGCACGATGCATATTTTGAGGTGGATTTGCAGAGTCATCAGCTCGCATGGAGTCCTCAGCTAATACCACGGCACGTCAGAAAGTGAAAGGGCGAACCGAATGGTGTTGTACGTACATAAGACAAACATTATTCCGAAAAGGTTACCCCTACAACGCATGAGACTGGAGTCAGCACCGGAAGAAGGACACGAGCGTGTGCTTTATACGTACGAAAACCAAAGGATAGCTGCACTTCCATCCGCGTTTCTCGTTAACTCTACAGCAAGCTCCAGTGCGACGGGTAACATTGTCAGACTGGTTGCTCCCATCAACGCCATAATCGCAAACAGGCCTCCTGTGTTATGAGGTTTTACTGTTTGAAAGGACTCATGAGCAGGTAACTTTAGCTCATGATTTATGACCCACCAGCCCATATGAGACTCAGCCACAGAATTCCGAAGATTGGGCAGAGGATCTTGCAAGCCAAAGCCATATGATACGTTATAACTCTGTCGAATAGTGGTGAAGTGATAATGGCGAAGACGATTCCGACAATGAGAAGCACAGCTCCCATGAGTCCGGATATAGTGTCCGAGTAGCCATAGGGTCCCTATCTCAACAGTCAACATAGTGCCTAGTACTAGATGATTTCATGAGTGGAAACTCGGAACTTACGAAGAACTGGGCGGTTAGGACGGAAAACGATGTAACCCTGATAAAGAGAACGGTAAAATTTGAGAGACGAGATGTTGAATTGCCTGGAAAGACCTACACTCCAACCAATACTCCGAATACAAGAGTGACGATCGCAAAGTCGAACCGTTCACGCCAGGTCATATAGGTCGGGAGAGCTGCAGGTTCCTTTCCGAACATGGCACGGACCAGAGATACGTTTCCTGGCGCTTTCTGAGTCGCTGCGAATGCTATGAAAGATCGTTAGAGGCACGGAATATATAAATGATAGTGTATATTACTTGGAGGTGTAGGCGGAGCATTCCCGATTAAAAAGACGAGAGGACCGACTACCGTCTGGATAATTCCTAAAATAAGGATCTGAACGTCTGCGATTAGAAATGGTCCGTCCAGTTGGGCTTTAGCTTACTGATGTCTTTGTATTGCCAGGAATCGGGCTAATGAGCTGGGCAAGAGCGCCTACCAAAGGGTTGGATACATTGGCAGGAATGAGACAATACTACGCACCTCCAACAGGATTAGCTGAGTTTTGATTGCATCAGCAGGACAAATCGAAAGAAACATATGTACGGACCTACAGACAACACCATCGTGGCAGTCATACGACCTTTGAGGTCGAACCAGGTCTCGGAGTACTTGGGTCCCAAAATGAGAAAGAATGGTTGGGCAGCCCCGCCTAGAATCTAGAAGCTATGAAAACAAACAAAAGTACTAAGAAGAATTCACTCACTTGTGCGATCATGATGAGAGCGTACGATGCGTTTTGCGATACTCGAGCGGTTCCAGCATACCGTATCCATGCGGATACCAACATGAGGAGAGCGCCGATATCGCACTGGCAAAGTCCATTGAAACAACGAGAACAATCGAATCTGGCTCAAGTCATACCGTGCGTCGTATTCCATATCTCGAGCAAGTATCCGGTACAATCAGTGAAACAGGAAGGAGAACCGCATTAGTTACGGTCCCCAACCAATTCACGCGATCAAGGGAGAAACCGAGTTCATCGAATACTGGGCACAGAGAAATTATAGGTAGGCCAGATATGAAATATTTGGAATAACAGCAAGTGCTCACCCTCGTTAGCGATAGGACCAAACCAAGGCCATGGCATAGCGCTCGCGACGCACAGAAAGAACTACTTATTGTGGCACATGTGAATGACATGCGCGAGACTATGCCATCGTAAAACTGACCAGCGCAACCTGGCCGACAAACCGCCTCTTATATAGACGATATACATGCTGGGTTTCCTCGCCACGGTCGCTGGAAACTTGAGTTGCAATAGTCAAGCACTGCTTGGAGACCTTTTCGATGACAGCGTCCATGACCTGCGAAGGTACGCTATCGCGTACACTAGGTCTATCGTCGGGCTCTCCCAACCGGCGAATGTGCGTTATCTGTAGACGTCAAGACAACGTTAGGAAACCCTTAGGGCCTTAAGTAGAACGAAGTTGGCAGTGGCGCCGATCAAATAACTCACCCCCGCTGATCGTGCTTGAAACTCTTCAATATGGAGGGCGTTTAGCTTCGTGGCTATCCCTAGCTTGGGCAAACAGCATTTTAAGACCGTTGCAGTCTTCTAGAGCTTGGCAGATAGACACCAGCACAACAACCTGCAACGCCATAATTAGGTGGGCAGAACATCTGCTGCACATGGTGCTGGGAACCCATGATAGGCAGCAGGGACATCGGCGACGCGGCATCCCGACAAGTTGTTGACAACCTGTAGGTTTAAGTTATGCTGTTGTATGTAAATGAGGCCCCAGTGACAGATAGAAAACAGCTATCATAGGCAATACTGCAGACAAAAGGCTGATGCACGCTCTAATTCCAACATCGTTAGCATTCTAAGGCACTCGCATCGAGACATCACGAGCCTGCTTTTTTCATATCGAACCGGCAGAGTCCATGCTTGCGGACACCAAGCAATGATTGGCACCATGTCAACGAAGTGACCTTGAATGGGTCAGTGCCTGAAACGTAATCATCCTATAACTTAGAGGCCTGCAGCCGCCTGCCAGTTGCAGAGCATAACCTCAAACACCACATTAAATACTAGGTTTTACCAAACTGTCTCGCCATCTACTAGCTATAGTACTTATACGACCTACGTGGCACTGGCAGCCTGGCCTTGCTCGCTGAATGGCTTCGGGCTTCGCCGGACAGCCCGAGAGCTGCTTTAATGATCTCTTTGCATTTTCGTGCCTTCTACGGTACATGCAGACGAACCGACCCGGATGACTACTCTTATCTGCACCGTATAGCTTGTGTCTAAGCCCAATTGGGGCGGCGGCAACAGGATATTTCTTCATGTAACAAAAAATCACCTGACATCAACATCGGCAGTAGGCGAAACTCCCCATGGTTGTGGAATGTGGATCATGCATGGGAAGACTGTTACGTTCTAACGCATGCTTGACCTGCAGGAACCATTGCGTCTTGCCCCATGAACGTTCAAGCTCAAGCCTCTGGTTGATATTTGTACCCACACATCAATCATCTGAGCATTACGCCCACGTGAGGCCCACCGTGCCTTTGTTGCTATATTCACGTCGAATCTCGATTTTAAAGATTTGTTTACGCCGCATCTAGCACGGTATAAAAGTTATGCATGAATGCCTAGAGCCATACGTGTACGACGAACGTGCGCAGGGTACATTGACCAACTGCCCAAAGAACATGGAGCAACCGGCGTGATGGATCTTGGCCCAACAGGATTCAGCTATAAAAGCCTTCTGGCAGTTGTTGACATACGCCGTGCATTCATCGCTGTCTAGCTCATCATGCAGTTGTCTGTTGCAACACTCGTTCTCTGTGCCGTTCAGGCCGTGCTTTCTCAAAAGATCATCCTGACGAACGATGACGGTTGGGCGACTGCTCAAATTCGTGCTCAGAACGATGCCTTGATCACAGCTGGCTTCGATGTTTGTCTTTTGTGGTTTCTGTACAACGGGACCGCTCAAATCAAGCATTCTTAGGTTGTTCTTTCTGCGCCCGCCCTGCAGAAGTCGGGCACGGGATCTTCGAGTGCACCTCCTACTCCTCTCACGCAACCGTGCGAGTTTAATACCTGCCCTACTGGTTCTCCAGCTACAGGCTTCAATGCTTCTAATCGTATGTTACACTCATGTGAAAGATGAAGTCCCCATCTGACCACTCTGGCGTCTTTTAGCTCGGCTTAACTACGTGAACTCATTCCCGTAAGGATCCTGCATTTCGCTACCATTGCCTGTGCTGAAGTATACCTAGTGTCGATGCGGCTCGCTTTGGCATCCAGACGTTGGCCCCCCAATTCTTCGGGTCTCCGCCTGACTTTGTCGTCAGCGGACCGAACATTGGCAGTACGTTCTGGATCTTCTGACTCACATAATTCAATGTTCTAGAATATTGATCTGGAATCTTTCTCATGCAGCTAATCTTGGAAGTGGGATTACAGGCTCAGGCACTGTGTAATTATCTCAACCATTTCCGTTTTACATCTATACTCATCATCTCTCCTTATTACTAGTGGTGCCGCAAGCGAAGCAGCTCTTGAAGGCATTCCTTCCGCCGCCTTTTCAGGAGCTACGGGATCCCAAGTTTCTTACACGACTCTCGTCACCGACCCCAACTCTACATCCAGTGTCGCAGCGCGTCTCTACGCTGGTCTCGTCGCGAAATTCACCAAAGCACTTATCACACCCGCTGCTCGGCCTATCCTGCAACCGGGCATCACTCTGAACGTCAACCTTGCTGCTACATCTGGGTCTGGATGTACCAACGCGTCGAACTTCAGGTTCATCTTTACGAGGCTGGTAGCTAATTCGGGTGCTACGGATGTCTCGACGTGCGGGACTACTCATCTGCCAGATGAGAGCACTGTCACTAGGAGTGGAGGGTGCTTCGTGACCGTGACCGTCATTGATGCGACGACGAAGAAGGATGTGAACGCTACAGTTCAGGGTGTGGTCCTGAACAGGTTGCAAAACTTGCCCTTCACCTGCTTCAACTGAAGCTGCTCAGTTGATCTAAATCTTAGAATGCCGTAGAATGCCGTAGAATGCCGTAGAAGTTGGGAATACCTGTCTTGCTTGAAGTTCTATATCCGAAACAGTATGAATGTAGAATTTTCAACATTGACGTGAATATCAGTGTGGGCAACACATGTGTGAACCACGACGCTTGCCATCTTCGGGTTCAAGCAATTGTCATTAACGTTGATAGCGGCTAAACGCTAAAGCCCGATTGGAGTAGTACTTAAGCTTGGTACCCATGATAACATGATAGCCCCGTCCGAAAAGCAGGCCACAGCTCTTGTTGAGCTTGCGATGTGAGTACTGTCTTTTAGTTGAACGTGTTCCATTCATGTACTGAATGAATACTATGCTGTTACAATCATTGCAATCAGAGGAACGCCGTAATATGGTCCAAGTTCATTCTCTCAACATCTCACCGCCTCTTATCAACTCGTCTTGTGCATGGGCTTCCGACTATGCGCAGCTGCGCGAGTTGTACCAATGCGCGGAAATTGGAGCGATTACCACTCGTACCGCTACTCTGAAGGGGTTCAACCAGGATGAAACCCACACTGTGAGTTCTTGTAGGAATGCCTCAGTGCGACGACATATTCACGCACGACAGGTCGCATTCTCCAACACGTCCGTCACAACGGTAAATTCTTATGGATACTCACCACACCCATTGGCATCATATATTGAATGGGTGTACGAACTGCTCACGAGCTCCGGGGCTCGGTTGAAGCCTGTGATCATCAGTGTCACGGATTCGGATCCAGACAAGTTACGCGAATTGCTCTCTCAAATCCAAAGTCTACGCTCCCGGCTGAGGGCGGTTTCCTCTGGACATGATGGCACATCGGATTTGTCTCGTTTTGTCGCAATTGAGCTTAACACTTCCTGCCCGAATATCAAGAGCAAGCCTCCTCCAGCTTACACCCTCCCACTTCTGAAACCTCTCCTCAACGTACTCGCCGAATCGTTTTATGAGGATGGGACACTGACTATTGGGCTGAAGCTTCCCCCATACATCTACTTGACTCAGTTTAGCGACCTCGTCGATTGTCTTGCTCAATATTCGAGAGCAGGCGACAAGGAGATCCTCACGATCCCGTTCGCGTTTCTGACGTGTACCAATACTCTTGGGTCGTCCCTCCTCTTCACGGATCAAGTATTACCTAGATCAACAACGCCGTCGTCTGATGTCCAATCTAGCTTCGCGCTTCCCACTGGCCTTGGAGGGCTCGGGGGAGATGCAATGCATTCCCTAGCCTTAGGCAACGTCTACACGTTCTCACAGCTTCTAGCGTCATCTGAAGATGCCGCTGTGAAGGACATCAAGGTTATCGGTGTTGGTGGGGTTACGAATCCAGAGGCTAGAAAGAGGATGCATGCTGCGGGTGCTAGCGTGGTAGGCTGTGCAACGTTGTTGGGATTCAAAGGTGTCGAAGGCTTCAAGCTCTTAAGTCAATAGGTCAGGACTCATTCATGAAGGGTTAATATGGCTCACCGAATGTTAAAATTCGCCAGGTTATGTACGATGATGTTGCGCGTAATCAATCTCGTTGAATGGAGGCTCAGTTGAATCTTCCCTTCTCGCTCTACATTTCTCATGCCTATCGCCCTCAGCGTTTGGAGGATATCTTTCAATACTGCTCCAGCATTGCGAATATAGATTTCGTTCAGACATTGGGCGATACAGACGAACCCGATATACGAATCTGCTACGACGGATCATAATTGGTGTGAGAGGCATTAGAAGTTGAGGCTACTACAATCCCGGCGGTTCTCCAAACGCAGGTGACGATAACGTTCCTGGAAAGGATGGAGGATTAGCCAATACGACATGTTTTTTCAGCACTCCCGCGTCGCCTCTCGTCGGCGATGGGATAGGACTAGAAGACAGACTGTGGGAGTCTCTGAGATACTTCCATGAAGTTGGACATATGTTGGGGCTTCTTCATCCTTTGTGAATACTATGAAGAATTTACCTTATGGCGAGGAGGGTGTCGTGGTCAGATCCATCATGGAATATCCTGGCGTCGTAGACGAAAATGGTGAGAACGAAAAGAAGATCATCGTTCTCGATGCAGTCCCAACGGACAGGGACAGAGCCATGCTCATCGTAAGCACCCATCTTGAGATTTCTGAAATATCTTCTGATTGATATTTTGCACGCAGGCCATGTATCCGCCTTCGAGTGATAGCAGCGTTTTAGAGACGGCGATAAATACACTGCTGGAACCGGGGAATGAGGATGGCACTTTGGAACGAACTAAAGAAATAAACAAGATCATGGACACATACCAGAAGATATAACAGAGCTTCAGCGAGACGAGTCGAATGAGTACATTCACTGAATTGAGGAACCTTGTGGTCGAGAGTGTACCGAAAGCAGATGGAATACTTTCAACGAGGATCCTCGGGAGCTGAAGTATGTGTAGGAGCAGTATGTGTATCTCCCTGCATAGGCAAGTCCATACCGCGATCGGGAAGTGACATACCTGCTGCTCATTATCGAGCCATTCATAGCGAACGTTGGGTTAAGGTGACGAAATGCTTGACATAACTTATGTAAATGAAGCTACTCTACTTGATATATGGGTGGATACGTTCTTTGCAGCAATCAACGACGGGGCCTATTCAGACATTCCGATATTCGAACGCTGGTGCACCGGGTTCCGCAGAGTCAATGATGTTCTTGGTGAAACCAGGTTCCTCCTTGGCTTTGGCGTCGTCCGCGAAGTAGATCTCAGCATCGACGAGACCAAGGGTACGCTTCAGGTAAGGCAGGAACTCCCGCAATACCTCAACCTCAGAGAAAGGAACAGTTCGGTTGAAAGCTGTTGTAGCGCCGAACTCCGCGATACGTTTCTGTAATAGTGTTACAAGGTGAGTGCGAATCAACGAGGAGAGAGACTGCAGCAGAAACGCACTTTGAATGCTTGGATGAAGGGCATAGCCTTCTTGTCCTTGATCATGCCCCTTTGGATCAATAACCCCCTAACCTTCGCATCATCAACCTTCTCTCTCTCCGGGTCGTATGCATCTTTCACGACTTGAACACAGCCATCTTGCCACTCGGGGAACCTGGTCGCAACGTAAATCCTGACCGCCTTGGGCTTCTTGGGATCGTACGGTGCCTGTGCGCCCTTGCCCTTGTTCATCTTCTTCAACAAAGACAGCTCCGCATCACGCATCGTCTTTGTTGTGTCGCGCATGTATACGCCAGCGTCGATGATCGTCCTGTCGACAGGCTTCGAGATTTCTGGCCACAGCGCGAATTGCACGGACTTCGGTTCCTTCAGGACAGTGCTCCATATGTGTTCTGAGAAGTGGGGGGCAACGGGCAAGATAAGGAGGGTTGCGATACGGATCCAGTATTGGACAAGATCGTGGTGCATGCCGACGTCAGATGTTACTTCACGGTACCAGTCACGAGCAGATTGGAGTTCGTAGAAGCCGTACTTCAACGCGTCCTTGAAGTTGTACCTAATGTGAAGACAAGGATCAACAACTTGAAAGTAGTCAGAAGGGCGATGAAGGGGAAACTCACTGATCGTAGTGGCCCTTGGTGATGTTGACCAAGTTATTCACCTCATCCTCAAAGACGGAATCATGGAAGTTCTTCTCCCCCTGCCTCAACTTAGTATCATGATGCACCATCTCCTCACACCATAACATCAAAGTATGCAAGCGGAGAATGTTCGCATTCGCCGTCTTCTCATCAAAGTTGGCGTCTTCGATACCGTCACCCGCATCAGCCAAGCTCACCCTCGAAGCATCAGCACCGAATTTCTCGATACTCTGACGCATCGTCAAGGTGTTACCCTTGCTCTTGCTCATCTTTTGACCGTTCAACATCAAATGTCCGTTGGTACGGATGCTCAACGGCCATTTCTCTTCAGGGAACATGACGGCATGAGTGTAAAGGCAGAACGTCAAGTGGTTGGGAATGAGGTCTTTGCCTGAGGAACGAATGTCGAAGGGATAGAAGTATTCGAACTCGTGACGCATTTTCTGAAGTTTCTCCTTGGCGATAATGGAGGACGAGGGGAACGGCCCGTTGCTGAAAACATATTCCCACACCTCTTCCGTCATTTGGTCAGGAGTGATGTTCAGAGAGCCAGGTTTACTGCCGTTCCATTCACCTATTGTGAAGGCGGTGAATACCACAGATAAATAGTGGGAGGAAAGAAAAGACGTACTGTGCAGGAAGTGAGCGATGGTATAGTAGGCCATGTACATCGTCGAGTCGCTCAAACTCTCGACCAAGAACTGAGGATCCCAAGGAAGTTTGGTTCCCAAACCATAAGTCCTCGCACAAGCCCACTTATTCAACCAGGCAAGCACGCCTTCAAAGCCGTTCCTTGTCTCGGAACCGTAGGTATCCAACTTGGACAACAACCTATAGGGACAGATGGTCAGCTTCACCTCTTGCCACGCAAATGTTTCAAGTCACAGAACGTACTTCTCAGTCTGGGCTCTCCACACAGATTCGCCGTAGTCCAGGTACCACTGGTCCATCAGCGCAACCACACACTCATCTCCACTTCTCGAAATGACCAAACCTTCGGGCTCTGCATACGGGAACGCTACACCAGCTTTAATCATACTCTCCCTGACTTTTGGCTTGGCATCCTGCACGCTTTCACCCTTGAACTCGCCGATCAACATGGTGCCATTGTAGAATCCCTCCTTGTACGCCAGCTCCTTGGCCTCGGCCAACTGCTTTGCATCCTTGGCAGATTGGATCTTCAATTGCTTCACGAGCGCAGGCGCAGTCATCTCGCCATAAGTAGGTGTGCTGATAACCGGTACCGGGTCAATAGCACACCACAATGGATCGATCTTGTAGTACTCTGGTTTCTTCTTGAGGTCCGTGAGAGTTGCAAAGTCATCCGGCGAGTCGGAGGGTACAGACGTGACTACACCAGTACCCTACAAAAATATAAGAGTTAGTGATACCTATTGTAGCATGTTGTGTACGAGTGCATACCTTGCTCGCCAAGACGCTCTCCATCGGCAAAACGTAGACCTCAGGGTTCAGAGCGAACGGCGCCTTGATCTTCGTACCAACGATCGCGGATCCAAGAAGCTCAAACAACTGATTGACCTGCCCTTGAACATCGAAGGTACCCTGGAACGCCATATTTCTTGCCGCCCTTGTGGTGCAGACATACGCCTCCTTGTCATTTGCCGCGAATACGCCGTACTTCAGATCCGGGCCCACGAAACAATTCGTCTGACCGTACATGGTCTCAGGTCTCAGGGTTGCGGCAACCAAAAACACTTTCCGTCCGCCCAGCTTGGAATCGATATCAACCTTTTGGACAGCATCGCTCCATTGCACGATTTCCATCTTGATAGCAGTATACTCTTGGGGGTTCAGAGCCTCACCCTCCGCACGATCGTGGTCCATACAAGGTTGGCCATCCTTCGGGGAGTAAATGGTGTAGCGCTCGCCGAACTTGACTTTGCCCATAGCGTAGAGTTTCTTGAGTTGCCATCGGACGAACGAGTCATAGTAGGGGTTGGCATCGGTGGTGATGAAAGAGCGACGCCAATCGATACGTGAACCAAACGCGTTGTTGTCCGACTGCATTGCAGGTTTGCGTGAGGCACATTGGATGAACAACAAAAAAGGTACGCACAATACACATGGGAGGGAAATAAGTCATCCAGTAGTAGGGATCCGCAAACTTCTTGATGTCTTCACGCGGCACCCCGATTGACTCCATAATTTGGAACTGGTACTTCAAGCCAGTTGCTTTTGCAGCCACCTTGCCCTTCTTTGCCTTGTCCAGTTTGCCATGCACACCAGCCGTGCTTTCCGTCGGTGCAGGTGCAGCATCTAGAGACTCCTCTTCGGCATCGGGGTTGAAGCGTTCGAAGTTCTCGCCGAAAAGCTCAATCTCGCGAATGATTTTATCCGAGGCGGCCTATACCTCCAAACAACGTCAAGATCGGAAGTTCATGAGAAACATGTCCAGGAAGAATACGCGTCTCACGAAAACTCACCTTGATTGGCATACCCGTGCAATGGAATCCATGTGGAAACAACACTCTCTTTCCCAACATCCTCTGAAACCCAGCAGCAAACTCGATTTTCGAGATCGTAAACGCATGTCCCAAGTGCAGCGATCCGTTCATGTATGGGTATGGGAAGTTACCAAACCATTTCGGAAACTTCTCCTTGATTTGAGTAGGCGTGAGCCCCGCGGTCTCTTCTTCTGTGGGTGCATTGACTTCAAAGATACGTTCATTCTGCCATCGCTCCTGGTATTTTCGTTCGAGGGATATCAAGTGATCGCGTTTGCCTGTCTGCAGTCGACTGAGTGAGACGATCAATTCTTGACATACAGATAAAGAGACCCCCAACCTGTGCAAGTTCTATAGTGTTTCTTGAAGCGGCCATGATTCTAGTTGTGGAAGAGGTACTGATACAGCGGGATAATATACAGATTCTCGAGAGTCGAGAAGGGTAGAATGTGAACGTGGGCCACAGAATGATGTCTTGCTACGACGGCCTCCTTTTGATGGTCTTGTCGATTGCCGTGACCCAGCAATCGATGAGTCGGTGAGTCTATAAACTATCCCAGCGAGTCACCGCGATGGACGTCCAGATTCAAGAAGCCGTCGAAAATTCTGGCTGATCGTGTGCATGGGCGCTAACTATAAGCTACTAGAGTTCTGTAGGTTACATACCGTTAACTAATAGACCTCTCTAGGTTACAATATTTAGAGCTTACCTAAGTTAAAATCTCACTACAATTTTCTCCCCGATCAGATCAAACTTCCAAACACCATTCGTCGATCTTTGCCGGGACCATAAGTGGGGCTCTTGACTTTTAAGTTGCTTCCTTCACGACTCTAACTTGTGCTTATTGAATCTGTAGTTGTTGAGATTGTATCACCTACTGAAGAGTCGGTGGTGCGTCTAGCCTCCTGATCAAGTGCTTCTTGGTCTCCCACCAGTGGCAGGCAGCTGTTCCCGAATTCACTCACACCCTCCCATTCAGGTTAGTGGTAAATCATAAATCACAAGTATGACTCATGGCACCTCGTTGTCGGACAACTTCGCAGAACAGGTTACTCTAAGTGAAAACCTAGTTTCATTTAACAGATGGAAATCCTACGATACCATGACACGGACACGCCTATGTGAACAACGTGGCGACAAGTGATGCACTCGGAGCCTCCGATTCAGACACATTATCCTCATACTAAACGATCTGGCCCACTTCCGGTTCTACACCTAGTTCTTGCGCGAGGTTCACGCTAATAAACCCTCCGAACCAAACATCCATTGTTGCCCGGGTTAACTACTTGGATGCGTCCTATTGCACCTGATTCCTGACTGCCAATATTCCCTCGAATTGGATATGATGCTGCTTGAGCTTTTGCAACTTCCACTTGGCCGTTCTCATCCCTCCCGACGCTTTCTATTCGTATAATAATGCCTCTCAGTCATGCATTCGCGGTGTACATCTACAGAGATCAAATGGAAGCAAAACTTGCAAAGTGAACGCTGGGATCATTGCAGTATCCCTCAGTGAAGACACTCCATCTTTTACCACGCGGACGACGAAATGTTCTCTACTGTCTTCCCTTTACTTCATAGCAAACATTCGCTGCCGCAAGTTCAAACGTCACTTGCTTGCACTTCCACAAGAGGATACCCACCTCTGACTGTCATGAACCGCATTTTTCCAGCGCTGAACAGATAGATGATCATACTCACTGCGTCTCCTCCTGATGCAACGGTTCAGCTCCCGGACTCGAAAAAGTTAAAAGAAACTGTTGGATCGATTTGCATCTCAGGATATTTTTGAAGCTGTTTTCTCTGGCTTGTTCGCAGAGATCGATGACTCGAAGAAGATTCTCGAATGGACCACTGGCCTAGCCAAGGCCGAAATCCTGCCTGGCGAAGTCGAACTATGGTGTTTCACTTGATAGGTGAACCATCGTCACTCCAGATCCAACCCCCTAAATCCAAAGCAGACCTGCACAATGATGATGTCTAAAGGATCATATAATATTACACATAACACGTAGAGAAACAACAGTAACACGAAGGAGAGAGAAGAAAAGACATATCTCAGTAAGTACGGGGAGTGGGATATCTACGTACATACATGTGTAACATACAGCAGGTAGCGAGGACACACAAACACATTGGTGGCAATCTTTGGTCGTCGACAACAGATAACTAGTAAGGTACAACACTGATCAATGAACATTTAACAGTCCCCGGGGTCGACGCGTGAGCGTATAATTAAGGCGGGCCACAATGACATGAAGGAACAGAGGAGGAGTGGAGTGCAAAGGTCGTGTAGCAGAGAGAATAGGATATCGCAGAAAGAGGCGTAGAACGAGAATGGATTACTCGTCGTCGTCATCACCGTCGCCACTACCGCTATCATGCGCTTTCTTGCCCTACAACACAACACGGTTAGACTTGAGTTGACAAATGTCGTGAGTGAGACCAGTACGTACATCGTATTCTGACTTTTCTTGCTCAGCGCGTGTCTTGTCTCGTGCGGCTTGTTCGATGTATGGCTGCGATACAAGATGTAAGCCATACTGAGATGCACGAATAATGGGAGGACGAACCTTCTTCTCGGAGTCATCGAGCTCCTTCCATTTTGCACCGAGAAGCTTGCCAATCTCACCTGTGAGATGTAGTAGGATGCAGTCAGTACGATCCTCTGAGACGACACGACAGATGTGGGCCACAGTCGTGGTGTACACAAATCGTTAGTGAGGAGGGCAGTCTCTCCCGCAGGCTATATACGCGTGATATCTCCAAAGTACGACATACGGATCCTCAGTACAACGTATATACCAGGATGGCAAAGTCCCCCGCTGACTGTATGCACGTTCCCGCCATCGATCGCAACATAGAGATCGATGACGACGCAGTAGCAACACGATAGATAGGCCGGGAGGTACTCACCGAAGCCAGCATCAGGATTCTCAGCCTTGATTCGCTCTCTCCAATCTTGGGAGAAGAACATGTACGCGGACAATGCACGCTTAGGAGCTTTGGGGTCCTTCTTCCCCTTGCCCCTTGGTGCCTTTTCCGACTTGTCGGCGGCCTTACGCTACAGAGGGAATAAGGTTTGAGTATACTGGGTGGTAAGTGATAATAAACGTTGGATAAAAGTACTGACCTTGGTGGTCTTGGTGGTTTCTTTGGGCATCTACGACGGGGGGAAACATGTTAGAAGACTATCCAAAGTGATCGAGGGGGGTAGACACGCTTTGACGCGTCGAAAGTGGGACGCGTCTGGCACGCGCCCGACGCGTTTGGGTGGATGTCGTCCAACGTCGGGCCCGACAGCGGCGGGGGTGGATTGAGATCAGATAAGAGAGCTATACACACCTTTAGTAAAGATTGAATTTATGAGAGAGGAATGGAGGGAGGGAGACAAATAGAGAAAAGAGGTGAGCGGTGCAAGGGACTGAGGGAGGCAGGCGTTGCGCTGTGAGAGTGCAGCAGCACAGTGGTGGGTGAGGCTGGCAGGGCTTGGACAGGCTGGAGCTGCCTTTCCCCTGCCCCTTTGGCCGAAGCGCGCCCACTCAACCTCCCACGGTCCACAAAGCACGCACGGACCACTGCCGTGACCCCAGCACAGGGTTAGGGTTAGTCAACGTCAATCGACACACAGCAGCAACCTGGATCTCACTTTCAAGTCTGTTCCTTGCTTTGGCCAGTCGTCTGCTCTTTGTGCAGTTCATCAACTTACGGTCTCGATGCACTGAACTGCAGCGATCCACGACCGAGTGAAGCCATTTTTTTGACGGTGACGGCAAGATTTTCCGTCCCGAAATGTTACTTCAAGTAAGAATATGTGCGTATATCTTTATCGCACCTTTTTGCCATCTTCACAGTGCATTGTACATCGTAGCAGAGCAACAACTTTGCTCTCGATGGATCTGGGCGGTCTTCATGTTAATTCAGAAGCACAGAAGGTACAGTTCTTTATGATACAGTGCCCAATGATTCTCAGCGACGCAGAACCTATGGATGGCTTCCTGGTTCAGACTGTCGAGCACTGCAATTTTTCCCTTGTTTCGCAAATAGCATGGGATACAAGGTCAGGCTCAGTGTAAGCAATATGTTCTCACCGGAGCACTTCGCATCCGTCAATGACTCACCTTACTTCACGGGCTGATTCTGATGATTTAAGGTGAGAAGGCGAGAATACTGACATTCAAGTACTTAGATGCACCGGCGAGCTCAGGCGATGAGGCCGAGCCAGGCAGAAGTCGACTTCTGCAGTTTCTTGGGACAATTAGTTCCGATCAGGCAGTATACGGCCTGAAAGTGTCTTCGAGGTATGCATCTCGTGTAGCTTCTTTCTGCTTTCCGCCACCCAACCCCCACCGTAACGATGTCTACCATTTCTGGGAGGAGCGACCTCTAGTGTGTTACACAAGTCGATTCCAGAGGTACGTATATCAGTGGAGTGACACCACATGTCTGATCCATATTTTATGTCCGGTGACACACTCTCTATCTGCAGATCAATATAAGACTTATGAGGTCGGTCAACGACGTAACCAACCTTTCAGTCGATCTCTTAAGATGGCGTTTTGTGAGGTATTCCCTCCTCCGTGAACCTCACTCTTTAAGATGATGTCGCTGGTCATCAGAGCTGCATACTTCACTATGTATTTTACAATATGGGGACTCACACAAACTCAGTACACATTTTTGTTGCAATGTGCCCACTTTCATTGGTCGTCGGACGATGTACTTCGATGGTCCAGCTGCGCATCCGGATTCTTAAGATTCGGAACGTGAGCATGAAGGTGTCTCGTGTAGCTGCGGTTAGAGGAGACCATTATATTGAGACATTGGTTCCGCGCACCTGGTGGAAGGATAGTCAATCGTAAATGGTGCATGTACTATCATGACAATACGCTGCAGTCTTTTTGTTGGATTCAACGAACTGTAAGAGACTTCACCTTATATGGAGCTTACGTCATGCCCATCGACCCGATCGGCGCTTGGTGGTGATCGCGTTTCAGTGTCTTTGGCGGGTGCATGCAAAGTCCAGCACAGACCTTACCCTTCATATTTCTTACTTTTCACTTTCACCCATACCAACATCTAGGATATCCCACATACATTTGTAGACATGTCCGGATCCCAAACTCCTTCTGAGATGCCCGGAGAGGTGTGCAGACAGCTTTTCTGGGCTCGACTTCCCCACTCATCGATTCATGCAGGGTGTACCGACAGCCCAGAAGACTAGCTGGGCTACCTTCCTCAAGTCGTACGTAGTACATCTTATATGTGAAGTGTCTGAAGCTGATAGCCATCTTGGCTGGAACTTTGATCAGGATCGCTTCATTCTCTGGAGACCTTTCGTCTCTGACAGCACCACCATTCATTCTCTCGCCCATTTCTCTTACGGAATTTCCAGGTACGCTACTTTGATGTTAATGAAACCTAGTTGAATTCTTATGAACTCATTTGCTTCAACTTCTTGCCCAATCATCATCACTCTTTTGATTTTATATACATCCCTCGAAATATTACCCTGATTCCGCCACGTTCCCGGTACTCCTAATAGCCTATTGGTGTGAACGCCCGGAACTTTTCTCTGCTATAGCAGATACCAACACAGACGAGGAGAGAAGTATCGCCGTTCTCAAGTGGTTCATCGTGCGTACTTTGATTTGGATCTGTTTTCCCGGCGATGTGTTCAATACTTATGCCATTGTTGCATATATAAGAGCACTCTGAAGGGACAATATACTTCTCGCAATGAGAAACTTGGGTCGGAGAAGAAGTACGCCCGAATATTCTGACTAATATTGATATTCTAAAACTTGTATCTTTTTTTAGACCACTCAACCCCGTTCTTGGCGAGTAGGTATCCTCCGAACAAGCTCCGTGATACCCTTGCTAACCCTCCGTCTTATGCTGTAGATTGTTCTTCGGTTATTGGCCAGATATAAATGGTCGTGGCCAGACAAATCTCGTAGTCGAACAAGTCTCGCACCACCCTCCAATTACAGCATACCACATCTGCAACCCAACTAAGGGCCTCGAATTGCAAGGACACAGTGCACAGAAAACTAGCTTTAGCGGTACGTCCATTTTCTTTCATTTTACACATGTAATCTGGATGACTTACTAACATGCCTGCGTAGGTGGTTCAATCATCGTCAAACAGATTGGACATGCTATTCTCACCGTACGCTCACCGGCTGACGAAATTGTTGATCAGTTCCTGATCACCTTACCTAAACTTCGAATCGATGGCCTGTGGTATGGAAGCCCATATATCGAACTGACAGAGACCAGTTATATCGCTAGTATGCACGGATGGTTGAGCGTTGTCAGTGTCTCACCTCTCATTCTAATATTTTACGCTTCCGCTAACGTTCTCACGGGGTAGATCGAATACAAGGGCAAAGGTTACTTCGGCGGCAAATCTCATCAATTCAAGGCTCAAGTATACCCACCATCTCCACTACACACGGCTGCCCTACCTACACCTTCCACCACAGCCAAACATACACTCGAGGGCTTATGGCACTTGACGAGCAAAGATAATAGGACGGGTGAAACCTTCACGGATGTCACGACACCGAAGGAAGAGGTTACTACGTTGTACGAAGGTTTGGACGAGATGAATGAGTGGGAGAGCAGACGCCTTTGGAGATGGGTCTCAAAGGGTATTAGAGAGGGCGACTTTGAGGCTGCAAGTAGGGAGAAGAGTAAGATTGAGGTAAGTGATTGGTTGAGAAATCCATCACAATCATGATTTTGAGAAATACCCCTTTCTAGAACGAGCAGAGGCAGAGGAGACGGGATGAGCAGGCGGATGGCACGAATTGGCAGTTGAGGCATTTCAACCATATAGACAGTGATCCCATATGTGAGTTTTGCTTCTCCTACACCTGCATCTCTGGTGCTGATTATATTCTATACCTCCTTAGACGAGTTGCTTGGCAAGCTCTTCAAAGCCCAGCCGCCCCTTGAAGATGCTTATATCTTCAAACATAATGGGCCTTTCACCTATACCCCCGAGTCTTCTTAGAGATGATGCTGTTAGGCAGCATGCTAGAGTGTACGGGTTGATGGAGTCCTTGGTCCGTATAGTAGTTGACAGTGATTGTGATACCTCGACACCGTTGTGGACTCGACGGCTGTGCGTTTCTTTTCTTGTATGATAGACTTTTCTGAGGTCCGGTCTTCTCTCTTTCCTTTGCATATCGAAGTTGTGAGACATCGTGTCCTACCCTCTTTTCTATAATACGACTCTTTGTGGTACTTTTTACGTATAAACCATAGCGCGCACGCGGTTTGGGATGTGATTTCGCGTAGAGGTGAGCTCGGCATATTGGCAAATACAACCTTGTATCTTCCTGAAATCTTACTCAAATATGGACCATTATTAAGCGTCCTAATAGATGTCACTGCCGTCCGTTATATCCACACCTTGGCCCGTTCCTACTAACCTTCCATTTCGGGACAAAACACTGTCAAAGTGCTTCTCCCCGATCGTGTTTATAGACCGAGACCAAGACTTGCTCTTGTTCGCGACTCTGGGGAAGGCACAGGAGACGCAAATACATTGCCGTCGTTTGTTTTGAATACTCAAATCGTTTCTCCGCGAAACAAACACAAGAACACGGCCTCCTCAAAGTCGTCGTAATATCGGGTCCAAAGGGGAATTTAACAGCGAGTCCCCCGCGCTATTATTCCTCATCCACTGCTCCAGAGGCGAAGGGGATCGTGCTACTCTTTTTGCACTCCCGAAAGAAGAGTATCAATCCGGCGCTACGCCGATACGCGAAACTCACGAAAAGTTTCGTCGCTTAGAACGAAGTTTGGGCCTTCCGACAAATGGCCGCAAACAAGAAGCCTAGTTGAATTTCTGTGTGGTTCCGCTCTATTGTTGCCAGATCCACAATCTTCCCTGCATATAAGTTATTGGCCCCCTATCCCGAAGGGACCTCTGACCGGAACACTCTTCAGCAATGGCTCCGAAACCTCAGACCCCACCCAATAAACGAGGATTCAAAGTTGACCGTGTGTATTTGTGATGTTCGAATATTCCTAATCGTGCTGACCTCTCTAACCTTCAGGACCATTTGTCCACTCGACACCGATTCCACTAGGTCCGTATTTCATCCTAGGTTCCCTTACTCTCATCTTTTGTGAGCTCATATATTTGCAGAACCCGACTCAGACTCAGACTTCAATCCCGGGGCTGTGTCTGTCTCACCGCCAAAGGTGAAGAAAAGGAAGGCGACCAGGAGGAAAGGGACAGGCGAGGGACCTTCTACTTCTCGTCCTAGAGGCAGGAAGCGTCGTATCGAAGCCTTGAGTGGCATCAGGGGTGGCATCAGGGAGAAGAGTCAGTCACATTAGACTTCTGTTGACTGTATGCGTGATATCTAACTTATGTGGAAGAGGAACAATCCGATTCGTCTGGTCTTGGCCAACGGCAGAAGGCCTTCGCTGCTTACTTTCGTACGTGTTCCTACCTTGCTCTATCAGGGCCACTTTTTGACTCTGTACTTTGAAGAGGAACTTGACCTTCAGTCTGCTTCTGAGGGGGAAAACGCTGACGGAGAAGAGGAAGACGACATCGAAAACATTGATAAGGACACGGAAGATGAGGATGAAGAGGAGAATGAAGAAAAAGATGAAGAAGAGGATGAAGATGACGGATATGCCAGTGCTAACGAATCCAGACACGGAAAAGATGAAGTCGCAGCCTCTCGTGCGGCTTCCATTTCCTCAACCTCGCGTACAGTCATTAGCCGTGTTGAAGAGGCCTCGCAGCAGAAGACGGCCGATGATTCCGTCACAGGTAGGCTGGTTTCTCTTCAATATGACAAATTACTATTTATCAACCTACCTGTGATGAAACAGAGTCCGAAACTGAGCCAGAGGACGAACCCCCTCCTCAGCTAATGATGGGTTCCAAGAGGAAAATTATAGACGAAGTTTCGCCAAGTGTGGCTGTCAAGAAGGCGCGCACAGACGAGCCTGTGGGAGACGATTCCGTGACCGAACCGGAATCAGAGACTGAACCAGAATCCGACGAGGATTATCTCCCTGAATTTGTGCGTCTTTTCTTACCAATTCGCACACGTTCCCTTCAGGTTGTTCAGGTCTCCACATTTTGCAGAGTTTGGACCCGCGGCCTGCCTTTGAGAAGCCAAAGGGCCAACGGATTTTGCCGCCCTTTTATCTTGAAGAGGATAAGAGCGTGAAGGTTCCTGCATGGTTCAACACGTTTCTGAGAGACTACCAACGCGATGGTATCAAGTTTTTCTATGATCGGTTCAAACAGGGCCGTGGAGGCCTGCTCGGTGATGATATGGGACTCGTACGTATCTTCGATTTCATTATCCATTTAGCGCACTAACCCTATCTTCAGGGTATGTTCAGTCAATTCTAGACCCCGATGTCCCAAAGGAACTCCCTGACTGACATATACTAGGCAAAACAATTCAGATTATCGGTTTTCTGCTTGCCATCATGCACAAGTACGGAGACGAGCGCGACAGTGACCGACGGTACAAGCATGTTTCGAAATTGCAAGATGGCGATTCGTGGAAGAAGCATCGGAAACTGGCCCCTGCAAACGAGACATGGCCGACTGCGCTAATTATTGCCCCTAGTAGTGTAGTGGGTAACTGGGAACGAGAGTTTCAGAAAGTATGTCTCATTGATCGTTTACTCACATACGGTCGTTTCTTACTACATTTGACGCAGTGGGGGTACTTCGAGGTCGGCAATTATTCAGGATCTGACAAAGATTATGTATTGAAAAACTTCAACATGGGACGATTGGATGTCTGTGAGTCTTTGCTCCGGTTCTTTCTCGAGAGCAATACACTGACATACCCTCTGTGCAGTGTTGATGTCGTTCGAGACCGCGCTTCGAGACATCGAGTTACTTTATGACCTCGCTGCATCTGTGATAATAGTGGACGAAGCCCATCGTGTCAAAAATCCACGCGCGAAGAGCACAATCGCCTTCCATCGTTTTGAATGTCCCGTTAGATTTGGGCTCACGGGTACCGGTATGTATGTTTTCTTGTTCCTGGATATCACCTGTTCACATCACGTCTATAGCGATTCAAAACTCGTACTCCGAGTTGTGGAATATCATTAACTGGACTCATCCTGGATGTGTTGGAAGCAAGAAGCAATGGGAAGGTTATGTAGATCGACCATTGACGAAAGGCCAAAGCAAGAGTGCGTCGGCAGAGGAACGTCTCCAGGCTGTCGTATGTGCTCTGGTTTACTCATCCGGTTTTAGCGTTGTTTACGTCTTACTCTTTTCGCAGCTCGTAGCGAGGATTCTCAAGGACAAAGTTCTTCCGGACAATTTCCTAAGAAGGTGTTGTTGTTTATCCAGTTTGTGTTGCAGTTTTTTTTACATCTATCTGCATACGTAGGACGAAATCTATCATCAAAGATCAGGTCCGCTCTTTTAGTTTACAATACGCCATGTCACAGCACTTTCTTACTTACTGTATTGCGAACAGCTTCCTGAGAAGATCGATGAAGTCGTCTTCTGCCCATTGACACTGCAACAGATCGAAGTCTATAAACGGATACTCAGTTCAAAACAAGTGCAGGACCTCGTGCGGAAGGATGAACCTTGCGAATGTGGATCTCGTGCCAAGTGAGTGAGTCGTGTTCTTGATATGAATAGGTTCTGACTACGATCAGGCGGAAGGATTGTTGTCATCCGTACGAGAAGGGTGCTCTTTTCAAATTTGTGTCGGCTTTGATCAAGGTCTCTAATCATTTGGCTTTGGTACTTCCATGTTGAGTTTCCGTTATTACAACCTTCGCAACAGCATCATTGATCGGTCTCTTTTTCAAAATCTCGCTGTTTTTCAATATATTCAGCTCCATCGGACAGCTCGGAACAGGTGAGCAGCTGACTGTACACGTTGTTCAGTTCTGGATTTGGACTTATCGTTGTATCCGCGTTCGCACCATCGTTTAGATTGCTCGCAATAGAGAACTCGCGGACATAGCGTTTCCCCATGGGCGTACTCCAAAGTTTGGCCCCGCAATGCTTGTACCGGACTTTTGTGGGAAATGGATGGTATGTACTCTTTCTCCCATTAGAATGTTGGCCCGGTGACCTGGTGAGACTGCTGTGACAGATCCTGCAAAAGCTTCTTGAACAGTGGAGGAAAGATCCACTGAACAAGGTCTTGATATTCACCAAATCCGTAAAATTGCTTGACATGCTCGACTTCCATTTGAAGACCAAAGGTATGGAAAGTTCTCCGCTGTCTGTTGTGCCTCTTGACATCGCTACACCTCCTTCCGTGCATCTTTAGGTTTGGGATTCCTTCGATTAGAAGGCAAGACACCCCCATCCGAAAGTGCGTGACAATTCATACACGCCCAGTGGGCTTAGACTGAGATGAGATGGTAGGGATGCCCATGATTGACAGGTTCCATGAAGACCCTGACGTGTTCATATTTCTTGTTTCGACTCTTGCGGGAGGAACGGGCCTTAATCTCACCGGCGCAAACAAGGTGGTCATCTTCGGTTAGTCTCGCATTAGCTTTGCGTCTTCAATCATCCTGAACGCTGACACTGGAATGTCGGAATTACTTCGCAATCAGATCCCAACTGGAGTATGTGTCGTTTTCTGTTGCTTGCATACGGCCCGAAAATTGAATTTATGCTTGAACGCCTTGACTAGACCCAGCTCATGACCTGCAAGCCATGGACCGTGCTTATCGATATGGTCAGACTCGTAATGTCTCCGTGTACCGCTTGTTAGCTGCCGGATCTATCGAAGAGCTCATCTACGCTCGCCAAGTGTACAAACAACAACAAATGGCTGTCGGTTACAATGCCAGCCTTCAGACTAGGTCTGTCAATCCGTTATCCGAACTTTCGGTTTTTCGCTCTAAATCCGTGATGCATTTCTGGGGTTAGATATTTCGAAGGTGTGCAGGGTGAGAAGACCAAACAAGGCGAGCTCTTCGGGATCAAGAATCTATTCAAACTTCATGAAGACACATTGGCTACTAAGATGACGGTAGGTCGTTGTTCCCATCCGATATACGCCCGTATTGAATGACATTTGTTTGCGTAGATTGAGCGGGCGACTATGACGGATCTCAACTGGGCTCTAGCACATATGGAGAGCAAGTCTAAGAGACGCATTGCCGATGGTGTTGTAGACCTTGTGCGAGAGGCTAAACCCAAAGGAGAAAAGGAATATGTAAGTCTCTGGCACTCTTGCAAGGTCCAAACTTTTGCCGTCCCCGTTACTAAGTCCGATTGAATAGGACGACCTGGATGGGTTGGAATTGCTTCTATTTGATGAAAGTGAGTTTCGCTTAGGATTGTTATCAAACTAAATGAGGGAGATAGCTGACATTGCCCGAAGGTGCTCCGGATGCCGGACAGGATGATATTCACAGGATACTCAATGATATCGGTGTCGACTATACCCACCGGAATGAGCACCTGATTAAGAGCAACGCTATTGAGGAAAGGCGTGTGCAAGCTCTGCTGGAGGTACGTCATCTAGCTAGACGAACCAAACGCATCGTGCTAAACGTCTTTGAATTTGGGCAGGAGAAGAAGAAGGCTAAGCAGCAAGCGAAGGAGAGGGCCAAACAGCGTAAATCTCCAACTGCAAAGGATGAGTCGCCGCAGCCATCTTGGCCGCCAAAGCGACGACATCACAAACCACCGATGACGGCGGAACAGAAGTCAGTTGAATTGTGTCTTTTTTCTCACCGTGTCGGTTACCAATTTGTGATTACTTTGTTAGGCTGCAAGCAAGACAGATGGCCATGATCGACCTTGGAATTATCAGCAGCATCGATGATGTCAAGACTTTTGCCCAAGAGTTGTAAGTCATATGCCCATTCGGTTTTTGATCTTCTGACATGGGAGCATTATCAAGCACCCGAAAGTCCGAAGAAGAACAGAGAACACTTTTGTCTCGACTTGACGAACGCTCAAAGCAGATGCAGAAAGGAAAATGAATCGAAGACACTAACTTATAGAATATCTATGACTGGCGTGTTGTATGTGAAAACCTAGCCTCATAATGTATCTTACAGTGTATGTAATCTAGAGGGAATGTATGCTGTCCATCTTTGAACATCTTACTTGTTTGACACATTGTGGGCGTTGGTGGTGAACAAATTCGCTGATCGGCGACCTGCCAAGGACATTATTGAACGCTTCGGCAGTGGGGACGAAAAAGGGAGAAAGAAATACCATCCAACCACCCACTAACACAAGAATATGAAATACTACAGTGATATCGACATCAAGGGAAAAACAACTAATACAAAAGTCCACATGTCTAGCTAAATCCCCAAAAGAACGGAGACAATCACCTTGCGAACGGTGAGTGCAGGCGAACATGAATAGATAATGCTTAACTCCATTGACCATGACCATGACTCATGCCCATGTTCATACCCATCCTCGAGCCCATGTTCGGGTTCACGTTCATTCCGGGCATGACTGGAAGGCCCATGTCGCCCACGTTCGGACTCATCCCGCTCATCCCACCCATATTACCCATACCACTCATACCTCCACCCATTCCACCCATGCCTGACATCGAATTCATACCCCCCATCCCACCCATTCCGCCACCCATAGTATTCATACCCATTCCTCCCATTCCTCCCATCCCCATCATCCCATCCCCGAGAGGATTGCCATTAGCATCCCACATCCCACCACCGCCTTGTTGGTTCATACCCATCATACCCATACTGTTCATACCCATTCCTCCTTGCATATTCCCCATGCCGCCCATGTTCATGCCCATTCCACCTTGCATGGGCATCATATTCGATGTCCACATCAAGCTAGGGTCCATGCCCCCCATGCCACCCATACCCAACATATTGTTCGCACCTCCACCAACCTGGACAGGGACAGGCGGAGGGCCCATTCCGCTCATCCCGCCCATTCTCCCTCCGCCGCCACCACCTCGGTTTCCCAGAGGTACGTTCCCACTCAACCCACCCATTGACATCCCAGTCATTGGGTTCGCAGGTAGTTGAGACATATGTGACATGGATTGCATCGGAGGCATGGGTAGCATAGGATTATGTGGTAGGTTGGGTAAGTTATGCGAGTGCGGATTTGAGGGAAGGGCATTGGAAGCTGCAGAACCACCTCGTACGGGAGACTTAGGTCTGAGAGTTTCAATTTCTGAAGTTTGAGGTACGACTGGTTTACCACCCTGTGAAAGCTCTTTGATCTGGGCTTCCCAGTGGTCGCGATTCCATTTCACTGGTGCCATGGTCTCCGTTGCATCGCCTCTCTCAGCAGATATAGAGGCGGAGTCGATGAGCATTGGGTCATCGTCCACCCTGTCCTCTTCGCCCTCGGCAAGCACTGAGACCCATCCTCGACGGAGGGTACGTGCACGACCAAAAAGTTCGAGACGGCGAAGACCCAGACAGAAATTCTCGATGAGCGTGTACATCTCGGGTGGCTTCAGGGTTGGGTCTGTTGGGTCGCCTTCCCAGATCATCACGTCCGTGTCTGCAAAGAAAAGCGATGTCAGTGATCAATTTGGGTTGTGGAAATGAAAACAGACGTACCGACGTTACAGTGCACAAACCAGTTGTCCGTTGAACGACGTACTGTGCCTCGGATTCCCATGAGACAATGTTGTTTCGTCCTGGTAAGCAATGAAGTCGTCGGCGGATCCGTCTATGACCATTGCATCAGTATTAGATGTTTACATTTCCAAATAAAAAGAAAGCGTAAAAACGTACCCCTGGTCCCTTATTACTGTCATGATTCGTCCTAACCCAAACAATATCCTCACACCGTCTAAAACCCCATTTCGCCAATACCTCTCTACCCCTCTCTAATCCCTCCCCCGACCCACTGCCGACCCAAAGAAAGATGAACGAAGGGTCAGCGGCTAGGGATGGTATGGGAAGGTCTTGGAGGGACTCCCAGGTGAAGGATGAACTGAAGGGTGGGTCGATGAGGATTACATCAAACTTTGCTGGCGTCATGTGGATGGATGCAGGCAGAGTTTGCATTGTTGAGGTGGGAGATAATGAGATATTGGATGAAGCTTGCGCGACGGGAAGAGGTGTACTGTTGGGCGAGGGTGATGCCGAGGAAGAAGCTGAAGAGGACAGTGGTTGTGGTTGTGCTAGAGGAGCAGAGGAAATCGATTGTGAGGGATTGATGAGAGTGGAAAGTTGAGAGAAAGGAAGGTATGTCGGTGGAAGCGCATGTGATGCAACGGCAGCTTTCTTCAGTCCGAGTAGTTTTTGTTGTTTCGGATACCTACGAGAATCGAACGCGTCAATATTCGTTTTCACAGTGGTGGGAATTGAATAGAACGTACTCCTCAAACCTCTTATCCGGATCTGCGCCCAACACCCAATCCTGGGGCCATTCCCCACCGTCAACGTACCGCTGACTATAGTCATTCCTAATCGTCTCTTCCTCAGGCACGTAATTCGCATATCTCGCTACTCGAGCTCTCTTCGCTGGGGGAAGGTCCCCTCTAAACGCTCGCGGTTTTTGAGGCAATTGCGGTAACTGTTTCTGAGATGGGTGTGGTGAGTCTGAAGGAGATATGGCAGGTTGAGGTGAGGGTGAGGGCGAAGGTATGCGAGGGAAATTGAACGGATCTTCTTGTCGTTGTTCCTTCAGTGAAAGGGCTGGCGAGTGTGTTGGTGAACGGGAGGGCGACAAAGAAGAGTCGTTTGTAGCTTTGGTTGCGACATTGAAAAGGGCAGGCACAGGTAATGAACGTAGATCCCGTATACGCGCTTTTTGCTCGTTACGTAGACGCGTGAGTAGCGCGTAGTGGGATGCGAGTAGGTCATTTACACTTGAGAGGGATTCGTGTACGCTGGGTACAGGAGCAGCTACGCTCATGCTTGGATGGTATGATATTCTAGTCCTAACGCGGATGTAGAGGGCGAGGGTGAGATTTGTAGTCGAACGGCACTGAAGGTAGGCGGTTCAAGGCTATGTGGGTTGTAAGTTGTGTTCAGAATACGGCGGAATGATGAAGAAGCAATCCTCTATAATAAAAAGGAACGGGTTAATAAAATCATGTATCGGCACCTTTAAAATGTCCTTACGAGTTTAAGTTAGAGGAATACGCGTCGACCTTGAAGTGTTAGTCAGGCTCCGCGTGCTATGTAGTAAGCGGGTCTTGAGGTAGATAAGCGGAGTCCAGCACTTTGAAGGATGAACACAGTGATGCTCAGAGGTTGTTTAAGTGAGAGAGACTGAAATTGTTATAGATTCAGACCTTCAGGGTGGAAGTGCAGTGCAAGCCTGAGGTCGCTTTGAAGGTATGATCGGAGATCTCACTTATCTTATCTAAAGTAGCCGATCACCCAATGATCTCTTGCGGACTTGCAAGTCGACCATCATCTTGTACTTATCTCTGGCCGCAGAAGTCAACAAATTATAAATCCTACTCTACTTTTTTCCAGCAACTCACACATTCCCCCCTTGTATTCCGCTACTTCTTCAAAGTGACATTGATCCGTTGCTAAGTGGTTGGTGGGTGTTAGACTTAACGTCTTTCCTCAACCCTTTCGATAACGTGATAGAGCCTGCGACTAACATGCACAACGATACAATTCTAGTCTAGCAATCAAGCTCTTTCTTCAACCAGGGACCTGATCAGCGTCGGTCACATCCCCAGACGCACGCCGAAAGTACCATGTTGATGTGATATCGACTCACAACAAACAGCCACTCCCTCAGGACCGGACGAATTTTAACCCTATGTTACCGCTCCATTCAGATAAGTTAACTGCTTTCTGAATGTAGTGGTGCAGAGTATTCGGTCGTCCAGGATCATATGGTAGGTCATTGAGAAGTCCGGCCATACGAACAACATCTGAATACCAATCCACTAGCTTCGCGGGAGGTCGTGAAGCTTCACGAGACTGTATCATATCTTGTAAAATATGATTTTATGCCTTCTTAAGTATCAAGTCTCATTTTACAAAGTATAATACAGTCCACAGAAACAGAGGATGCTATGCAGTACAATTCCAAGGAAATTCATAACTCTAGGTCTTTGTCTCGATATACAAAGTGATGTACAAAGGTCCTGAAATCTTCCGCAAATCGGAAAGTGCTCTTCCTAGAACACGAAGGCGCCTGTAGCGGCGTCACTAATTATGTTTAGCACGCGCAGCAGCTCTACCTTTCTTCCACATCTTCAACTTCGATCTTCCTTGGAGGTTTGCATTGCGCCTGTCGGCGATCGTGTAGAAGATACTACCGTCAAATACCCCACGGATATCTTCCATCTTCATCACACCGTCTTCAGGCCAGAGAGTGAGGTACACCGCGAACCCTATCGCGAGTGAAGGAATCAGCATCAACGTGCAATGACAAGGGGGGTCGAAGGAACTTACATTCAAACAAGGAGGCAAAGATCCCAAAGAAATCGAAAGCCACTCTTTGACCGTTAATCACGCCCAGAGCTTGCGTAAAGGTTAATCCCCACTGCGTTTCCCCGCTCCCGTCCTTACTCTCATACTTCTGTCCGTATTTGGCGAACAAGTCCTCAAAGCCTTGGGCTTTCCACCTGCCCTCATTGTCAAACGTCGTACTGTCGCTGCCGTGTTTGGCCTTATGTATATTCTCTGTGAGAATTCGGAACAGAGGATCCGGGACCCATGAGTTCTGGGTACCATAGCTGAAACCGATGTGGATGATAGAGACGGCCATCATGGCTAGGACAATGTTCCATCCAAGACGGCGGAAACCGATGAAAGTCTCCAAGGGCGTGATGATGTTGTCATGATTGAGATCGAAGAAGTCGAGATGCTGTTGCAGGACCTGCGGGAACGCTAGTTGAAGGCATATAGTGAGCGACAGGTCAAGAAGCGCTTACCGTTTGGTGAGCACGATCTTTGGTGAAATTCCCATAGGTTGAACCTTCGGGTGACTGCTCAGTGCAAGCGACATTTGCTCGGGCCATGCCTAACAGGCCGCATATAGTCAGGTGTCGGCGTCCTAACTGGGAGAAATGACTTTACCGGCTTCCTTAACGTTGTTATGTTCGGTCCATACAGGACGTTGTTCTGTGACTGGTACCGTCGGGATGGAGGTCACGGGGGTCGCGTCTCCTGGTGCAACAGCTTGTTAGTGAGAACCATCTCAGGCTAAGATAAAGGAACGATGCCTACCGCCATCAGCCAGGTAGGAAATGTCGTTGGAAGACATAGCTCAAGATTGTAACGTAAGGTAGGGAATAGAACTATGAGAGAGACAAACGTTGGAGGGAGGTTATATTCGTCGTCGAACGTTCAACTTTGCAGGTTTATATGCTCAGGCGGGCTTTGAAGGTTCGGGCTGTTGACGGCAGAACGACCGTCGTTCGGCGACATAGCCCATGTCGCCGATTATTCTACAGGCGGACCCGGCGTGTTGTGGCTAGCACTAGTACAGAAAACTCGGCCAGAAAGAAGATAGGCCGTCGATCGAGGGAGCTTCTCCGGTCTCCGAAGGCGCCAACACTTTGCCAAATAACGGGCGGGTTGACAACTTGACAAGAGCCATACGGTGGCAGGGTATACATTGGGATTAATAAAAATGCCTTTGTCTTATGGGCCGGGACATGGAGCAGAGGAAGAAATCTCTGATTGTAGATGCATTGATTGTGTCTTTTGTCGTATCTTGCCAGAGTGAGATTGATTGCATGTTTATTCGTTCCCTGACCGACAAATGCCTCCGAACGGCATTACAGAATATACCGGATTCTTTTTATTTGGTTTAGGTGTTCATCCTAAGTTACAGATAAATGCATCGTAAGTGAAGGCGAGAAGGCCTCCAATATTGTCCCGCAAACAGGTCTTTCCAACAACCATAGTACCTGCCTAATCGGGTCCAGCACCGTACTCTCGCATTCGATCACTTTTCGCAAAAACCTCGCGCCAAGCGCCAGTTTCCGTTAGTGTTCTGAAGTGCTCTCTTTCCTCTTATTCTCACTCTGTGACCGTTTCGGCTTGATTCAAGATGGGGAAGAAAGCAGTAAAAGCAACGCGCAAGTTCGCCGCGAGCGGACAACTCAAAAAGGTCATTCAGGCGCGCAAAAAGCATCAAGAGATACGCAAAAAGGTCGAACGTCGCAAGGGCAAAGGAGCTGCTTCAGGAAAGGACAAGGGTAAAGACAAGGAGATAAAAGGACACGGGGGTGAAGAGGATGAAGAGGATGAAATTGAGATGGAAGAACAGGATGCGGGTGGAAAGTGCGTATGATTACCTTCCGCATGGTTTACATTGTTGTTTAAAATGGATCCAGGTTCAAAGGCATGAGCGTCGATGATTTCCTTGGCGGTGGCTTTATGGCGGGTTCAGATGAGGAGGAGGAGGTACGTGCGGTCTCACTCTTCGTCGAAATAAATCGTGTTATGCTTACTCTGGATATGGATTTGGCAGGATGATGGTGTAGACGATGCGAGCGACCTCGATGACAACGACGAAGAGGAAGGTTCAGAAGATGAAGTATCAGACAATGAATCCTTTGCAGATGTTGACAACCTCGATGGTACATATCTTCTTTCCCATCCCCATCACACTTGTTACTCAGATTGTGTGCAACATATTCAATTTATTCTCTGTAGAGGACGGCGAAGCCCACCTGTTCGAACTCTCCAAACTTGCCGAAAAGGATCCGGAGTTCTACAAATACCTCCAGGAAAATGATCGTGAACTTCTTCAGTTCAACCCTGATGCCGTCGAAGAAATTTCCATGTCCGATGATGAGATGGATGAAGGTGGGGAGGAGGAGAAGGCGCCGGTATTGACATTGGAGGTTGTGAGGAGGTGGAGTAAGGCGCTATTGGAGGTACGCATCAATCCCACTTTTCTTTCCTGAAAGGGGGAGCTGTATATGAATTGAGTGGGTTGACATTACAGCATCGGTCTTTGAGAGCGTTGAGGAAATTGCTCATTGCATTCCGAGCGGCGGTACATATGAACGAGGAGGATCAGGTACTTGCTTGGACTATTGACAGCTCGAAAGGTATGTTTCATCAATTCTGCATTGTACGTGCACCTGAAATATCGTTCGTAGTGTACAACAAGCTCGTGACGACCGCTCTGAAGTTTACACCTGTTGTACTCGAGCACCATTGTCCACTTAAAGAGTTGCCGAACGGGAAGTTGTATGTCGCCATTCTCCATCTGGTCTATCATATTTTCAGACTCTTACTATCGCTGTTGCTACTAGTAAACCCCCTGCTCAGACGCCAAAATTCAAAGCCCTGCAAAAACTGATTCTTTCGTACTTCCACAACGTCATCCACCTCCTGGGTCAGCTTACCGACACTTCCCTGATCCAGTTAGCTGTCAGCGAGAGTTCGAAGTTAGTGCCCTACGTGGTTGGTAGTCGCAAGGCTGTCAAGGCATATCTTAAGGCATGTATATTTGCTCATACGCGATCTAAATATGTAAAAGAACTAAACTGACATGGCGACATTTTTGCTATATGAGTAGGCGTGTTTGGATTTGTGGTCGAGCGCGGAGGATAACGTACGTATCGCTGCATTCCTTGCAATTAGAAGGTTGGCGGCGTCGACAGATGAGTCCGTTATGAACTTGGTTCTTAAGGTTGGTGTCTTGCTCACTTCTCACCCTTTGCATTGAGACTAACGCATTATCTTCACATCAGAACACATACCTCACGCTTGTCCGCTCGTGCAAATCCACCAATGCTCACAACCTCCCTTCAATCAACCTGATGAAGAACTCCGCAAGCGAGATTTATACAACAGACCATGCTACAGCTTACCAGCATGCGTTTGGGTATATTCGGCAGTTGGCGATCCTTTTGAGGAATAGTATGCGCCTTAAGAACAAGGTACGGTCTTCTGTCTACCTCACCTCGTCTTCACTATGTATGAAGAAATTGAGATTTATTGCGACAACTGACTGCGTGAACCTTACGTTTTGTAGGAGGCATATAAGCAGGTCTACAACTGGCAATACGTGCATTGTGTTGACTTTTGGTCGATCGTCCTTGCGAGAGCGTGTGATCGGGAAGCTCGGATTGAGCGAGGTGGGGAGGAGAGCGAGCTGAGGGCGCTCATGTATCCTCTCGTCCAAGTCACTCTTGGTGCTATCAAGTAAGCGTCATCTCGTTCACCATCCTAATAAACCATCCCACTAATATTTCTGCTGGAAATAGGCTGATACCAACGTCCCGTTCATACCCTCTTCACCTGCATCTCTCGCGCTCTCTCCTTCACCTAACAAGACACACTCGTATCTACGTCCCATTAGCACCTTGTCTCTTCCCCATCCTCCTCTCCACACTCTCTGCCGCCTCCAAACCGAAGGCCTCAACCCTTCGACCACTCGACTTCGAAACCACCATCCGCGCACCACAACAATACCTCAAAACCAGAGTATATAATGAAGGTCTCGCAGAAGAAACCACTTTCCTGCTCGCAGAATACCTTTCTAGCGAGCCGGTACACGCGAGTGTAGCGTTCCCGGAGGTTATTGTGCCCTTGGTGATGATGCTGAGGAAAGCCGTGAAGGGAAGTAAGGAGGGGAAAGAAGGAAAGTGGAAAGCGAAGGAAGCGGGGCTAGTTAAAGCGCTCGTGGAGAGGATTGAGGAGAGTGCGAGGTGGGTCGAGGGGAAGCGGAAGAATGTTGGATTTGCACCCGGGAAACCGGCAGAAGTGGAGAGATGGGAGGAGGGTGTGAATGTGGAGGAAACACCACTTGGGAAGTACGTCAAGGTGCAGAGGAAGACGAGGGAGAAGAGGAGGAAGTTGGTCGAGAAGGTATGTGCTTCATCTTTGTCTCATCATTGGCGCATGGACTGATGACTTGCTTTTCCCCCCTTGTCTTTAGGCTAGAGATGGGGAGGACGAGATCCTTGAGGATTGACCTCGATTGTTCAGACGTGTTTCTTCACTCATTCAATATACATCCGTCCGATCATGGACGGAGTTTCAGAAATGGATCTGACCGAACTTCAACAGAGCCAGTGGCAAGTTCTAACCTCACGCGATAACACTAAGGATTAAGACATCTGAAGAGAGGAAGAACCGTTTATCCCTCCTCGTTGATTTCAAAATTGGGCCAGCGGGGAGGCGCACTTATGGATCCTAGAGACATGAGCTGAGGGGCATTAGCAGGCAAAAACCCCTCGAGGAGGTGAAGGTCGAAGTATGTCATCTCGGTCGATATCTGAACTGTACTAAGTGACAAGAAACCAAAGTACTGGTCAAGGGAGATGTCATCGCAGAGCACTCCACGTTGCCGAACGGCATTATTTGGGTTTGTGGTCTGGAGCCCTTTGCACACGGCCGCCGCTGTGAGGGAGAAGGCCATCGTGCAGCGACGCCGGGAAAGAGCGGGTGTGAAGGTGTGTGCATTGATGATGGTGATAGAAAGCTAGGAAATTGGACTGCTCAGAAAGCAAGGAACTACCATCAGAAGCGGGGTAACGCCAGACAGTATTGGGGCTACACGTCAAGCAGTAAGGAGAGTTCTCCTGGTGAGGCGGTTTGCAATGATTGGAAAATTTGGTCATTTTGTATACGATGATCAGCCAAGATGCATGATGCTTGGCCTCGAATCGCGGGGAGCGAGACGGATGCAAAAAGGCATCGACAACACAACAATTGAAACTTGTACGCGAGAGCGCCTGCCTTTCAAAATCGGCTGGAATTTTTATGGATTTCAGTGTTTCAACCTGTATCAACATAACGATAACGACGTTACGCGGGTTCACCTGCAAAGAGGATGACGATCTACAACAACGTGAATAGGTACTTTGAAGGATATATTATTTCAGTATAGCTATGGTATAACTCAATCACACTTACTGAATACACATACTCATATGATCATACTTGATGCGAGGTATCGGTAGGGCTACAAAGTCACCCCTGTGAAATGGGATTAGAGAGTCTTCAGAATCCCACAAGAGCTGATCTCCGGATGTATCAGGCTGTGGGAAATAATGGATTACACCAGTACTCAGGCTGTCATGTAAGGACCGAGTTCGCGAATGTGAAGAGTTGATGTGACCCGCTCGTATGTCCATCCGCATCGAATTTTCAGAGCTATTGGAAACAGGCCCAATTTATAAGATCTTCGCTTCAAGGAGTACATTCGGCAAGTTCCTGGTACCTTTGTGAACGCACCCGGTCAATGCCTTTTCTTACCACGATGAGAGATGGAAGTCAACTACTGCTCGGCAACTCCAGCATGTCTTCTCCCGCGAACCTTTCAACTTTCGAGAGAATAGGAACGACTCACGAGTCTGGAAGATTCATATCGAATGCATGTATATGAAGGCGAGATCTTCATGTCGTGCCGTAAGAAAAACCAAGACAGGGGATCCCTGTCGTGAGATCGAATCTCGAAGAAACTGACTGTGATGATCCCATGCTGAATGACCGGGAAGTCAAAGCGTCCCACGCGAAGGCGAAGCAGGTGTATTTTCGGCATCTGTCAGGCTGCGTGTAGCGAGTGGCATGGCGTGGAGCAGAGTGGTTTCCATGTGGAACCTTGTGCTAATGTGCACAATAAGCCTTTTGGAGTAATTGACGGTCGTCTTTGTGGTGGAAAACTCACAAGGATAATGAAAAGGCCCGATCCTTCAGCCAACATGAAGGACAAATTGGTAGCAATTATAGCACAACATCGAAGCTCTTCGGCATTTCTAAAGATAATGATCCAATCATACAAGCTGCAAGCTCACAAGGACACATTGTAGGGAACAGTATGATATCAATAGCTTTCTCGGTGTCTGATGAATGCGAACAACTTGTTGAGCATAGAACACGGAAACGCAAGGAGGGGGAAGGCAATGAGACATACCCACAGATGTTTACCAGATATTGAAGAAGATTTTCCACCACGGTCGGCCGATACCTCGAGCACTCTTCTCAACACCTTCGACAAGCCGTTCGTAATGCTTGGGCACGGATTTTGGCCGCAACATCTTATCAGTCAGCTTGTACTATCACGATGATGCGAAAAAAGGGGCAGAACTTAGTTTATGGAGGTCATTCACACGAACAAATGCTACTCACCTTCTTCTGGATCTGGTTATGCAACAGGGCATCTGCTGCTCGCACAGCGTGCGGGGTTAGCTGAGGATGGTCAGCAAGTGACTCTAAGAGTGTTTTGAGCTGGAGATGGGGTCTAAATGGATCTCCTGGCCATTGAGCCGCTATACGGTGCAGCTGTTGGGAAAGCTTCGTGGTGGACATTCTACCAAGCCAGCTTGCGTTTCGGTCTCAAGCGCCCAATTCCATTGTGGGTTAATCGAGGGCGTTTCCTGATTAGGTAGTCGTGGTTCACCCAACATGAACTCATACCGCATGGTGCTGATTCTGCTGAACTGTTCACATTTCCCGCGGACTTTCCTGATGTGTTCTCTCCTCGGAGGCACTTAAATCTGGTTCAGGTATGTTCAAGGCTTAGTTTCGGCATGAATATGCTCACTGATGCTGTACCCAGGCTGTCCCACCATCGTGACCATCGCAAATGGAAATTGCCTGGACTCAATGCACATTCGCTCGATGTGCGCTCTCGCACATAGTGAATGGCGTGAAAATAGAAAGGTCCGGGCGTATATTACGCCATTTGCCGAGCAAAGGACGGCGAACAGGAAAGGAACTGCCATGCCGGTGGCGAAGGAAGGTGCTTGTTTGGTAAGGCAGTTTATGAATAATATCCACATGACCTCATTCGAGCGACCTAGCCAAATAATTCGCTGAAACTGACCGACATTTGGAAAGCGTTAACTCCTACGGCAATCTGCAGGTTCCTGAAATATTGTGCTGTTAGCCAGCTGCGGTGACAGCCACCCTCGCTCCCGATCGAGGGCCTTAGTCCGGTCAACAAGCTAAAGATACCAGGTATCGCTCGGAAATCGGCTATTAACAGCACAAATCACGCTTCATTTCAGATTCCTCGGCAGAACCCGCATGCACTTTTGCACGGCGATATCACCACGTCTTTCGTCTCTTACACATCTTCCGATAGCCAACCAATAGCTCCCAAGTTGTCGGCGGACATCTTTTGTAACCCGACCTGCTCTTTCTGCCGACCTTATGGCCCCTTACATCGATGTTCGCATCAGCCTGGGAGCTGGGATGATGAACAGGACTGCTACGGATCTCCGTGCAGGCCTAGTAAAGGTGGTCACCTCGGATCCAGTTGACCATCTTTTGAATCCGAGTTATGCGTCGATGTTACCGGCTCATTGGGCCCGAAAGTCGGACTACAGAGAGATATTACGGGTCGGGAAGTAATTTTCGTTCCTTCAATGTCGGGAAGTCAAGCAAACTTGACTTCTGGGCAAAGACTGCTCTCACGTATCTCACGAGCACGAGAGTCTCGTCCTCGACCGGATTTGAAGGCTACCACAATGATGGATTTTCTTTTTCTTTTCATGTGCTGCCTCAACCCAGTTCTTGATCAACGGTTCGCCGCTTATTTTCGTACTTGCGTTTTCTTCGGTTGAAAGCGCAGATATTCTTCAACTTTCCCACTAGTGTCACGCTGTCGTGAGAATGGACTCGAACTGGATCAGCGTGGACGTCAAACTCATTGACCATTTCGTCTTGACGCAGATCCTTGAACACTTTCACAGTTCTCTACAAAACTTATTTGAAGAAACAGACGTTATATTATTCATCCATTTAAAGATATTAACGACTTTAATTTGCTAAACTTGAATTGCATGCACCTTTTGTGTGTTCAGACGTCCTACTGCGTCCGAAGCATTGCAACCGATGCCATCAACGTCACTTTAGACATTACTCAGACGTGAAGTACACTGGATATGACCATGATGAACGATACTGAAGGTGACTGAAGATAACCATTTCGAGGATGGCAGTGTGTATGTAGATAGATGAGCGCCAGCATTGCCTGGCGCTGCCTAGCGTGCGCATTTACGATATGGGCGTCGAGGGCGAGGTCGCTGGCTGGCACATCGTTGCCCACCTACCTCCAGCCTTACTCAGTTCTTGACGTTATACTGCTTGATTCACTCATTTGTATCTCTGTCTGAGCGCGGACGAACTATGCCTGGATGTTGCGGAGAACCGGTTGACGAGACTACTCCAGATGCCAACAACAGGGTAGTCACAGATTTCACTCAGGTGGCAGTGGTGAATCAGCAGCCAGGTGCTCAACAAGGTTTGCAATGGCAAGAAAAGGCCTCGTATCAGCCTCCAAATGTTCCTACACCACCACCTACGCTGCAATATGGTCAGGCAATAGCAATGCAGAACATGCAGCAGATGCAGCAGGCCCCGTGGTTGCAAACTAACGGAACTATGCAAGGGCAATTCAACCCATATGCCCTATCAGGCTCTCCATCTCCTCCGCCGATGATGTCGACCGGTATGTCTAATGGGTCAACTACCTTGACCAATGGGTCATTTGTTACCGCCGCCGGTCACCCACCTTCTCAACCACCATCAAGCTTTGGGGGTTCTCCTATTAACGGCTACAGTCCACCGCATAGTCCACCACTAACGCAGCCTAGCCCTGCGCATACATTTAATAACGGCATGAGTGTCAGTATGTCAGTATCGGGAAGAAATTCTTCCCCAGGCATGGCCTCCAAACCCGACTCGTTCGTGCCGCCATCCACAGATGAAGGGAAACTGTCGGTCTCAATTGATTTCGGTAAGTTTCGTGGATTCCTCCTCCCGTTCGCGTGTTTCCGAAACTAATATCGCGTGTAGGTACTACCTTTTCTGGTGTTGTGAGCATCTCTATGATTAAGGGTCTTCCGGTCTTTTGTTGAAATACGATTTTCAGGCTTACGGGTCTTCCCGTATTGCTGGTGGGAAGATCCAGCAAATCTTGAACTGGCCTGGATCTTTTGAAACCTTCAGGAAAATTCCGACATGTCTTCTTTATGACGATAGAGGTCAAGTTATTGCATGGGGCGTAGAAGCGAAGAATGCCAGTCCTCTTCCTGGATCCGTCAAGTGTGAATGGTGAGGATCAGCTAACCCGAGATGTAGTAATATTCACATACTGAACTTCTGTCAATTCTCAGGTTCAAGTTGTTCCTGGAGCCACATGCACTCAGAGACGGATCAGTAGATCCTCGCCTTCCGTCACTTCCGGTGAGCATCGTCCCATAACGTGTCTGTAGGCTCCTGACGGTATTTGCTGTAGCCGGGGAAGCAAGCCATCGACTTGATCATCGATTTCTTGACTTGTCTTTGGGATTACGCAAAGCAGCAAATTACTAGAGAAATTGGTGCAGTCGCTGATCTCGGTGAGTAGTAATACGAGTTGCTGTATTCCACCGGAACGTGATGTTGAGGTATCAATAGACTCCGCCGATGTTTGGCTTACTGTCCCGGCTGCATGGGACGCCCGGGGTTGTCAGATCATGAGGGATGCTGCTATAACTGCAGGTCTTGTGCACTCATCACGAGCGGGAGATGTAAATTGGAGGGATCGACTCAGGGTTATCACGTAAGTGTTAAGACCAGAATGTGTTCCCGTCGTGCGCCTCATTCGTCACAGTGAACCCGAGGCCGCCGCGGTCCACTGTGCCTACCTGACGGATTTGCACAAGCTGAAACCTAACCAGAATTTCATGATATGTGACGCAGGTGCGTACGCCGCTGTAAGGGCGACGATACCGGGGCTGTACTGATAATCCTTTCTTCCGCTAGGTGGTGGTACTGTCGTAAGCATCCAAAGTTACATTCGACAGTGTGGCGTTCGGCTGATTGACGGTTTCCATTCTGCTACTAGGATTTGGCCGTCTATAAGATTATCGGCATGATGGCCAACCTTGAAATAGCGGAGATGTGCGCTCGTTCAGGCGCAAACTGCGGGTCGTTATTTCTTGATCTTAGATTCCGTGAACTCGTGAAGACCCTTCTAGAGCGCCACCCCATCCACTTGGATCGTAAGTCTCTACTCCGCGAGGCAGAATGACACTGTTCTAAACTCCATGCCGATTGACGTTCAGCGGCTTCTTTGGCATACTTCATGCACAACTTCAGCGAGACTGAGAAGTTGGCATATATGGGTGAACAGGACGATGGTATGAACCTAAACTTTCCTGTTATTTATTTTTTTGATGGAAACCCATGACAGACAAAATGTTCCACTTCACATGTTTCAACGTCGATCCCGTTGACGACCACTCGGTCGGACTCATCAACGGGGAATTGGCCATACCTGGCACGCTCCTCCGTAGGGAGGTTTTCGATCCTGTGGTCAATCAAGTACGTACATAACCTTCCCCCGCCGAATGGCGCCTTCAGTTGTATTTCCTTCACCTCTCGTTCTCACGCCTCGGCGTCGTCGCTCGTTGTTACGTAGGTGCTTGAGTTGATCGAGGAGCAATTGAAGAAGATCGATCAGAGATTGGATTGTCTATTACTCGTTGGCGGTTTCTCAGGTAAGTGCGGCTACGCTATTCTTTGCAGATCCTATTTGCAGATCCTCACTGCGCATTCTGGTTCCAGGAAGCGAGTACCTTTTCCGCAAAACTCAGGTGCGCAGTCCTATTTGTCTGGTGTAAGGCTCTTCCAAATGACCCCCTTGACAATCCTTTTCACAGGAGCGCTTCGCGTCAAGAATCAAAGCCATAGCTCGTCCTCCCGATTGCGACACAGCCACGTTGCGGGGCGCAGCTCAGTATGGACTCGCTCGACGCCCTCTGGTGTCAAGTGTTATTGCACCTTTATCCTACATGATGAAGGTAAAGTTTGGTTGTGTTACGTCTAATTTACAGTCTCGTCTGACACTGTATGTAAAGGTGAAGCTTCCTGCTGAGCCTCAAGACTTCTTGAAGCGTCCGGCATACATTCGAGAGAACGATGCTGGCGTTTCTATTTGCGATAACAGGTCAGTACAAGCCGCTTGGTATTGTAATGACTCAGCCCATCTAATGGCTATGATTCAGATTGCAATACCTTGTAGCGGTGCGTTGGTTCTCCCGTTCATAGCGGGACCTTCACTTGACTTCGCATTTGTCATTCCCAGAAAGGCGCCATTTTACGCAAGGGGTAAGCGGGGTTTATCTGTCTGTGGTTTTTTGACCGGGATTCATGATCACCGAACGGCAGGCAGCGACTGAAGCACAAATTCTGGTGAGAATATTCTTTCCTTATCGTGCCGTAGAGATTTGGCGTCTGAGTGAGAAGGGCACTGACGTCTTTTTCTTTTTGTATGCATCAGCAAATTCTCACAAACAACCCAAGGTAAGTCCGTTCAAGCGTTGTTTGACGCTTTGGTCTTATAATCTCCCGACCCACTTGTTGATTCCTTGATCATTACAGACCGCATGTTCGTTGCGACACTGTATACTTCGGATTCGGACCAGATCATGCGGTACACAGACGAGGTCAGTGTCATTTGTGGCGCTTCGACCTGATCGGAGGATAGGAAGAGCGTGCATGATGTTCAAGTGAATCAGTGCTGATACCATATCCCCCCATCTGCTACCGTTTTGTTTGTTGCAGGGTGAGATCATGGAACTTTGTAAATGGACCGTAGACCTCGGTGTTTTGCCGTCTTTCCAGCAAAACGTGAGCATACCTCAGCCTAACGGATTCTACACCGGTGCGTTTCGTTTAACGCTGGCTTCATTTCCGTCTCCTTACTGATGATGTCAATGTACCTTCTGACTCCCTTGGCCGTTTGACCAACGTTTCTAAAAACAGAGTTTGAGTTGGGATTGGAACTCGATAGTGCGGAAGTTCGAGGCATCTTGATATACCAGGGACAAGATTGGGGCCGAGTTGTCTTCGACTTCCGGTCGTAATCCGCGGTTTCTTCCTTCCTCCGGGTAAGATCCCAAGATAGCACCCAAGATGCCAGGATATCCATAACTGCGAGGGTATTATTATCTTTTGGGAACAGATTTCACTCACATTCCGTCGGGCTTTGGATTCCTCGTGAGATTTATTGCATTGGAGACTACTCTCATACAGCGTTCGGTACCGAGTCTGGATTATATTTCACAACTACTACGTCTTGCCTTATCGTACCATTTCTCACTCGATTGGATAAGCTCGTTCTTGCTCACGCTGTCTTAAATTATGCATTCCTTGTGTATATCATATTTGCTGTGGATCATACTGCGCTGGGGATCGTGACGTGAAAGGACCAGCCTCGAAATTTAACACTAGGACTTATCTAGCTCAGTACCAGGCTCTCCGTTCGTAGTCAGGGCGGTGATATCGAGCTGAAAATATCTTGTGCTGTTCTTGTACTACGGTCGCATTCGGACTCGAGCTCCGTAACGGCAATATGATGAAGTGATGGATGACCTTTGGATAGTGAGCCATGAGGCTCGCAAGTCCCGACTTCAGGCGTTCAAATCTGAACAGCTGAAGCATGGTGGTAACTGTATAGAGATAGGGAAGGCTTCAGTAGTACGTAAAAGCCTGTCGTTTGGTAGCGCGCTGCCTCAATCTTCGTAAATTTTCAATCGGAGGTTCAGAGTTGTGACGACGAAGATGACGGAAGTGTCTTGCACACTTACGCTTACTATGATGCATGGGTGTAGACTGTAAGCATTAGATACGTCAATAAATAACGCACGGCAGAGATTAGAACCTTAGTCTCTCGTCGATCGGAGACTATAGTACTGTTCGAAGGAACTTTCTAGTAATCAAAGGCAGTACAGTCAACGTTCTTCTAAAACGGAGGTCTCGGGATTGGGTCTTTTTCTGGTATTCTGTTGCCGGACTACGGAAAATATCATCTTGAATCAGTACCGCCCAACGTCACTTGGTCAATACAATCCTACAGTCAGCAGGGACATGGAAGAGGCATGTCTCCGAACCAAACTATGTTGTGCTGTCATGCTAGTCGTCAGGCAGCAATATATCGTCCAATGGCTTCGCCCCGATATCAAGACAGGTTGAAACCTAATGTCATTGCGCATGTCAAGCGTCAGGTAAGGCTCGGAGGTCTATCGTGATTCTTGGATCATGATCGGGTTGACTGAACATAGACTGGGCGAGCGTTGAACCAGATTAGGACGTGGATGGTAGTTTGTTCTACCCTTCGCTCGTTTTCGTCAACGGCGACATGGAAAGGGGGTCCTGTGCCATTCGCATCCAGCGTTTCCAACGAAACGATCCGCGCTCTTGTTTCTTTGGCAAATTCTCAGCAGACTCTGAAACTAGCAAAGAAGAGAGAAAAAGAGGGCTCGGTACCGGGAGTTAGTTCGAAGCTGTTGGAAGTTGGAAGCTTGAGAAACAAGGAGTGCTTGTGGATTAGGTCCGATGAACCCTGAGTAAAAAGAGCTAAGCGAGATTCCCAGCGACTACGCCACGCCCTGGTAGCCAACTGCAACTGACAAGATTACTGTCCTCACACTATGTATTGCTTGTCATGCTTGCCTTTCGCACTTGCACTTCTCTGGCAGTCTTCTCCCACTAACTTACTTTCACGCTTGCTTCTTCGCCCTTCTTCTCAGAATCCTTTTATATATACATGAGCATGCTTCTTTGACTCTATGTTTATTGAATCTCACTTCTATAGATCTTCCTCACGCATCTGGTCTCGAGGGTGGGTGGGTCATTTGGGCCGTCATTCGTATCGGTCACAAGGTTCATAGGCACCTACTACTGCCTTGTTTACACACAGTTTGGGATCCTGGGACCTGACGCATGGCCTCTTTGGTTCAAGAGATTTCGCCGGGGAGACACCTGGACAGGAACCGGCCATCCGTCGCGCGGTAAACTTTCAAGTAATATGGGCTAACCCTAGATACCATCCCCGTTTACTTTCCACACACCGCCGGAGGACCCGGCCGGGCGGAATCAACGTCTCTGTTTATCGATAAGTCGTATTACGTCGAACGTTGAACGTTGAATTTTTGTAAGTGATTTCTGAAAAATACGGCATGTATATGATAACGCCGGACCGTCGTTGGACTATCAACCTGACGGAAAAAGTTATCGACGTATTTCTTGCTGTAACTGAACAATACCTTTCTAACTCTGGATATCTAGATAGGATCAGGATTGATTCCATGCGTCCCAGATACGCCGATGTGCAGGACATCGAGTGTATGTTAGAGCTTAATTCGCTGTAGACTCGATCAATCCAAATAACCGAAGGACAGGTGAGAAGCTCTACTAGGATTTTTGAAGGGCAGGCGTTCAGATTAATCGCTGAACACGAGTCGGTCCTGTTTCGCTCAACGGCGCCAACTCTCTATGTTCTTAGCCCCCTTTCACTTTTCTTTTTATTGCAGTGATACCCTCTTCACCGGTTAGCTTCCTGCAGCCTGTGCTCCACCGAGGCCTTAGCTAGAACTCAAGAGTTTAGATTCCAGAGTTCAGAGCTCGGGCCATTACGAACATCGTGACTCCACTGCAAGGCTATCGAATCACAGATCTTATCGACGTCCGCCTCGCTTGCCCACTCCTTAAGCCTCTTGAAGCTTTCAAGATGGAGCCGGAGCGGACCCGATGGAATGAACGCGAAGGAGCGCGTGAAGATCACCTGCAGCTTGACATCGTTTGTGCACCATCCGATGCACTACACGGTACTATCTAATCCCCGGTTCAATATTCAACATTCAACATTCGGGGAACCAGGAAGCGAAAAGTGAGAAAGAATAGATAATTCCGTACGTTGATGGGACGTGCAACTTGCACGTCTCCGGCGTACTTGAAGTACGTGAGTGTGACATGCAGGCTACTACTAGGGTATTGAAACGATCACACCTCATGCCAGCAAGCTCAGGCCCACATTCGAATACTCAAATATTCATCTTTTCCGTGACGTGTTGAAATAACAGTAGTCGCTCAGCGTAGCAGCAGCAGCAGCAGCGCTTCCTCAAGAGGGTTTGTTGTTGCATTCCCATCGAACCTACTATAGCCCGTCACTCCGCGTCGACTACAGTACTTACATAAGGGACCGGAGTACTAACTAAACAAGTTGAATTGGCAACAAGGACAGCGATTTGATGAAGCTTGAATTTTAATATCGAATGGTGTGCTGCAATGCTGCAAACACGTTCCCGCGTACTATTCGCTACGCTGGTATACGCGACTATGTAGTTGAAAGTGCTCCCCGCCCTTTTTTCTTTTGTTTTGTTTCATATTAAGTAGTCATGGTATTCCGATGGGTCGTGGTAAGTATTGCGGGTATTGATAATTTTGATAATTTGCAGTACATAGAGTAGTGGTGTCGCCATACCACGGTGTGTCCTGGTGGTAGTGGTAGTACTTAGCCGAGTTCAAAACGTTCATGACCTGACGACAAACTTTGAAAATACGATACAGTACCTCAAGAGCAAGAAACGCAAATCATTGGAATGCAATTGTCGCAAGCCGTCTTGGCATTACGGTACCCTATGATACGATCTGCAAATCCGCTGAATTTTCATTTTATCCTTCCTCCGAGCCGGATGGGTTAAGACGAGGTAAGGCGAGATGAGTCGAGGTGACGTGAGGCGAAGTGAGGTGAGGTAAGGAGTTCCGTCCAACTTTGCCCACTCTTCTCTCGAATTTTGAAATTTTGACTTGCGTGCTTAGGACTCAAGCGGGACCTGGTGGACTTGTTGCACTTTCCGACGGGGCTAAGCATACTGTAAGCAGAAGGATAAGCTAATTCTTATATGTTCCTGGCCATATCCAAGTTACCGAGTTGACGAGTCTCACTATAAAGCCATCACTAGCATGGAATCGATATTGAAAGATTGTCCAGTATTGAATATATTGAATATCAAATTATCGAGCACATTCCTCGGTATACGCCGTTCAACATACAGCTTAAGGCTTTAAGGGGGTGTCGGTGGAGGACTCCGTTCCGGGTCAATGTCCGGTTCCTCAACGTCCAACGCTCAGCTTCAAAGCTTTTTCAGGGGGTCCCAGTTGGGTCCCGGTCCCAAACAAAGCCCAACAAGCAAGTGAACCATCGCTGGGTAATTGAGATTGCGATTTTGCGGGAGAAGCCGAGAGTGTATATGAGATCTGGTTGGGATCTGAGGGCCGAAGAGCGTGGGGGAATACGCGCGCAAGGAGCCGGATCCGAGGCAATTCAAAAGGGAAACAATTTAAAAGGGAAAAGGCCCAAGAGCAAGCTGAGAGAAAAGGCACTGCAGCCGGGAGGACAGAAAGCCACAGATGTATCTTGGATGTATCTAAGCAAGGCAAGACAAATTATTAGGTGCTCATGAGATAAATGCCGGGTGTTCCTTTTGAAGCCATTAAGACCGCGATGATATATGTGTCTTTTTTTTTTTTTGGCACTCATCTCATCATGATGATTTCATTGCGATCAAGATTTCCCTCTCGAACCGCTCGCCGAGAGAAAACACTTATAAAGGACAGCAAGATCGGAGGGAGGGCCAAACTAACAAGACCATTACAAGAGACCGGGCTCCCTCCCTCTCTCACTCACTCGTCATCGCCTTGGACATATAAGATTTTTATATGTCAGATAGGTGGCGCTCCTCCCCGATGCCGCCTTATTCATACATATCATCCACCTCGGACACCGCTGCTCCCGCCTCCTCGATGCGCGACGACGATCCGTCCTCGTCGCACCCACCCTATAATAACACGAACGCGGTCCAGGATCCCCCACTTACACCAGCACTTCCACCGCCGATGATGTCGATGTCTACGTCCACGGCGACGCCGCCGTCAACGTCAACGCCGCTGTCGGACATACCCCTGGAAAAGTTGCACCAACAACTATTACCGATCACAATCCCCCACACATCATTAAAAGCGCATTTCACAAATTGGGGCCAAAGTTATACATGCTCGCCGTCAGTGGTGTTCGAACCGGAGACGGAAGAGCAGTGTGCGGTTATATTGGAAGTGGCACGACGGGAAGGAGAGACGGTGCGTGCGGCAGGGGTAGGGCATAGTCCGAGCGATTTGGCGTGTACGAAGGGGTATATGCTGCGGACGGAGAAGCTTTGTCGGGTGCTTGAGGTGAGTGATTGCAGTGCTAGTTTGGGCCCAAGTGTGCTGCTTTGCTTGCTGCTGCTGCACAGGCGCGGGATGGCTGGATATCCGATGTTCCGTTGAACGTATCGGGGATCTCCACTCTCGATCTGTTGCGTCTTTCTTGGTATCAGGCACACAGGGGTTGTTGGAGGTCATGGATCTAATCTAATCTATTTGCTTGTTTGAAGGTGAATACGGAGAAGAGGTATGTGGTTGCAGAGGGCGGGATCACGCTGAACGCACTGCACGCTGCATTGGCGGAACATGGACTGGCGATGATCAATGTGGGGTCGATATCGGACCAGACACTTGCGGGGGTGGTGACGACGGCGACGCATGGGACGGGGCTTGGGTTCAAGGTGATCTCGACGCATGTGCAGGCACTGGTGCTGCTCTTGGCCGATGGCTCTCGCCGACGTTGCAGCCGTAACGAGCATGCAGAGCTGTTTATGGCCTCGCTGTGCGGGCTGGGCAGCACGGGGCTGATCCTGCAGATTCAGATGGAGGTCGGACCCGCGTTCCGGCTGAAGGAGAGGCAGACGTCGTTGGGATTTACGGAGGTGGTGGATCGACTGGATGCGTATGCGTCTGCGAGTGAACATGTCCGATTGTGGTGGTTCCCGCAGGCAGACACGATCCGACTCTCGTGTGCCGATAGGACGACAGAGGTATGCTTGTCATCGCCGATCTTGTGCCCCTTGGATTGACACTGAGTGCTCCTTAGCCCCGCAAGCCGGCGGCGTCGTTCCTTTGGCATTCGGTGATCGGGTACCACGTCGTGCAGTTTCTGTTGTTTGTGGGGATCTACGTTCGGGCGATCAACCCCTGGATCGCCCGCTTGACTGTCTGGCTCGACCGCGCTCCCACGCTCACAGTAGACGATTCCTGGCGCGTCTTCAATCTCGATTGCAAGGTAAGCCTCTTTCTATTCATTCATCCTTCTTTCCATTCTAATCCCATTACAGTACCCTCAATTCACAACGGAATGGGCGCTCCCATATACGTCCACTGCGGCCTGTCTGCTCGAGCTTCGTACCTGGCTAGATAACGAACACCGTTCTCCCACCGGTTTACGTCCTCATTTCCCTCTCGAGATCAGGTTCAGTGACCAAGATGATATTTGGCTCAGTCCCAGCTCTGGCACCAGGACTACTTGGATTGGCATCATTCAGTACAAGTCAGTCGTCAATGCCATCTCATATTGGCGCTCATCCTTAACACACCCTACAGACCTTACGGCTTCAACGTACCCTATCGCAAATTATTCGCCCAATTCGAAGCTATCCTCGCTAAACATGGTGGCAGACCCCATTGGGCAAAAGCTCATTCGTTGAAACCCGTCGAGTTGAGACGGTTGTATCCCAGGTGTGTTTCCGTTTCTTCTCTTTTTTCTTGGCAAGTGAACGAACGAAACCAACGTCTCTTTTTTTTCTCACACACAGATTCGACGACTTTATCCGAGTCTTGGAAGACGTAGACCCCCGTGGGATGTTCAGAAATGAGTATGTGCAAAGACATTTGTTTGGGATGGATGGGCCTAGGTGGGGAGAGCGGGTGTTCAAGGTGAGGCAGTGATTCAGATTGGCAGGGGGGCAGGCAGGCGTCTCGCGGTTTCGCGGTTTCGCTAGTTCCTCTTAGTTGGTGGGCGGGTTTGGTTGTTATGGGGCGCGAAGAGGGAAACATGAATGAAAACAATCTGCTGCCACAAACCACCACAACCAAACACCATGAGAGGAAATATTAATTCATAATTCATAATCTCGTAATTCAAAACCACCGTCGTCCCGAGATTGAATGCACGCGCATTGCATCCTCGAACATACACTTCACCATCACTACTCAGTACTCCATCCGTCATTCCCTGTACCTCCCCTCCCTCCCTTGGATTCCATCCCGCCTGTCCCAGTCGCTTTGGCCATCGCGGTAATAATCACAAATCACGTACTTGAACCTCCTCCTCGCTCTATCCCATCGACATCCACTCACAGTCCAATTCAATCCAATTTCAAGTCCTCTGCCAATTCACGTTTTGTTGGGCGTTTTCATCCACCCCTCACTTGCTTTTATTAACTATTCACGACCGGATCCGTCCCCTGGTCAAGCCAGCATATATATTCATATACAGTGCAATAAGTATCCGTCGTTTACTTTCGACTTTCGAGTTTTCCTCACACGTGTTCAAGTTGAGTATATTCATGAAGGTGCCCAGTTTTTCTCTTTTTCGTTTCGTTTTTCGTCGTTACTGTATACTCCTGTTACTGGGAAGAGGAGAGGATGGGTAGATCAAAGAAGTGGTGGTGGAGGAAGACGAGATGAAAGGAGAGTGTTGCTATAATCTATACGCCATGTAATCCTTATTTCACGTATCTATTTCATCTCTTCTGTCAACTATTCAATATCGCACTTGATACTCGCCGAAACTTCCGTCCAACGAGTTTGAAGCCAGTCATACGAGCATATATTAACACCACCTACATAGTATATAGTAACTGCAATTCTAATCTTACACCGTGATTCTGTCTGTTCCACCTTCGCTTCGTCTCGTATATTGTTCCGATGGTCATGAGTGTCAAGAAAGACAAAAGAAGGTCCAGGAGGGGGAAATGAAGATACTGGGGAACTCTAGAGCCCAAGTTGTTCTCTGACCGATTGACGCACGATCCGTTCGTATTCCTGTTCAGTTTGAAGGGGCGGTCAGTAAATGCAGTAAAGAATAGAAAAGGGAAGAAAAGGGCAGGGATAACAGCAAAACCAAAGTGAGAACCATCTCGAAAATCAAGGAACAATGAGAATATTAGGGATATACGAATAGACGAGCCAAGATCAGTACTTGGTTTGAATATACCATCGAATTGCCCGGAATAAATAAACAACGAAGTATGACTATATCTCGGGCGTCCCCCTCCCCGTCCTTTCGTCACCGGTTCTCCAGATGGCGTCAGGACGGCTCAACAAGTCGCGACCAAGACGTTCACCACACGAACATCTCTTGATTCTGATCCTCTCGCCATCATCGCACGAAAGTCGTTGTACTTTCTAGCCCCATTGGCACGACTTTTTTACTAATGATAATCAAGGGGAAAAGAATCCAAGCGGGAGATGCCTGGTGGATAACCGGAAATAAATCACGAATGACGAGATGAATGGAATGGCAATAAAGGGACAAGGGGATTAAGGGAATTAAGGGGTAAGAGATGTGGACAAAGTGAGAAGCCGAAAAAGAAGAACATGAACATGTGTGATCGACACGTACAGGTTTGTTATCGCGGTAGAGCTTGCAACAGTCGATGTTGGCGCCGGACTCGAGATTGGGTTCTGTTGATGCAAGGGAGAGTTAAAGTTTTTGGTTAGTCTCGGGGAAAGTAAAAATTAAGGTAAAGGGGAGGATGCCATGAGGACAACACTAAAAGTCAAGTTAGGGAGACGGCAAAGGGATCACGGAAAGCGGTGAGCTTGTGGGTTCCGGAGCCGGAGTAAAGCAAATCAATGAAACAAGGAAGAGAAGATGAACGGGAGAAGAATCGATGGGAGGAATTGCAAAGGTTCGAGGATCAGCGGAGAGTGAATTGATGAGACGCGTCGACTGACGACGGGGTGCGATGGATGAGCGAGAAGAAAAACATCTCACTCATTGAATTTGTGAATAAGATGACGAGATGCAAATGGGATTATTAACGACAGCTGACTTGAGCGCGTCGGGACTGCGGCGAAGAAGGGGCGTAGAGCAACGTGAACGGACTAGGATATTCGGAGTCGCGGAGAAACCGATGGAATGAAAGAGGGAGCGAATGAGGATGAAGAGACAAAGATAGAAAAGGCAGCGCCCCAAGCATCACGGCGATTTGACGTAGTGCATGGTGAATGAGAGCAGAGTGACCCAAGAAGGGATAGTCTTGGTCGCTTTAGACAGATACATCATGCTCGGGTTGTAGCTGCCGCAAGCATGACGGTCAAGCATTAAAGGATCCGGCGTTGCAAACGATCCCTATCATCCGTTAGAAGCGCCTGAACGCGATGGAATCAAGTGTCTGCATCATGTTCATCATACAACCGCACAATAAAGGAAAAGAAAAAAAAGGACCGCGAGATAGAAGGATAGAACGCAAATACGAAGAAGACAGAAAGTGACGCAGGAAAACATACCTGCAAGCATTGAAATCACACTCAGTATCACCTTCTCGACACTCTGCACAGGACTCCAGCGTTCCGAAGCCTGCTCGTACATGGTTGGATCATCCCCAGGCGTATGTAGGATGGAGATGCAAACAGTTCCGTCGGGATACACTAGAAACCGATATTAGCGCTGTTCATTCGTTCATCACACTCGTGTCGTTGGACTGAGGTAAACCTGTATGATGGCAGAGTTTATCTGATACCTGACAAGAGCTGCAAGGAAAGGAGGGTGGCATTCCGATAGCATATGCGGGGATGCTTCTCCCGCCGACATGGACGTGTGTATGTGCCCTCCTTTCCTTCTTGCACTGCTCGCGGGCATTGTGGGGGACTGACGTGCCATTCAAAGACGGGAGAAGCATACATACCATTTGGATGGAACAAAGGGGGTTCGAATTTCATCTTGAACGGCGATAGAGGGTAGTCGGACGGCTGGGGCGCAGCATAACCCCGTTAGCTTCTCGGCATAAACCAGAGAGGAAGGGTGACTCACAAAGGTAAGTTTGGCGGCAAACACGCCACCCTCAAATGGTGTATCTTTAGGACCCATTATGAGAGCTTCCCATGTGAAGAAGTCACTTTCCGATATAGGACCTACAAAGGTAGTCATAAGACATCTATGAACGTGTCTAGGGTGTCATTGCGCCATACCGGCGGTGAACATGCCGTCTGGAGAGCCTGGGAAAGACAAGAATTTGTCAGTACAGCCAAGTACACAAGGATGTATGTACGCATGTCCTTGACACACACCTTGTGAGATCAGCGCTTTGTATTCAGTCATGAGTCTGCGCAAAGCAGTCGCACTACCGCCTCGATTCATGATGGGAGATAGCAAGCCTGTATAAGGTTCCTGGTAGCGTGTTTGTTAAAGAGGTTGTAGATGACAGTTGGCGGTCAGAACGAAGAGTTGTAGTTGTGGGTGAAACGCTTCAAGCTTACTGTCGCCACAAAGTGATCGGCGACCTATAGGCGCGCAGACAAAGGCGCTCACGAACTTGGATTCTGTCAACACGGACTTCATTGAATAATACAGTGCAGGAAACATTCTAACTACCAATGCGAGTGCTACAATACATTTTGTGATGGAGAACCATGGGTCATAATGCGAGTAGATGATATAATTTAGGTCGTGTGCATAGCGTACAGTCATAATTATGCATCGTCCAGCACCAGCCGAGGAATAACGTTCATGGCCATCAGCTAGAGCACGCTGTCAAATAAAGTATTTAGGGGGACAAACGGCAGACGAACCTCTTGGAATAAAAGCTTGGCAGCATAAGGAATTGTCAATTGTGACATTTTCTTGGAGCTCTTGCAGTAAGTGCACCACCCGTTGTAGCCCATGAGGCCACACTCCTGGCAAGCGTTCACTTCGAACTTGTCCGAGGATATCATAAGCCGTTCTAGCAGTAGTTGTGTGGCGCCATATCCAATTAGACAATCCCGCTCCATCTCTCCGAGACGCAGACCACCCTCGCGCGAACGACCCTCCGTTGGTTGTCGGGTCAATGTCGCTCGGGGACCTCTATGAAATTAAGCTAAGGTTTAATAAGGCTGTTCTTGCTGCGGACGCGCAAGACGTACCTCGCACGAGCATGCATCTTGTCCATGACCATATGCTCTATTGCGGGTTTGAATCAGAAAACTTCCCATTTTACCGCTGAATGTCAAGCCGAACTTACTGAGTTTCTGCAATCAGGTAAATATCCGGTTAATTTCGGCCAAGTGCAAACCTCATTGAAAGATGCCTACCTGATAATAGATAGGTCCAAAGTACACGTAGGCCTCCATTGATTCACCCGTAATGCCGCTCGTAAGCATGTCTTTACCTCCGTAACTGAAGCCGTTCTCGATGAGAATCCGGGACATGTCTTCCACCTAAAAAGGCCGATCGTCAAGCTGAAACTCAAAGAAGCTTAAACGGTGTGTACCTTGGAGCCTCCAAACGCTGTACCATATTGCAGCTTTCCGGCAAGAACTCCGGCCTAGACACGGCATGGTCAAGCCACGACTCACTATCGATGAGGTACAGAAGCAATCTCACCTTCCCGGCCAATAGCTCGATCATCTTCCCGACAGTCATGCGAGAAGGGAAACCATGCGGATTCATGATCGTGTCTAATGCGGAGTCATCACTAAATTGCACAGGATGCAACAGAGGAATTCACTTGCCTGGCACGATGCCCTGATCATCGAATGGCATGTCCTCTTGGTTCACAATCAGGCCACAAACACCCTTCTGGCCGTGTCGTGACGAAAACTTATCTCCGAGTTCCGGGCGCCGCGTTTGGCGAATGAGCACCTTCAGGAGGGTCTGATCATTCTCTGTGTCTGTGATCATAACCTTGTCAATGTATCCCGGCACGGGCGACTTATACGTCATGGGCGCATTCTTGTACGGCACGCTTGCTGCTTGACCCGTAAAGGAATTGTCGTTCGCGTTTGTCGGAGTCTGCTTGTTGATGTATACATCCCCTGGGTCAACACGTTCCCCCACTCCTGCCAAACCATCCAGCTGGATAATATCGTACTTCTTTTGAACCAGACCGTTTTCATCCGCCGGTGCATCTGCCAGTCGGTCAAACCTAAGGTAGTGGATAGTTTATATGACAGTGAGAAAATGAGAAAGTTTGACATGATCGAGATGACACTCACGTGCCGTTGGGGTACTTGCGGATGAGTGTGGCGTTCTTCCGCAAGACTTGACAGCGGCCATACCCTCTATCTAAACTAGCCTGAAGAAGTATAGAGTTGAGGTAGGCGGAGATTAGCTAAGGCAAAAGGAACATACCTTGTTCAGAATGAGAGCATCCTCGATATCGTATCCGGAGTAACTCATTACAGCAACGGTAGCATTCTGTCCGGCAGGAAGTCGGTCATAACCTATTAGCTCGATGGTCTTCGTCTTGACCATCGGTTTTTGGGGATAGACTGATAGATAGAGCAGAGTATCAATCCGATTGAGTTGATTGTACCCAATCGCACCGATGGCCTGTTTACCCATGGCACATTGATACGTGTTACGTGGAGACTGATTGTGATGAGGGTAGGGGATGAGCCCAGCAACTGCTCCCAAGATCGTAAAGGGTTCGATCTCGAGATGAGTTGTCGTGGGAACGATATCTTGCTCGTAAAGTGCAGTGTAGGAATCGTTTTCCTCATTGACATCGAGATACTCCACTAGACCTCTATGCAAGAAGTCATCAAAGGTTAGCAGGCCACTTTTCAATTGCTGCCAATCAATAAATCACCATGAGTACAGTTCATCAACTAGGGCCTGGGAGACGATCCTACCGTTATGTGCTCTGAAGTCACACGAGGCTTCCCATTCTCCACGATAACAATTGGTCGGCAGATCCGTCCACCGTCGCTGGCGATGTGCACCGTTCGGTGGTGGTGATTAATGTATATGCTCACGAACTCACTGAACCGCCCAGCACGACGGAGACGCCGGAAGTTGCCCACAAAACGTGTTGGGTAACGTGTAAGCCCAATGATATTACCGTTGACGTTCACCACGAAGGTACCAGGACCGTAGATTTCAGAGCCTGTCGCAAGACTTATGTCTACAAGCGAAGTTGAGCAGGAATCACAGAAGTTCGTCAATATTAGCAGCCCACCTTCGACGCCAAGCATAAAAGCGATCCTGATGATAGGCTCCTCCTCCACGTCAGTGGTGATATGCGTCATGAGAGCCAGGTTCTTCACTAATCCGCAAGCCTCTCCTTCAGGCGTATCGCTCGGACAAAGCATACCCCATTGACTGGGCTGTAGCGCACGAGGTCCGCTGACTTTCCTTGTCTTCTCGAATTGTGACGAGATACGGGTCATCATACCTAAGGCAGAGATGAAGGAGAGTCTACTGAGAACGTGAGTAACACCTGCTCTGTCCATCTTGAAACGCTTGAGGGACCAATTACCAGTGGATATCGCTCGCACGAAACCAGCAGTAATGTGATCGCCCTGAAATTGCATGGTGTTAAAGGCATCAAATTCGCTCGTCCGGGAAGGTTTCTTGAGTACTTTGTCAATCGCCGATTTAAGGTTTGTGTTGAATGTCTTGAAGAGATCTTCGAAGAGTAGGGCTAGCAGTTGACCAGCACTAAAGTTCAGGTAAGTGTTATTAGAGAAACTAAGGTTAGCAGTGAACTCACAGCTCCAGACGCTTATTACCGACGTAATCGCGGTCATCGACCATGCTCTCATCTTCCATAGCCATCAAAACGCGACGTGTCATAGTCGCAACGAAGATGGCTTTCGCCCTGAAGTCGAGGCCATTGACGGGCACGTGTGCAAGAACGATGGTCGCGAGTGCCTCCAAAGCTTCTTCCCAAGAAGGTCGTCGTGGCCCAACAACCCTGCGGTTAACCTTGACGCGAGAACCGATCCACTCTAATGCCTGATGCTGAGTGAAGATACCGAGTTTAGCAGCATCTTCCAAGTTTGGTGAGAAGGCGTTCTTGTATGCTTCGGTATTGCCGGCTGTGATGAGCAGAATCTCTTTGTCAGACTGGATTCCAAGTGCTTTCAGTGCAATGGCGATCGGGACGTCTTCGTGGATGGAGTTGTGTCGTAGGTAAATCTTCCCCTTCTTTGTAGCGACGTATGTCTTCGATTTCAGACCACCATGCGTTGATCTGGACGCAACATACGATCAGCCGCGAAGTAAAGTCAAGTGTCAGCGAAGTGGCTTACGAAGTACACGACGCCTGTACAACACCTTTTACTGGGTCTACTTCGACAATAATACGATTCTTGCTCAGCTGTTCTTGAACGAGAATGACTTTCTCGGTTCCTTTCACAATGAAATATCCGCCGGGATCGAGTGGACACTCAGTCATGCGGGCTAGCTGTGCTTCGGTTCTTCCGGTCAGGACGCACTTGTTGCTTCGCAGCATAATAGGTAGACGGCCGATGAGAACATTCGGTCGTTTAATGATGTTCTTGCCTCGAGTGTACTGAATGGTAACAAGAATCGGCGCACTATAAGTGATGTCTCTGAGCCGACACTCGTGTGGTGTGACACTCTTGTCAATGGCATCTGCGTCAGTCCTGTCTGGGAAGCCAACAGTAATATCCATATATTTCAGCCAGAAGCGTGGATCGACGTCGGAGGTAACCTTGCTATTTGCTTTGAGAATGTTCCTAATGTCCACGTCGACAAAGTAGTTGAACGAATCGATATGTTGCTTCACCAAACCCTTCACTTTAAGAAAGGCCGGAAGTAACAACCATTTGTCCTAGTGACCGAGTCAGTTGAATTGACACCTCTGAATCAGTTCATGGTGCACCTCTATTGTCTTGATTGGGTCTGTGAGACCTAGACCTTTCCAGTGAGGTTGCTGAGCATTTTGCCAATCCTCCTCTGTAGGCTCGTGGTCCACCGCCATTAAGTAGTTGGGTTTCCTAGGCGGCGGTGTCTCTCGAGCTATAAAGTGCTAAGGATCAAAACTCAAGTCCAAGGCAACTTTTGGAGCTCCAGCCAGCGGTCCTGAGATGAGAGTGATCGCAATGAACTGATGGAGGTAGTACTGGTACTGTGGGTACGAGTGCTTGGTCTTCCTTGAGTAAGTATGTGCGAGAAATTGTGATTAGATAAGCAATAGATCTTAGATCTGCAAAACACACGGTCGGGAGGTGCGGCTGAAGACCAAGAGCCAAATTATCTTTCTTACTCTCCGTCTCCATCCTTTGCAATCGCTGCCTCGCGCTCACTGCATCTCATCTTACCAGTCTCTGCATCGCAGTATGGCATCCCCCGCACCAACGCACACATCATCCGGCACCTTGCTCTTGCGTAGACAACTTACGGAGCTCACGAAGCGTCCCGTCGAGGGTTTCTCTGCAGGTGCGCTGCCCCCATTTTTCCCATCGATGCGTCGCGTTTGGTACTGAATCAGACACCAAACCATAGGTCTTGTTGATGATAACAACCTCTACGAATGGGAGGTGATGATCATTGGGTCAGTCTCTGCGACGTGCGACACCAGTAAGCCATGTACTGATCTTGCCACAGTCCACCAGATACTCTTTAGTGAGTGCTGCTTCAGGTGGTAGACAATGTGAGTGGAAATTTGATGGTTGTTGTACTTGATACAGTGAAGGTGGTTTCTTCCGGGCACGTTTAAGTTTCCCTGAAGACTTTCCACTGTCACCGCCTAAGATGCGCTTCATTACACCAATGTGGCATCCGAATAGTGAGTATCACTACTCTATCCTCTTATAGGTTCTGTTTTCACAGTACGACTTTGGTGTAGTCTATCCTGACGGCAACGTCTGCATCTCCATCCTAGTACGTGCACAACGTCTCTGGTTTAACATGCTCTTGTGGATCTAATAATATCTGTCCCTACTTGCAGCATCCTCCCGGTGAGGACCAGTACGGTTACGAAGAATCTGGAGAGCGGTGGTTACCAGTGCACACAGTGGAGTCGATCGTGAGTCCCTCTACCTGCTAATACTCATGCGACCACTAATCGCGACTTTTGGTTTGAATGTATAGCTTCTGAGTGTAATCTCGCTTCTCTCTTCGGACAAGCCCAATCTTGACAGTCCAGCCAATGTCGATGCCGCCAAGGAGGTGCGAGAGAATTTTGAAGGTGTGCCGCGGACTTTCTTGATCCTGTTAGGAAAAGCTGACATATCACTGGTCTTTAGCTTACAAAAAGAAAGTTCGCCGTCTAGTGCGACGGAGCGCAGAGGAAGCGTATGATTGATTTTACATGTCGGAATTATTCTACGCTGCGGTTCTGCACTAAGGTCCTCCGGTCTCTTATCCGTCATTGATTTTTGTCTCTCGTAATGCTCTTACGACCTACACGATATGACTTATTCCCTCAACCACCACTTTGCTTTCTTCATCGGGCCCTCGGCCATCTCATTTCGTGACTAGTTTGCCAACCTCCACCCCGTTTCCGAACCGTCAGACACCTCCCTCACGATTTCTTCTGTAGCTCCTGTTCGGCATCATTTTTCTTACGTCGTCATCTTCCTCATTGTTGTCGGTCTTTGCAACGCGGTCATCTCGTGTCCTATATCGTGAATTATCAGAATTATCAATGTATGTTTCAATCATCCTGTTATTATTGCGTGTCGATGGCAACCTTCGGAATCTTTAGATGACCACCGTTGTCCTATTTTTAGATTCGGGTGTTGTTCTGGCAGGCTAGTAATTCTATCCGCTAAGGTTGTACCAGGTTGCCCCACATGCGAGCGTACGATGTTAGCACGGGTTTCTTGAATCAAACGTTTGGTCTAGTACGTATCTCAACATTGGACGTGCGGTATCTCATTAAGCGATTTCTAGTTTCGGGTAACGATCATTTTTCAAGCCGCCATTCTGTACTTCTGTGTCTTTCTCAGTCACTATAAGTTTGCACCACTCATTCTATGTTGGCGATGCCTTGTTGACCCATACTTCGAGTATCAACTGTGAGTTGCTTCGCTTGGCTCTGGTACTACCCTCAGCTCGGTGAGTCATTGCCCCGTGACTCTACCGAATGTGTTCTGGCAACTCATGCTCTAAATGGTTCCTTTCGTCGTGATGCACATCACTACGTGTTGTGGCACTGCTTCATGAGGTAGTTACGCCCTCGATAATAAAGCTTCTCTCCGAGCTGATTCTTCTTTGCAGGGTGCTTCTGTAAAACTCGTCAGGCCTTAGCAGTTCCGAGGTCCTGCTGTTATGCATGGGTAGTCAAATATGAATTTCCAACCAGGAAGTGAAATTCACATCGTTCGAGATCGCCCTAAGTATCAAACAATGATCTACGGATGATCACTGTCAGTGTCACTTGATTAACACGTCTCTTGCAGGTGCGACATCATCTCAAACAACTGCTTCCGTGCGTAGTACGGTTCAGATGCAACGGTCAGTTCCTGCCATGAAATCTTCATTCAATTCGAATATCTCTTCTTGGCGATTTTTACTCATCTCCTCTGCGTCTGAATAATGTCCGCCACCTTGGCAGCGACTGCAACATAGTAAGCTCAGGAGATGTTTAACCTGACGGCGATCTGACAGTCTGTATAGGTGCTCGAGTATTACCTCATTTTTTTGCTAGACGTCGCCCGCCACCTATCGCTTGCTTGCCTCTCGCGTAAATGTAAGTAATACAAACGAACCCTGCCAGTGACCCGGTTGATCATGCGCCGGTATGAGTGCTTTTCGCGTCGCTCGTCGTTCTATCGCTGATACCTTGTGATATCACAGTGCCCCATGTACTGAGTCATTTAAGCCGGTTCGTTCCATGACAGTACCAACTTCGAGTTATACGCCGTCCTCGCTACGGGCTCGTTCCTTGCTCTAGATACACTGAAGCACTGTCTGCCATCGTTTTCTCCACGCAAGTGCTATCACGCCGAGATCGAAGCACGAAGTAGATGATCATTGCCGCTGCATTGTAACGTCGCCGGACGCGAGTTTAACTCAAGTGCCTGATACAGCTTGAAAACAAAAACCCTGTTTCTTCTCGCAGTCACGGTATAGTCTCATTTTAGGTCTTTACACTCCATTGCTCAACTGAACTCATTTCTTTTGAGGCTTGCCTTGCGACGGTGTATAATATGACTGCAATACTCCCTTGGATTTCTTACTGCTGAAGCGTTCCAACCTTGTCGATCCATTCCCACAAACCTGATGCCTTCCTGTTCCTGTGCCAATATGAAAATCGAAGCTGACGGTTGCAGATTCTGCATCACTGTTGCTGTGCTTCCTTTGACAACTGAGACGTATTGTCAACTAGTTGGCTCTTCCCTTCTGTCGTTCAAGACGGACGTTACCCTGTTTATAAAGGACAATGCCGTCAGCGTTCACCAGTCAACCTCTCCTTAATCGTAGGATCCTGGTCTGCTGCCGTTTGCTCTCAAGGTGATCCAATATGTCGGATCTTGGATTAACATCTGATGATATTGCTGCGATGTATGTGCCGTTCATATATCTTTCAGGAATACGGAGAAGTCTAATGTAATAACCTGTGACTAGAGCTCAAACACAGATCACCAAATACATTGATATGGCAACTATAGGTATGTCTTATGACGAGAGATCTATTGTTCGGTTTTGGTTCTAATACCCATCCAAGCACTTACTGTATATGATGCCATGTTGTCATTTCCTCAAGAGCTCAGATGCATATGGAAGAATAAACTTACTGCTGTTACTTTCATATATGTCATCATCAGATATGGCAACATACTAGACTTGGGCTTTCAGGTCTTCATCATAGACTCTGTGGAAGCTACCTCTATCCCTGTAAGCTGGTACTGTCTTAACCTTGTGTATTCATCTGATTTTTATTTATTTTCAGAGGTACTTTTGATTTTTTTTTGTGTATCAGAGTTATGACTGATGAACAACAGCTGCAGGGCCATTATTGTCATCTCATATGTGCTGGACATGCTGCCTTTCATTGGATCTGCAGGTATGTATATCAGTCTTATTGTTACAATAACCCAATACTTATTATTTCTCTAGCTTTTGATTGTCTGAGGATCTGGGCTATCTGTTATCAAAGATGGATACCTTTTGCTATTGTCTTTCTCTTGAGCATGTTTGAGCCTGCTGTGAACATAGTATGTCAACTCTATTGTTTTCAAGAGTAAATTGATTTAGAACTTGTCATGTATAACAGTATGACTTTACTAGACCTCAAGTTCTGAGCATCATTGATTCAGGCACTTTTACAGGCTGCTATAGTGAAAGCATTATGCCAATGTACCTCTAGTATGTTCCATGATATTCATCTTCTTTGTCTATTCTCAATGCATTTTTCATCTAGTTGTTTGTAGCATTCCTGGATCCTGTTTGAATGCTTGACTGACTATGAACTCAGTGCCTGTCATTACCAGATCTATGGCTGTAGCAGCTGATATTGCTGTACTAGTCTTCACTCTGCTTGAAACAGGTCATCTCTTCAAAACTTCTCTAGCAGTACAGCTAAAGACAGGCTACACTGCAGTGCTAGTTAGAAATGGTATGTATCACTGTCAATAATCTAGACTTGGACACCAATATAATCTATGTTGTAGGTTCTCTGCAGTTTATGTGAGATGTCCAGGAAATGCTCAGCTTCCGGAAGAAAGCTAATTTTTGTCTAGTGCGCTTCTAATTCTCAATGTTATATCCATGATTCTTGATGTATTTGCAGTTGCTGCAGATGTGAGTTTTACTGTAATGTATCTCATGATATTCACTCATACTATGCACCCAGAGTGGGCCAACATCTGAATTCATATATATCAATCAAGCGTAAGCAGACCTCCATGCAATGATTGAGCTCATCGCTGACATTTGCTGCAGAATCAGCTCGATCTTATTGTCTCGCTTCATACTGGATCTCCGGTTTGTCCATCTTGGAAAAAGTGACGAGTCCAGTGGAAACGTAGGGTCAAGTATCCATTTCGTTTCCGCAGTTGCAGGCAATATGGGTGCCGCCCTGGACGGGTCCTGGGTTTCGGGACGGAGTTCTGATCACGCAGCAGAAGAGACGGAGACAATTCAGTACTCCGAGAACCCTCTGTCGGTAGGGCTGTTTGACAAGGATGAAGACCTTATGGAGGCTGCTAGGTACGTTGTCCATCTTAGCATGATGTCGGGACTATTGCTGAGTTCGTGCAGCCGTCTTGATGCAGAACACACTGTTGTAAAGGAAAATGATGACCAAGCACTTACGGCCACGATGATAGCGACCGGGCATATCGAGCTTCAAAACATGGCCTGACGTCGCGCAAATGTCTCTGGGTCAAAGGCAAATACCGTATGTTCAGTTTCACTACGAAACCATATCCAAATATCTATTGTAAAGTAGACTACGCGAGCACAGTACTTAGCCTGGTAAATTCAATGTCATTGTGAATCCTAGCTTTACACGAGGTAGACTGTCCAACAGTGCCTTATGCTAAAGTCCGACGTGGTTTCCAGATGACACCTCAAAACAGTTCGAACGTGACTGAAAATCCGAGTTGCCATGTAAAGTAACAAACAGCCAAGAACAGGAGGACTAGACAACGGGGTCCGCATTTGCAAGCAACGAGGGATTCCTCACGGTAGAACCTTCGCCACAGGAGAGAAGCGAGGAAAGGTTGAGAGCAGGTGATGCAGGAGCAGGCAACGACGATGAAATGGGAGAGAAAAGAGATTTGACGGGCGTAGATAAATGCGGCAAGGCGGATGAGGAATCGCAGTTGAGAGAGAACACGAATGCTGGGTTGATATAGTAACAACCACACGTTTCGAGGTATCAGGTCGATCCATACTGTTGAGGAAGCGCCATGAAATTCCTGTACGAAGGTTAACCATTATTAACCATTAGTCCTACTCATGTCCGCCGAAAAAAGCCTACCGTAAGTAGATGAAGGTAGAGAGCGCTCCATGCATCGTATAGCTCATGCAGGCGTTTCAAATACCTAAATAGACAAAGCAAGAATTCGGAAACACTGGGAGGTAGAATTTAATGGCGGTAGGAAGTCGAGAGAAGGATGAGGTCGGGAATCGAAGGACAAATGACCTTAGCCTGCGACCGAAGTACAGCTAGGTCAAAGCCTTATGCGGCAATAAGCACAGCTCCTCTCTAGTCTTCACGAAGAGCGTGAATTCAAAGGAAAGTTGTAGCATATAGGCACCGAATCATCCGGTCTTGAATACGGTACCGGTATACCAGTTGTAGCGATATCCTCGAGTCGGCTGTGGGGAGTAAATAGATGAGTGAGCGCAGAGTATCCAAGATCGGAGTTAAGCAATTGGTATGAAACGCTGAAGTGGAAGCTTAAGATCTAGACTAAACGGAGAGGCAGTTAGACGTTGTTGTAAGTGGCATGCCTAGCTCAAGATGTGGAGCACATTTGAGTGAGGAACGTAGAAGGGAATGCGTGGCGCAGGGTTCGCCCAACGAATATGAGAACCATGCCCTGAGAACGAAGAACCAGAGGATGGGATCAGTCTGTGCAAGCAAGGGGGGAGGCCTCAAGTTATCGACTAGTCGTCGTTAGGCAGAAAGAGTAAGCGACGGAGAAGACAATGGCGATCAAATGAGAGAAACGACATTTGACGAGCGTAGATGAATGTCGACAAGACGGATGAGGAACGGCAGTTGGTGGGGAATGCTGTTCGTCTCGGTCGGCACTATAGCAACTGTACGCGTTGAGATATCAGGTTGAGCATACCGTCGAAGAAGTGTCACATACGAAGGCTAACCACCAGCCGTCCTCATATCCGCCAGGTCTCGGTGAAGTTCATGTCAGTTCACCAACTTCGCATCCTCACCGTGTTAAGACAGAAACCCGCCGAGAACAGAAGGAGTAGAGAATGGAATTAGTGTTTGCAAGCAACGTCAAGTTATGGATCAGCTGCCGTTGGGCGGAATTTTTACCGCAAGAGATCAAGTGACGGAGGAACAGACAACGACAATCAAACAGCACTGAAGTACGGTACCGATATATCAGGTGCTACTTGAGTCGGCGGTGGGGGATTAGAAAACTGAGCGTCCAAGACCGAAGGCAAGCCATTGGTATGAAAACGCAGCTCGGAGCTGAATTCGAAACCCGAGATCTAGAAAAATGGACGGGCAGTCTTCAGACGGTGCTGTAGGTTCGTACCTAGCTGAGACGCGGAACGCATTCGAGCAACATAGAAATGAATTCTTTATGGTCCCGTGGATGAGGGGGCCGTGCCCTGGCTATAGCTAGTGATTTGAGGACTGCTATGAAGTTTATTGTGCTGCGAAGCCGTGAATCGGACTGAAAATATATATGATAAAATCCACACTCCATGTAGCGGCCCATTATTCAATGCTATATCGTCGTAGACAGGAGCTGCTAGGATGGTTGGCGTTCACATCGAAAAATCATGCAACAAGCGGAATTCTAGACTTGGAGAGAATGTTCTGAAGACATCCAGCAGAGAATGAGAACGAGGGGATTCAGAGCTGTACAACGAGAGGACTCCGAATAGAGGAGGATAGGACGTGATTTGTAAGTGTGACCAGACGACAAGAGAGGCGGATGATGACACTGTGCATGGTGCAACAAGTCACAGAATGAAAAATGCAGAAGGAGACGTGTCTGGTGAGAGAAGGACAGCCCGAGGAGAATCCGTGGCAGACGTGGCAGGACCCCTGAGCACTGCAATGAAGTGTCGTGGGCGGGCGTTGCCGAGGACAAGCGAAAATGCAAGGGGGTGGTGTTCGGGGACTTGTGACGTGGCTTTCTGTGAAGTTCTGGAGAGGGCAACGGTTATAAGCGTCAAGCCAGCAACATCCATCCGCACACCATTTCCTCCCTTCCACCATGGCCGGACACCGTCGTCCAACAAAATCCCAGTCCCGCCGTTTGGCTTCCTCCCTCTCATTGGTTTTCCTCGCTTTCCTCGCTCTTCTTTGTCTCTGTCCCGTAGGAGTTCGCGCAGAAGAGCAGGACAAGAACGCATATGGAACCGTTATCGGTATTGGTGAGTTGGCAGTAGTAGTTCTTGCCTACAATACAATTGCTAACATTTGCCAATAGATCTGGGTACAACGTGAGTTTATACAGCGAAACATACAGGTGAACTTGCTAACAATACGATGCGCGGTTCAGTTACTCTTGTGTAGGGTGTGTTCATGTCTGGTTTTCTGTACCTTTTCAATTGCTAATCATCTACGCAGTGTACAGCGAGGTGGACGTGTGGAAATCATCGCGAACGACCAGGGTCACCGTATTACACCATCATGGGTCAGTTTCACAGACGAAGAGCGACTGTAAGTGTATTTTCACGTTTCCGAGCGTCTCGTTACTAAGAGCTTTCTGTTTTAGTGTCGGAGACAGCGCAAAGAACGCATTCCACTCGAATCCTGAAAACACCGTCTTCGACGCAAAACGTCTCATTGGCCGCAAATTCGATGATCCTGAAGTTCAGCGCGACATGAAACACTGGCCGTTCAAAGTCATCAAGAGGGGTGACAAGCCGGTTATTCAGATCAAGCACAAGGGCGAGCAGCGTGAATTCGTGAGTCGTTCATATTATTTGGTAGTCCAATCCCCCGTTCTAACTACGTTTCCAGACTCCTGAGGAAATTTCTGCTATGGTTCTGGGCAAGATGAAGGAGACCGCTGAGGCATTCCTCGGCAAGCCTGTCACTCACGCCGTCGTCACCGTCCCCGCATGTATGTATCCCCTGCTGTACGCTTGTTGTATCTGTCGCTAATATCGTTTGCAGACTTCAACGATGCTCAGCGTCAGGCCACTAAGGACGCCGGTACTATTGCCGGTCTCCAGGTGCTCCGTATTATCAACGAGCCTACCGCCGCCGCCATCGCCTACGGTCTTGACAAGAAGGCAGACGGCGAGAGTCAAATTATCGTCTACGATCTCGGAGGAGGAACTTTCGATGTTTCACTCCTTTCTATTGACGACGGTGTCTTTGAGGTTTTGGCCACCGCTGGTGACACTCACCTTGGTGGTGAGGACTTTGATAACCGGGTTATGGACTACCTGAGCAAGCAGTACAAGAAGAAGACCGGCACCGATGTGGGCAAGAACCTCAAGGCGCTCGGAAAGCTGAAGCGTGAAGTTGAAAAGGCCAAACGCACGCTTTCGAGCCAACAGTCGACCCGTATCGAAATCGAGTCTTTCGAGAACGGCAACGACTTCTCTGAGACGCTTACCCGTGCCAAGTTCGAGGAGCTTAACATGGACCTTTTCCGTAAGACCATGAAGCCCGTCGAGCAGGTGCTCAAGGACTCCAACCTCAAGAAGGAGAACATCGACGAGGTGTGCACTATCAAACTATTTTTATGCTCATAGTGTCTGATCATTCGTTTTCGCAGGTCGTTCTTGTCGGTGGTTCTACCCGTATCCCCAAGGTTCAACAACTCCTCAAGGAGTACTTTGGCAAGGAACCCTCTAAGGGTATCAACCCTGATGAAGCCGTCGCCTACGGTGCCGCCGTTCAGGGTGGTATCCTCGCTGGTGACGAGAACATGGCTGATGTTGTCCTCGTCGACGTCTGCCCCCTTACCCTCGGTATCGAAACCACCGGTGGTGTCATGACCAAGCTCATTCCCCGTAACACTGTCATCCCCACTCGCAAGTCACAAATGTACGTCCTTTCTTTTGTCATCGTGGTTCGGCTGAGGTGCTAATGTGTCTTGTAATTAGCTTCTCCACCGCCGCTGACAACCAGCCGACGGTCTTGATCCAGGTCTTCGAGGGTGAACGTTCGTTGACCAAGGACAACAACCTTCTCGGCAAGTTCGAACTTACCGGCATCCCACCCGCACCTCGTGGCGTTCCTCAGATCGAAGTCGTTTTCGAGCTCGATGCAAATGGTGTGCTTAATGTAAAGGCCGCCGATAAGGGAACGTACGTACTCTTTGGTTTATTCCCTCGTATTTTTTTTGATTGATGAATAATGTGATCATAGTGGCAAGTCGGAGTCTATTACCATCCGTAACGAGAAGGGTCGTCTTTCTCCCGAGGATATCGAGCGCATGGTGAAGGAAGCCGAGGATTTCGCCGCTGAGGACGAGGCTCACCGGAAGCGTATCGAAGCTCTTAACGGTCTCTCGTCCTTCGTCTACGGCCTCAAGAGCCAACTTGGCGATCAGGAAGGTCTTGGAGGCAAGATCAGCGATGAGGACAAGAAGAAGATCCTTGATACCGTCAAGGAGACTACTGAATGGATCGACGAGAACGGCTCGAGCGCGACTGCTGAGGAGTTGGAGGAGAAACTCCAAGGTTCGTTTTCTTTCCTCCCCCGCTGCGTGACGCGCGCCTCTGTCTGAATGGTATACTGATAATGTGTTTGTTTGATTTCACAGACGTCCAGAGCGTCGTTAACCCGATTACGAGCAAACTCTATGCTGGTTCGGGTGGTGATTACTCTCCGGGAGCGGATGAGGAGGAAAATCCTATTCACTCTCATGACGAGCTATAGACTAGGGAAAGTATATTATATGTATACACGTATACGTAGTCGAGCTCCGCGTTGGATACCATTACCGACGACGATGCACGATGCATGCATAGTTGCATGATTGGATGGGTAGATAATGAATTCCTTTTTGTGTTACAGTAATTATTAGCATTTTCATTTTTTTTTGCGGAACTTTGGGACTTGCGCTGTGTGTGATTTGGATATCGACAACATGCTGAGTTGTACAACTTCAAAGTGCTTGAGCACGTTTCGGAATTTTTGAGCATCATCGTACTTACATTCAAGCTTCTCGAGCACCATTTCCCAGTTACCTTCCATGCAGCAGAGCACATTACGACTGTACTCACAAGCCCATGTTGCCGACCAGTGCAGAACGACTCTTGAATTTCAAGGAAACGAGCGGGGGATAGACAAATAGCTTCATTGTGCATGTCTTTGTAGTGATCCATACGCCATCAAACATCCAATGTAGAACACGTATCATGAATCCCGGAGACGATTCAAAAGTCAGGCTCGCACTCAGGACACTACCCGCACGGTGCCGCACCCAACCCTAAAAATGGCGGTTGGATGCGCCCAGCCTACCTACATTGATCGCGAGTATGTTCGATCATAGGTCTTCACGTGACCGCATTTCCAGCGTGGACGCGTTCTTCGAGGTGATGCTCTGTTGAAGCGGCTCTAACATGGTGTCCCTGCTACTCTAAGGCAAGTAACCGATTGTATCTCTGATTTCTTCAGACTTGGATCTCCACTTCGATTCATACCTTTGCAATTCGACCCGACCACGGGCTTTGTGCAGCTATGGGTGTAGCAGGACTTTGGGACGTATGTTCTTTCCGACCCTCTATTCTATAAATAACCTTACATACTATCTTTCCATTATTGAGGTCCTTCGCCCGGTAGGGAAAACTCGCTCATTGACACACCTCGCCGTCGTCGACGGATTCGAAGCCAACCCAAACGGTGTTCGTGGGTTTCGTGTTGGCATAGATGCTAGTATCTGGTTCTACCACGCGACCTATGGTCGAGAAGGCGAGAATCCCGAAATACGGACCTTGTTCTTTAGGTGTGCCAGGCTCATGAGCACACCTTTCCTCCCATTGTTTGTGTTTGATGGTCCGAAGAGACCCAAAGTGAAGAGAGGCAAGAGGATCAGTGGAAAGGACCATTGGATGGTTCAAGGGATGCAGAAAATTATTGATGCGTTTGGGTTCGAATGGAGAACGGTTGGTTATTCACAGGCCTGTCTTTCGTTCACTGACCGAAAGTATTGTCCGGTTCCCAGGCTCCCGGAGAAGCTGAGGCAGAATTAGCGTATTTGAATCGCATCGGTGTCATCGATGCCGTTCTGTCTGACGACGTTGACACATTCCTCTTCGGTGCGACAATGGTCGTTCGAAAGTAAGTCTCAGCCCCTGTCATCTTCGAGCGGACATCTTACAGAATTCCACTTGAGTTTAGTCCTAGTGCGACGTTATCCGGCAATAAAGCGCACCCCGTAACGAACACTGCAGGGAAAGTAGACGACAACCACGTTGTCACTTACACCTCCAAAGACTTTGGGGAGGATCCAAAGATTTCGCTTAACCAAGAGGGTCTTATCCTCATAGGTGTACTACGCGGGGGAGACTACCATCAGGGTGTCAACGGATGTGGTGTTACCACAGCGCATGGGTTGGCCAGATGTGGGTTTGGTGACACGCTCGTGAAAAGCGCCAGGACCATGACTGAAGAGGAACTTGAGGACTTCCTCGTCGGCTGGAGAGAAGATATTCGAAAAGAACTCCGAACTAACTCGAAAGGATTCTTGGGACGCAAATGTCCTTCGCTAGCGAAAGCCCTTCCGGAGGACTTCCCAGACATCGATGTCCTGTTGTCATACACCAATCCTATCACGTCTGAAACTTATGGCAAGACACCAAAGGATTTCAAGATCGATTGGGAGAAAGAACCGAATCTGGGCAAGATTGCTGGCCTTTGTGAGACGTACTTCGAATGGGGGATAAAGGATATCATTATCAAGAGGTTCAGAACTGTTATTTGGCCTCCTGCCGTGTTGAGGATCCTTCGTCGTTCTGCGTTGCTGGCTGATAAGCGATTTCATAAGGATGAACAGGCCCTTATAGGAGGGGTCCCGAGTACGCCCAGGAAGCCCGGGGGGAAGGAGCTCATTGCATTTGGAACGCCCTCGAAGATGATCGCTCGTCATTTCTCTACTCTCAAGCTTGACTCACCTACTGGTAGACAAGGTGCAGACAGTGACACGGATGGTGACGGTGACGAAGATAACCTGATAAAGAAGATTCACTCTTCACGAACACATACCTTAACCGATGGCCTTCTCGAATATCGTCTCGAGATTGCTCCAGCTCAACTAATTCGCTTGTGCGAAGCAGGAATCAGAGGCGATCGGAAACCCGCTGAGAACAATATGGACGAATTCGATAGTGGAGACGATGAGGATGGTGAAGAAGGCTCCAAAACAAAAGCCGGGCCGAAGAAACCACCACCTGAACCAACCAGCCATTTAAGAGTGTGGATGCCTGCATGTATGGTGAAGCTCGCCGAGCCAAGGCTCGTGGAAGAGTTTGAAGCCGTGCAGCAAGCAAAACTGAACAAGAAGGCCGGTAAGGCGAATGCTTCCAAGGCCAAAGCGACGAAAGCGGGTCCTTCGAAAACTAGTGTGAAGGTCAAGGATAGTCTCGCGACTTTGGAGCTCTCTGATGCAAGTGATGAGGATATACCTGTTCCTGGACCATCAAAACCGAAGTCGCGGCCGAAGCTGAAGACCGCAAGCACAGATATTTCGCAAATCAAGGACCTTACTACGAAGACACAGAGAAAGAGGGACACTGGTGCTGCCGGACCCAGCACCATTGACGATTTTTTCAAGGCTAGCAAACTCCCAACTAAACCCGTCACTGTCAAGGCGAAGACAAAGACTGCAGCCGTTGGTTCATTGTTCAAGAATTTCGATCCTCCACCCACAGATAGACATTCTCCAAATCCCTTCATTTCTGAGGGCACAGATGAGGACACAGATGTTTTCGGAAGCTTATTAAGCAAAGGTGCACAAACCAACAAGTCAAAATCGTCACGGTCTCAACCGCCTCCTATAAGATCGAAGAGCAACAGTGTACTTTCGTTATTTAATCAGAATTCCATCGAGGACAAGTCGAGGAGTCAATCTCAGCCTGTTTTGGAGAGAGCTCAAGCGCGTCCTTTCCCAATGCCCTTTGATCCGCCTGCAACGGAGAGACAAGAAACTACTAAGTCGGACTTGAATATTCGACCTACACTTCCAGACTCCTCACCTCGACGACAGAGGCCTTCGGATTCCTCCGAACCCGATGTCTATACTGCTGCTACACAAAAATCTCCTCGTAAATCACACGCACGAAGGTCACCACATTCGACTCGTCACGTTTCCTACTCTAGCGCAGACGAGGAGGGTCAGCCACGTCCATCTTCACCGTCGCCATATCGCCCAACCGCTTTACCTGTTTTGCCACGGATGCCCAAACCCAAGGTCACTGGAATCAAATACCATGCCGAGATTATCGAGATTTCCAGTGACTCTGACGGTCCAAGTTCACTTGTGAGCAAACAACCACCAATCCGATCGCTAGGGCCGCGAGCACGAAAGACGGCCAAGCCAAGCGAAAAGCAAAAGGCTAAGGATAGACCAATACCATCTACCACCGATGTCATCGACCTTACTTGATATCCAGTTATTTGCATCATACAGAGGATGTTCACCTGTGTATTTTACTACTTGTATATTGGATATCCGACTAGATGTTCCCCGATGTAATGTACATACAAATAATGCCATTCAATAATTGTTCGTGAAGTCCCTATACGCCTCTTGTCCAACAACACCCCCAACACTCTCAGTACTTTTGGGTGCTTCGACTTGTGAGCGGAACCGTCTGATGGCTTGAAGCCTGGATCGCCAGTTTGTCGTCATCTCTACACGTAAAGTATCTTGCTGCGTATGTTGGAAGACAGAGACAAACCAATCCGTCAACAAGCTCAGTTGGCGGACGAGAAGGGGAAGGTTTTCTGCTGAGATGAGCTTGAAGTCCCCGATTGGAGAGAATTCGGTCATGCCTGGGGCACGCTGTAACGTCACTTTGAAATATTCATTCTCATGCACGTTATTTGAAAACGCTGCAATAGCTCCTCGCGAATGGGGTTCAATTACGATGTTCACGAATTGGAATTGCGTGGAGAGTGTGCCGAACTTGTAAGGAGCACCGGAATCGTTCCAAACGATTCGCACGTAGTCGTTACCTATGTGCCGTTTCTTGTTGGTAGCATGTTCAAGATCGTCAGAAGGCATTAGAGTGGCTGTGTGGAAGAGAAGTTGTCCGATATCATCCCACCACGCGTAGGCATATTCGCCATCTTCGTCAGGGTCTAGTCCGCCAGCATAGACATCCAACTGGCCACGAAGATTGATTAGTCGTCCTAACCCTTCGAGGAAACGTGTGTATGCCGGAGAGCCGTGAGTATTATTCAGAATTTGTGTCTCGTTTGTTTGCCCCGGAGCGACGTACATGATACCCACCTTGTGGGTGTCGATTACAGGGATACGATCCAGAGTCCGGAAGAACATAGGTAATCTTGCTGGATCAATGAGGAAATGATCAGCGACAACTTGTCGAGTGTCCGGATAGGATGAAAGTTGAAGTGCGAAGTAGCTGGGATCAACGGAGACATCCTTTCGTCGTTGCGAAGGAGCCGAACCAGACCAGACATAACCGGTAATTGGATCAGGATGATCAAGTTTGTCCACGTCATCGGCTTTTGAGTTAGAGTCGTTCAGGCCCACCTACAATAATGAGAGTGTGTCTATCAAGGTCTTGAGAGTAAACAATTACTCACCTCAGCGGAGGCAGTCTTCAAATCAGAAGGGCTCCTTTCCAACGTCAAAGCAGCGGGAAGAGCGAGAATATCGGGATCAACATCCCCTGTCGTTACCAATGGGATATTTTCTGCCCTGCAGATGAACTTCGTCAGACCAGAAGCTCGCCGGGTGAGAACTTCTACCCAGCCGCGTCTCTCGAGAGTGCGAATCGTAACCACTGAGTTGCCGGAAATCCATGTTTTCTGAGAGATAGCCGTTTCCTGAGATAGTTGAGCACGAGAAGGATTCATGACGATCTCACTGAGCATGGAGTTGGCAGGTCGGGGATCCGCGCTAGCGTAGGTATATCGTGCAAGCCAGTCAAAACAAACTTCGGCAGGTTCATCAACTTCGTTCTTGCCTTCGTTGGCAAGGAGGAGTTGACGGGTGATGAATTTTACATGACGAGGTCTGTCAGGAAGCGGCATGGCCAAGAACCACAAGTACACAATGTAGTATGACATGATGCGGACGTGCTGAGAAAGCGCCCACGAGACGTTGGTCATTGATCCATCTGTGCGATTGTAATGCTGAAGGTACTGCAAGGCAACGCCGAAGACCATCTTGTAGTCAGCTTCTGTGAAGTTGGCGTGTAGCACGGGGAGTGAACCGACGATGGACAAGAAGTCGATGATGTGAACCGCCATGACAGGGTTGGACATGATTTGAGAAAGCTTCTCCAAAATCCGTGGTAAGAACTTCGTAATGGATGGCTGTAGCTCAAACGCCGACAAACAAAGGGCGTGGAGTGAACATTTGATTGTCGACGGTTGACCATTTAGGCCAACAAGAAACGTCTCCACCAGTCGGTGTTGGGATTGCGCCTCTGTGAAGCATCTCTTGTAGCTGATGAGCACGGTCAAGGTAGCGTACGCAAGTCCGTGCGCATCTCGTGGTACGATCCCTTCTGGCCACAGGACCCCTGAGCCGAAGGGCCTGTTTTCTAACACAGCACTAGCGAGTGTATTGATAAGCTCAGCTATCACCACCCGGGATTTAGGTCCACAAAACAGATGTTTATTTGCGATTTGTGATGGTAGGTGGCATAGAACGTATGATAGAACCTCCCAACTTTTCTCTCCTGTGATGATCTGCAGTACGCCAGCTAGATAGGAGGAAAAGGGAAGTACAAGCCTGTCCTTGGGCTTGGCAGGATCGTACGAGATGAGACCGTCGCTTGGTGTATCCGCCTCCTGCGATATCGAGAAGGGGAGATTTTCTGGCAAAGACCACAAGATTTCTGTCAATACAGCTTTGGTATTGAGTCCAGGGAGAGTCCCCGACGTCGCACGAGATCGACTCCTGCTGGGTCCTGGTGGGGAATGTTGGGTACCAGGTCCGCGAGACATCCTCCTCCCGTAACGTTCCTGTGGCACTCGAGATCGTGCCATGCGAATCTCGGGCTCATCATGAACCCGTGGCGCAGTCGGTAGATGTCGACCATCCACCCGAGAGATTTGAGCAGCAAGAGTGTGTACATGCCCATTCTCGTCATATGTTGACGATGCATGGTACAGTCTGTGATCTCGATCAACTCGAAGTCGCATAAGGAACTGGAGAGCGGTAATCTTGGCTCTCGGGCAAGAAGACGTAGTTATCACGCTAACGAGGGTGCGAAATATACGTTCGGCCAAAGAGCGGTTGGTTCCCCTCAGTGCAAGGCCAGTGAACGCAAGCTGTGCAAAAGCAGATACCAAAGCGGACACTGCTCCTACACCCCTCGTTATTGATATTGGAACTGGTGTACGAGGCTGAGAAACTGACGGTGAGGGAGCACGAGCAGCCTGCTCGATTGGTCGTGGAGGTCGGGACTGAGACCGTGAGGTATTGCCCGACGTAAGCGAGGAGAGCAGGGACATAACAGACGGAATCGACGTCTCAGCGTTGTTGACAAGTCCTTGTAAATCAGTCTGCATTCTTGATGACACTGGCGATGTCGCAGTGGTGGTGACCGTCAGTCCTGAACCAGGGGAAATGGGAGACATGGCATCTGGGGTATTATAGAGATAACCAGTCTCGGTGTTTGTTTGTGACCCATAAGGAAATGTAGCAATTCCGACAAGAAGATCAAGGATATCATCAACGGTATTTCCAGATATAAGATCTTCGGAACTGGCGTCCTTGAGTGCACCCTGGTCATGTCGGAACACAAGCTCGTCTCCAAGAATCCGCCACAAAATCATGCTGATTGAATCCCCGTTTTTCTCCACGATTTCTCGTCTCCAAACGTCTAAGACAAGGGTTCCTAAAGGCATTCGGTAGGTAGGAATGTCCTTGATGAACCCCCATACTGATTGCAGACTTTCTGAAACTGCATGTCGAGTGAGTGGTCGCTGTGACGTATGCAGTCCGGGGATGGAAAGAATAGCCCTCCAGTGATCTAACCATGCTGGAGTTGTTGGCGTGAGACTTTGTCGTTCAGCTAATGTGCTCACGACACGCGCAGTGTCACTATCCGTAACATGCTCTGCAACGGATAGTATTATGGAGGGAAGCACGATGTAAAGGGGCGTAGTCTTGAGATTCTGAGAGAGCAAACTTGATATTGCAGCAAGGAAAGCACTTGGGGCTTCTTTACGTGCCAGATCCAACATGACTGTGGATCCATCAGCGTTTCTGCGATATCATCAGTAAAGACAGTGACATGAACAACAAGACGTAAACACACCTGTGTGTATGTACATAGGTGACCAGTTCTTGCAGGATCTGACCGACGGCCTCAATTTCCTCTTGATCCAACTCATCGCTGTCAGCTATCTCATCAAGACCCTGCGTAACATCCGAAACGATACCAGTGATTTCAAGTAAGATGATTTCCGGAGATATTGCAGCTTGTCCGACAATTTTCTCGTCGTATCGCAGTGTGAGCCATGCGTGTGCAGCTCTGCACAAAGTGGTGGCGAAGCGGTTGATGCTCCATACCGCGAAGTCGTCTTTGGCCCATGCTCGAGACATGAGGTCATTTTCCATATCAATGCGACCTGGCGCACCGGAAGGCGTGTATGTATCGGACATGGTACGGGAGATGTACACACGGGCCATGCGAGTCAGAAGTGCGTGGCGTATGGATATTCGAAGAGTTCTGATGGCACCCAAAGAGGTGCGCATAGAGGTGATGATGTCCGGGGATGAAGGAAATAGATGGCATTTCAAGATTAACGTGCACGATGCAGAATATGGTCCTGAGACAACAGAGTCGAGGAGTTCTGTGATCTTAGTCTGAACAGCATTGACTTGTGAATGAGAAGGGTTTGAAGTTATGGACAGTTTAGGTAAGGCCGACGAATAACACGCAAGTGCGCGGAAGAGGTATGGGATGATGGTTTTCAAATGGTCTGGGGCGATTGCTTTAAGTCGAACGGACAAATAGTTTAGGAAAAGTTCGACAGCGAAATCAATCGGTCGTTTCGTCGGCGTTGGGGCGGACGATGATGAGGCATTGCGCTGGTGCCTGACAGGTGTCCTGGAGGTAGAGGAGCTGGAACTCGGCGGAGATATGCCCACATCTGTCTGGTCGAACATTTCCGACGCTGACAGAGCGGAATCTACTAATCCACCATAGAGTTGCAGGATCCCAGTAGTATCCTCATCAGATAGTCGCGCTACAAACTCAGTTCGAGATAGCAGCGAGAGCAGGAAGCTTGTCATTGTTTCTACGCTGCGCTGCCTCTCCAACCTGTCTTCAGGAGAGAGTTCCAACAATAATCCTCCAAATGCTCCCTCAATCCATGTCCGCAAGACTTTCAACAAGGCTGCCTCCATGCCCACGGTATCTGAACCTGAACTGGTGAACGCTAGGAGTGCTTTAAACCGAGATTCCCAAGCCTCCTGCAGCCAAGGAGATGTAAGGTTGAGCACAAGGGATAGACAAGACAGCCTGTCGGCTGTAGTAAGTCCGACAGAACCATTGTTGTGCCAATAAGCAGCTAGGATGTCGTAACCTGCAGCTTGCAGCGCAGGTGGAGAATCTGGGGCGCAAAGGACTGCCAGAATAGGGGTTAAGATGGTAAGACGGGGCCTCGGTGATTGGGTGGTCAAAGACGTAGCGAGAGCCCTTGCATGATTGAGTGACGGCACTGCAGGAGGGGTGAGAGCTTCGACTAGTGCATCGAAGGACAGAGGAGAAGCAGTCAGTGTAACGGTCGCAGTGGTGGGCTCTGGTCTACCGCGACGCCAAACGAAAGGGGATGTGAAGGTGCTTGTGTTGGACCGAGCCCTTGTTGGTCGATGAACATCGTCCGTATTCACCTGTGGACTCATGCAATGACTATTTCGATGAACTTCTATTCGCCCGATGATACAAAAGGTGCTTACAGTCTATGGGTTTGATTGGCACGAAAGTCAGGAGGGGGTGACTCAGTACGTTGAAATATTTGCCCCGTCAGAGGTGGAAGAAATTAATCGAGGCAATAACGCTCTTCACAGTGCATGAGGAAAGGCCGCACGAAACAAGATGAAAGCAGCACAGTCGGCGCCTATGTGTCATTGACTATCTGCCAGCTCTCTATTGTTGCGAGCCTTACTGGTTCACTACCACAGGAAGAATTCTTATCCGTGCTCTGTACTGTCATGAACACGGACAAGCTTGCGATCGAAGATGTCATTGACGAGGTCGGTCTCCTTGTCTTGGTTGTTGTCGTACCCTCTGAACCATGCGCAATGTCATAGGCCAAACTCAAGGAAGAGAACGGGGAAATATATCTCTTTCAGTGGCTGGCGAGTAATGAACGAGCTATACAGCATGCTTCCTCGGTTAGTCCGCCAGAGACTGACCTGCTGGTCCTGGTTGTGCTTACTGTGTTCTCAGGATGATCTTAAGGCTACGCAAGAGGCACTTGAGGGAACGCTACTGAACGTGCTCTCAGGCTCTGGGCCTTACCCTCCTCCTGGTCGCCCTCTCCGCAATCTGGTTGCACGTTGTTTTGTAGCGTTGTACTCCCGTGGGAACACCAAGTCGTTATTTGAGACTTTACAAGCGTTATTCAAGACGGCGGGAGAACAGAAGATCGCCACTCAGGACATTAGCCGAGTGTGAGTATCGGTGCACTGCGTCATTTCACTTTGTTTGACTTAATATGCTTTAAGTGCTGCCGTGTATTGTGTTGGGGAGCTCATGCGGGTATTCGGGACTCAGGTTCGTTTGCACATCGCAATAACAATCTTGTTTATTTCTGACGTTCCGCAGGTTATGTCGCAAGTAGCGAATAGCGTGACGCTTTGTCTTAAGCTGCAGAAGCAGTCTACGGTTAGTCAACTTCTGTTCGTGTTTTGTGTACAACTAAAGCCTTCACAGTCTCCAATCATCCTCAAGTATCATGCCTTACTCACATTGGAGAAAACAATATCCTCCGGAAGAAGAGCTTTATCAGATAATACACTGAAGGATATCCTCAAGCAAATGAAGAATGCTCTTGGGGACAAGGCTTTGCCGATCGTCCGTGCCGCATCCAAGGTTCTTTCTCCCCTTTTTCGGTTTCATACAGTCGATATTCAACTGCCATCAGGTTTTGATTACTATGTATCCCGCAGAAGATGGTACTCGTGCTCCCTCAGAGGTGGAGTCTATTGTCTCGCTATGTGTCAAGCATCTGGATGGCGCAGATCAACCCACCCGTTCTGCAGTCGCCCAATTGGCCGGTCATATGCTTGCATCTACTCAAGTTGAACGCGTTCTGCCACCAAGCGATCCTTCGAAGCGGTCCAAGAAGTCTGGTGACGAGCAGGATGAAGAAGAAAAGCCTACTCCAGTGGCACTGGGAATCGCAACGGAAGTCAAACTTATCATGACCCCAAACGAGATGCTCTCGCAACTCTCAAATCATTTCAACAAGCCTCAGACATCTCACAAGACTCGCCTTGGCCTTATTTCTTGCTACATTGCGGTCCTTTCTATTCTAGGTCCCTCTTTCGTCGAGCGCAACTACACCCTCATTGTGGGACACTTCATGTCAGAAATTGTATCTCATGCCAGCAACACGGGCTCTCGTCACGGCATACTCTTCGTTCGAAGTCTTGTCAAACTCGTTTTTCGCGACCTAATCGGCGTCCGCATGCTGAATGAACAGGCACAGATTCTCGCAATTCAAGAACTTTCAACTGCCTATTTGAAGCGGTGGCCCGCTATGCTTCCTGGACAAACTGCGCCGGGTCCATTAGTTCTGGCTATCGCTCTTCAGGAGGTAGCAGGATTAGTGCAACAACTCGGGAATGCGCCACCCCCTGTTCAGGTACGGCACTACTTTTTTAAAACGAATGCTTCCTCACCCTCTACGTCAGGACGCATTGTTAGATCCCGTCATCAGTCTTCTCACACATCCGAACCATACAGTCAGAGTCTTCGCGTCATGGACTCTGCAGAGTTTCTGTTATTCGACGCCTCTTCGACTTCCCAAGACTTTGCTCAATCTCGTTGAGATGCTCCAGCACGATATATCCCAGCTGAACAGTCCTGTGGCGCCTGCTGATATACAGGCTCGGGCGCTTGGTCACGCATACGGTCTCTCAGCTCTGCTGGCGCTGGTTCCTCATCGGCCACTGTATGTTTCGTATGACATCAATGCCAACGTTTTCTACATGGCGGTCCAGTTGCTCAAGGGCGCAGGGGAACACGACGTTCATATTGCTGGAGTTGAGGTTGAGATTGCCTGGACTCTGATTGCTGCTTTGATGTCTCTGGGGCCTCATTTCGTGCGGGCGCATCTACCGCAACTACTTGTTTTGTGGCGCAATGCCCTCCCGAAGCCAACGACTAAGGATGGCTCTACCAAGCGGTCCGCATCAGAGTGGATGTTCTTGCTGCAAGTGCGCGAGAACGCTCTACGCGCTGTTCATCATTTCTTAAAATGCAATGCATCTTCACTGGTAACCGCAGACGTTGCTCGCCGTATCTCGTCGTTGTTAGGTAATGCGCTCCAGTTCGCGAACACTTTTTCCACGCAGCGCATTGAAGAGCCAACCGATCGTGTCCAAGAAACCGAAGAGAAGGGGCTCACTTTACGCGGAGCTGAAGCGCTGCTACGTTCAAGAGTATTTCAATGCTTCTCATTGCTGGATTTGTCTGCTGTATCAGACGCGACTCAAAGTTTGGCCCTTCAATCAACGATAGCGCTTTTTGCCAGCCCCGAAGGTTACTCTGGTTCAACTGTCCAGGCCGCTATTGCGTCCTCGTCTGGTAATTTCGTTCATGTCTGGCAGACATTTGATGGATATGCTTATGGCGTATCGGATATCGACATCGCGAGCGACATCTCAGTAGACGGTTCAGATGGTGGGAAGGACTGGTTAAACCGCGATCCAATAGATGCGAGTATTGATGGCCTGGTAAGTTGCCATTTACTTAGCTGGCATACGATTTTAAGTCGTTCGCAGGTTCATACTCCAATCATACGCTCAATGGAGCATGATCCACTAGTTCTGTGCCACAAGGATGTGCACATTTCTCGTCAACCCACGTCTCCAGCCGCTTTAACTGCTGCCGTCAATTCAGGCATCTTGCTCTTCGCGCAACTCCTTCCTCTTCAGGACCCACCTTCAACGGCTCGAATGGTCACAAAGCTCATAGAATCAGTGAACTCGTCAAGGTCAGAAAAGAATCCAGGCCGAAAGTTTGCTGTTCTGTTCAATGCTACAGTCGCCCTGCTTATCGCATTCAAACAAACTTCTGGAGCCTCTAAACGACTGTCAGACGCTTTGAGCAATCCTCAAGTGACGTCGACGTTGGCATCCTTTTTGAAGGTATGCTTGTTCACCATCAGCCTCAGACGTTGTTCAACTGGTTTAATTAGGATGTACTTATCGATGGCGATATTTTCTTGCGTCAAGCGGCGAGCGAGGCTATTGGCCGCCTGTGCAGTCTCGCTGGCACTACATTTCTCAGTACACAGATCAAGACCCTCGTCAATGAGGTAGTCGCGAACAGGGATCCGCATGGGCGTGCCGGGTGCGCCCTTGCTTTCGGTGCCATATACGGAAACGTAGGAGGCCTCGCTGCTGGTCCACTTCTAAAGACAACAGTCCACGTTCTAATGTCTCTGATTAACGATCCCCACCCTGTTGTTCACTTTTGGGCTTTGCGCGCACTCAGCCGCGTTATTGACTCGGCCAACTTGACCTATGCTGCCTATGTTCCGAGCACCCTTGGCTTGCTTTTCCGAACTTATATGCTCGAGTCTCACGAACCTGAGGGGGGTTCGGTGAACTATGTAAATCTCAGTGGCGATCTACCTATCTATCAAGCCATTTGCCAGAACATTGACGCTATCGTTACGGTTGTTGGACCCGATATTCAAGACTCCGTCCGCACACGGACCTTGGTATTGGATCTCGTTGAGCTACTTGGTCAGGAGGATAACGACGGTGCTTGTGTGGAGGCCATGAAATGCATCCAGCATTTTCTAATGTTTGCTCCGGAGTATGTCGATGTTCCCAAGCTCGTTCACCAGTTCCGCGGATACCTTTCTTCATCTCGACGGCTACTCAAGGAAGCTTCAATTAACGCGCTATACCAGTTGGTTCAAAAGGATGCGGTCCTCATGTCTCGACTAGGCGGTGACCTCCTTGTCGAAGAGCTGTTTGCGATGCTTGATGACGACTCCTCTGTTGACGGCGTTCGCAGCGTAATAACAGTATGGCTTCAACAAACAGTTGTTCACAATCCATCAGCATGGATCGACATTTGTCAACGTATCATGTCCCGCACGACGGCATCCCAGCAGGTTGCAGAGGCCACCGCAAAGCGCGTTGAGCTTGGTGATGATGAAGGGCAGTCATTTAGTACTGGCAGCGGAGAAGCAACCTCAGGACAATCCCGGCCTGTTGCACGATGGCGAACGCAGCTGTTTGCGTTGCAATGTTTACATACCATCTGTACGGTTGTTCGGCAATCTGGTCGACGAGAGCATGTAGACGTGATCTACGCTCGATCGCAATCGCTTCCTATTTCCGGACTACTGGTTTCTCGAATCGCTGACTTGGTGCGAATTGCCTTTACCGCGTCGGCTGCACATGTGATGGAGATTCGGTTGGACGGGCTTTTGGTATTAAGAGATGTTGTTGAAGTTAGTGTTTCTGCATGGATTTATATCATCTTATTCTCATTCTTTGCCCTCAGATCTTTGCTTCGGTGCCAGATCCCGAGTTCGAGAACTCATCCATCTTGGAACAATATCAAGCCCCGATCACTGCGGCTCTAACACCAGCATTCTCATCCGACTCCACTCCGGAAATACTTGCGTCTGCAATCAAAGTCTGCGCGGTGTTCTTAGGCTCTGGCGCCGTGCAGGACATCGAGAGATTGGGTCGCATCCGAAAGATCCTCACCTCGGCCCTTGAGCAGTGCAAGGGTACGGCAATTGTTTTCTTATCCTGCTTCTGTATCTTACCATGTCTTAGAACCTACTTTTCTCCAGCTTGGAGATGCAGCTGATTTAGGGCCTAACGCATCTGTGATGCTACGTATTTCAACATTAGCAGCCTGGGCGGAGCTCAAGATAGCAAGCCGCACTCACGCGTATCTCTCAGAAGTACTTCAAGTGCATGCTTCTACCTTAGCCCCACTATGGATTAGTTGCCTTCGAGACTATGCAAGCATCAAAGTTGGAGTTGAAGGTCTTGATGATGTTACCGCTGCCTCTCTTGACACTTCATATGGTGGCCTCGGACGAGAAGTTCTTTTACCAGTATGTGTTTCCTTATACAAACGTGATGCGCGTAACTGATCAACATGCTTATAGTACTATGCTGATTCATGGGCAACAATTCTCCATGCCATTGTCATTTCCATGAAGGCTCAGGACTCTTACATCCAGGCTGCCATGAATGGGCAGATTATATCACAAACTGCAGGTGACAGTGGAGAGCCTGCTGCATTCTTCTTTACACTTTTTGGCCTGGCCTTTGAAGTGTTAACAACATCCACCTATGGATCAAGTAACTCTGCATCACAGGTGATGCTGATAGCAATCCAGACAGTTGAATGTCTAGTTCACAAGCAGTTTAGTGGCAGGGTGTTTGCAGATGTCAGATTTTTAGAGGAGCTTATCAGGGTTCTTTATCGCTTAGCTCTGGCAGAGCATGAACCTGTACTGCATTATCTTCTTGATGCCATAGTATCACTTGCTGAAGTCTTAACATCAAGGTATGTGCTTGGCAACAGATTTATTGGTGCTTGAACTCAATTGGATATTCCAACAGTTCTCCTGGAAGCATTGATCATTGTCTCAAGATCTCTCTTTACATTATGAAAAGATGCATTGATGAATCTGAAAGGTTTCCTTGTAAGCTTGTTTGATATCTTTCATTTGCCAGCATCTAATGCAATGCAGTTTCAGCATCACTTTTTAATCAAGCAACTGAAGCTCTCAGCAAAATTCTTATCAGAATGGACAAATCAGTTCATGCTGATACACTGACTGTTAGCCTATCAGTATATTCAGGTATTTGCAGCAATCCTTTCAGAAAACTTGAATCTAATGTACTATAGGACTGTTGCAATCTGAAATAATTGCTAGTGATGCTGTCATAGGTACCCTGCAGTCTTTGAGACTATTGCTGAAGACTCTTGAGGAGACCAATATATCAACTTCTCAGCTTGAGCAAATGCTGCATGGCATTCTTTCTCAATGTCTCTTGAATATTGATAGCATGAGGTTGGTTTTGATATGATATAGAATGCCTCTACTAACAATATATATTTTTTTAAAGAGGTCGAAAAGGACCAGCCTGTGATATCAAGATCAAGAACAATATGTTTGCTATTGTTCTTATTCTAACTACATATCCCTCAAAGATCAAACTTGGACAACTGGTAATTGATCATACCTGTCAAGTGATAATACAGTTATTACTTGACCTTGAGGTTTGTGTATTTGGCATGCAACAAGTAATGATGCTGATAATGCTTTTAGGAGACTGCAGTTACTGCAGCACATTGTGCAAGAACTCTAATTCTGGCATCACTTTCTGGCAATCCACATCTGAGCTGTTGTGGAAAGTTGCTTTTGCCAGGACTCACTCAGAGTCTAATCAAACTATCAGCTAATTCAGATGCCCTCTCATCTCAACTAGTATCTGTGGTATATGAAGCTTGGAGATGTTTTGTTGCTTTAGTAAATGCATCTTCAGAGCACTTCAGTAAGTTACACAATCTGCATAAAGTTGCATCTTCTCAAATTATCTATAGGAATACAAGCTTTGGCATTCACTTTACCTTCAATGATCTTATTTCTTCATCCAAGCATCAGATCTTTGGACTCACTTCATCAGCAGACTTTAACACACATTCTCTCCTTTGCATCTTCTTATCCTGCAAATTTTAAAGAGGTCACTTCCAAATTGGAGCAAGATATGAGAGAGTGTTTGGAGATATCTGTGAAAGAGGTGCTAGGAGGAAGTAGCTTAACTGTGGCTGATCTAGTAAAGCCACAAATTTCTTTGCGAGTATTTCAGCATATTTAGTGTCTATGTAACTTTAGTATTGCTATATGCTATACAAGATAACTTGTACAATATATACTTTTAAACTATTTTGATTTTTAGAGCTAGATATAATAAATACTATTATTTTTGTCATCTTCTGCTTGTCTTGTCTATATCTAAAAGTAATGCATATATCTATTAAAGATCATTTAGAATTTATAGACTTATTATAATATTTATATATTTATAAAAACCACAAGATAATACTAAAGATAGACTATGTAAATATTATTTTATATCTGAAAGAAATCTATCTTGTTATAACACTATCTTATGTTAGAAGCTAAACTAGCTTTATATTAGAAATACTAAGAATATCTGATCACTACTAGTAATAACTATAGCATTGCTATGATAACTGTAGCAGCTCCATTTTGTTATCTACAGTATTACTACTATTAATAATTTAGTATATAATATATTTACTATAACTTTATTATATACTATTCTTTTGTTAAGATTCTGCATATAATTGTGAATACTGCTAAGACTAATGTATTATATTGATAAGCTCTTTATCTATTTAACACATTCTTTATACATACTTACCAGTATTATAAACTATGTTTCTAGAGCTTTTTCTTAATGATTTCTCTCTCTACTTAATTCTTATATTTCTGAAGCTAGAACTGCAAATATATTTAAACTTAGCATATTGATTATTTTTAAAATTAATAGCCTGCTCTGCTCTACTCTTTCAAGACTCATTAGTGGCTATTCTGAGAAGATTCTATACTCTAATACTTATTATACCTAGTATTTTATCACTTTTAAAGAAGTCAATATAGCTATTTAAGTGATCTAGCATCTCTATTGCTATAGAATAATTTATCTCTGCTTAGATAATTTGTAAATATTTGAAAGAGCAGATATGCACATATTTGCAGATTAGAAAAGCTATATTTATTTAAGTATTATTATATAAACAGTCTGAATATTATTATAGAATATAAGAAATAAATTAAATTAAACTAAAAAAATTATTTAGATAGCTAATATCTAATCTAGTTATCTGAGAATTGAAAAAAAGAGTGAAAGTTAAAATAGAAGAGAGTATTAGAAATTGGTTAGTAAAAAGTATAGTTATATCAATAATATATAGCAATATATATTATAAAAGAAAATGAGATATATAGCTAATATTAGAAATATCAAAGATATCAATCTCTATATATACAGTTTAGATAATAAATATTAGAAATCTATGATATGTTATTAGAAAAACTTTAGAAGATATTTTCTATCTATAGAAGAAATACCAAAAAAAAATAAGCAAGAAGAGAATAAAAGATTATATATTCTGAATTTTATTATAACTTCTCAGAATCTGTTAATATCAATTTTGTTACATATTCTTAAAAGTATCTAATCTTCTTCACTTTGCTAGAGGAAACCTTTAGTATGAGGTAATTAGATGGTTGAAACTCACCTCAGTAAATTGAAGTGGCCCAGTTTTTATCTGAAGTCGCTAGCTATAGATACAAATTGTAAAAAGGGAGAAAAAAGGAGGGTAGTCGAAAAGCTACCCTAGCTAGCAAATATAGAAAATATCAGTATGAGATAGAGAGGGCAACTGAGAGGACAGCTTTAGCTCACCTAGCAAATAGATAGAAGTATGAGATAGAGAGGGCAATGAGGTGCCCAGACTTCCATCCATCTGCTATATGGATAAGGAGCTCTGATTAGCTCATACTAAGTGCACTTGAACAAACATGTGATTATCTGTAGAAATAGTTAAACCAAATACAAAAAGGCTATACTTGTCAATTAGACTTGTGTAAAGAACTCTGCTTAAATCCAAATAAAGAAAATACTTGAAAGATATAAAAATGCATTTAAAGAAATACTAAAGTTATAGAAAAGATTGCAAGTATAGCATCTTAGCTTTAATTCAATTTTACTTTGAGTTATCTAATTTAATTTAAAATTAGAACAAATAGTTAAAGTCTAATAATTACTATATCTATTATGCAGTTTATAAAAGCACCTATCTTATTAGCATCTTTGGAGCAACTTGCTCTTATAGCTACTGTCTGAAGTCAAACTGTGCAGAAAATGATATGCTACTTAGTTGATCAGTTTGGAGACCAACTTTAATCTATTTTTTCTTATTAATATCTCTATCATATCTATTGTCCTCTACCATTTCTCTCTATTCCAATTATATTATAACTCTCTCTTCTGCTATTATGCATACTATATCATATGCATACTTGCTTTTTTTTAGCTATTACAATTAATATAGTTACATATCTAGAATATATAATACATATGCAGTCTTTGATCTTCAATAATATATGAATAGCAGCTGTGCAAGTTTAATACATATTCAAAAAACAGAAAAGATCAGATTACTTGAGATGTATTTTGCAAGAGAAAAATATAAAATAGAGAGAATTTTTGAAAGTTCTAAAAAGAAAACAGAGGAAAGTAGTCAGAGATAGCTATAGAATATTATTTCTTCATATGTAAATTTAATAGTCTTTCTTGTTATGTTCTCTTTTATAATTCTTCTTCTCTTATCAATCTGCTTTTATTTGCTATCTGTTAGAGATATTCAACTTCTGTGACATTCTACCTTCTTACTTGTCCTCTTTTATACATTTCTGACATCCCCTTCACCTAAGCTATCCATACATACCATCCCCATCCTCTAACTCTTCCTATTCATCCTTCCACCCAATGCCACTTCTACTTTGTAGTTTCTGCTTCGCTTTGGGCGCTTTGCCTGTTTTCTAATAAGGAGCTGTGTTCCCATGGCTCCGCTTTTCCCTATACTTCGCTTTCCAGTATCTCTTTGCTGCTTACATCGAAGTACAGGTTAGTACTAAATTCCTATATCAATATATGCTGCTTACATCGAAGTACAGAACTTCTGTCAGCTACCAGATTGATCTATTCCCTGATTTTAACATAAATGAACAACAGGGAAGCTCTGGTATAATATCTTATCCAGAACCTTCTCTGCAGGAAATCCATTTTCTGACTGACAATGTGATCTCTCATCTTCCACAGAGATGGGACCTCTTATATATTTCACTTTTTCCTCTATTGCTCATAGCCAGATATCTTCAAGCTTAACTACTAATAGTGTTGCACTGCCATCTTCACTCCCTGTGGCTTAGACATCACTGTAGCAAATCTTGTCATCAGCATTATTATAATAATATATTCATTAATTGATCTCATTCTTATTTTGCAATGGCCTATGATGCATTTTTGTAACTAGACAAACTTTCAGAAAGATTCTTGAGAGCAGAGAAAATTTTTTGACATAAATGAACATCAAATGTCTTTAAGAAGGATCTTCCAGTTGACACAGCACAATGTCACAAATGACAATAGAAACAATCCCTATGAGGCTGAATTAACACTGCGCCAACAGCATCTCTTGCTGCTGACATATATATAATCACTTCAAACTAGATCCAATATTGTGAATAATAAGACAATAAAAGGAATAATAAATAGAATTGTAATTTTAGGTGTTATTCTGAAACTTATCAACTAACTGATTACAGTGTTCTCAGAGACTTATTGTAAGGTCAGGATTTACACATCAATCTTTTAATCATAGTGTTTTTGACACTCATTATATTGTCAAGATTCATACATCAACCTACCAACAGCAGTGTTCTTGACCACTCATCATACAGTTGGGATTCACAATCAGTTATGACACTGAGTCCATCAAGCTGATGATGTATCATTTCAGAATGAATTGAGATCCTTCAATATGGATGCCATTAGCAATGAGGTCTATCAAGCCAATGGCACTATTGCCATTCAAGCAACCTTTGTTAAAACCAGGGAATAGATCAATCTGGTAGCTGACAGAAGTTCTGTACTTCGATGTAAGCAGCATATATTGATATAGGAATTTAGTACTAACCTGTACTTCAATGTAAGCAGCAAAGAGATGCTGGAAAGCGAAGTATAGGGAAAAGCGGAGCCATGGGAAGACAGCTCCTTATTAGGAAACAGGCAAAGCGCCCAAAGTGAAGCAGAAACTACAAAGTAGAAGTGGCATTGGGTGGAAGGATGAATAGGAAGAGTTAGAGGATGGGGATGGTATGTATGGATAGCTTAGGTGAAGGGGATGTCAGAAATGTATAAAAGAGGATAAGTAAGAAGGTGGAACATCACAGAAGTTGAATATCTCTAACACTCCCCTCTGATGTTGCACCTCTGCAACTCCCCCCTAATCCAAATCCTACTTCAAACCCATCATCCGTCTAAACTCCTCAACCTTGAGTCGAGCCAGTGACTTGGTGAGCATGTCAGCAGGCATATCGACACCAGCAAGGTGTGTGGGGGCAATGACACCAGCCTCAATGACGTCCTTGAGCCAGTGGTAGCGCAGATCCAGGTGTTTCATTCGACCATGGTGTTCTGGGTTCTTGGCAATGCTGACAGCAGAGAGATTGTCGATGAAGAGGAAGGAAGAGGATGGGAGAGTATAGCCAAGTTCAGAAGAAGGTTGCGCATCCAGAGGATTTCCTTCCCGGCCTCACAGGCAGCTATGTACTCTGCCTCAGTGGTGGAGAGAGCAACAATAGGCTGGAGCTTGGATGACCAGTCCACTGCTCCAGAGCCCACCTTGACCAAGTAGCCACCAGTGGAACGCATCTTGGGGAGCTCACCAGCATGATCGGCATCAGTGAAGGTCTGGAAGAGCTCATTCACCTTGGGATCCGGCCTGTAGGTAAGTCGCAAGTCCAAGGTGCCCTTGAGATAGCGGAAGAGGTGTTTCACTGCCTTCCAGTGTGCCAACCCAGGGCTGGCATTGAAGTGAGCTAACTGGGACACTGTGTATGCGATGTCTGGGCGAGTACAAGTTGCCAGATACATCAGAGCACCCACAGCATTGATATAGGGCACACTGGACATCTCCGCTTGCTCGTCAGGTGTTTGAGCACCTTGTTCAGGCGAGAGGTGAAGTCCAGGTTCCATAGGCGTAGACACTGGATTGCACTCACTGAAACCAAAATGATCCAGGGTATTGATAATGTACTGGCACTGGGAGAGTGAGATGGAGCGGGTGGTGCGGTCCCTGGTGATCTGAATACCAAGGAGGTAGCTGGTGGGCCCAAGATCTCGAAGTTTGAAGTGCTTCTGAAGATCCTGGACAGTGGAATGGATGGCAGACTTGGAGTT